CAATTCAATATGCGCATATTTATTTTTACTATTCCATTTTTTTACCAGTGTAAAGGCCCTTATTGAGTCCACATTGCTTTCAACTATTTTGGGCATCTTTGCTTATCTGAGAACTTGATGCCGTACATGCAGAAAATGTTCTTTATAAATAAATGCCTGACTGGCAGTGAAGCGTGGCCACAGCCAGCCAAACGCGCCATTGCACACTTTGTAAGAAGGCATTCAAGATCGCAAAATGAAGAGTGCAGTACATAAAGTGAATGATAACTGAGATGAAAATTCAATGAAAATTCGAAACCCAGACGCTGTCATATTCCCACGGCCTTCAAAAACTTGCAAAATAATCCGAAACAAAAACATTCACGCATGAGAAGTCAACCAGCTAGGAATCATCTACATATACACCGTACTAAGAACTATCCGATTATATATTATATCTAAATAAATGTGTGGTGTGCCAATACAAGCGAATATTTATTTTATTTTCTGATTGCAGGCCCCACACCCACAAAGCGACGATAAGCTGAATTTAATTTTGTTTCTGATAGAAATAAAACTGTCTGCGATAAAACTAAAATTTAATTAAGGCATTTAGAACCGGTGACAGCTAGAGTGGAAAAGAAGGAAACTCATGCATTAATAAAATTGTAAAATATGTTGTTGGTATGTGCTTGAATCGCTAAAATAAAGCTAAATCGAAAACAAGTTCTGTGGTGGCGACCGGCAGATGACTAAATTCAAAACCCGACTCAGACACTGTGAGAGTTTTGTTTTATTGTACCTAAATAGACGCTTATATATGCCTCTGTGTTTGGGGGTACATATACCACTACTGTTCCGTGTGCGATGACGCAACAACGCATAAAATGTTAAGGAATTCGTTTGCTTTATATTATTTTTCTTGCTCGCCTCTGGCAGCAGCATTTTGTTGAAGTATTTTAGTTCAAAAAAGGCCACGACAAGGCAAAGGCCAAGAGAGCAGGTAGGAAAACGAGGAGGAAACAATAACATCTGCTGCATATCGCCTCCTTAAAATGCATCCTTTTACCTGTAGGTCATGGGCCGAAAAACCGGAAAGGTGAGGATGCCACTGCGGATAAGACAGAGTCATGTTTTTGACATGGTGGGTTAGAAAAAGGGTTTTAGTCTTTTACAACTCACTAGTTATTACTCTTTTAGAAAAACTTTTATATTTTAAGCCGAAGCTTCTTAAATCTTGTTAATACATTATAACTCATTAAGCCTTTAATTATTATAGATTTATTAGCACTGAAAATTGGTAAATAAATTTAAACCAAAGTTTCATATCTTTGAAATTTAAAAAGCTTTAAAGCCCACTTTGTTCCCAGCATACAATGATAACCATTTCTATACGCTTCAGTGGAAGCCGGACACCATTTTTCAGGCATCAAATCGAACGTGAATTCATTTTCTCCATATGCCAATTCAATATATTCCACGTGGATTTTTTTTAAACGGGTTCTATGTAAAAATCGAATACCAAATATGCTAAAATAGGGCCAGAGGGAGAAGGACCCAGTGAACACAAAAGAAAAATCGCAGTGGCATCGTCGAGCGACAAACAAAACAAGCTGAAAAAATAACTGCAGCTGTTGCAGTTTTATAAATGTGGTTCCCCAAAATCCTACTCCCTGCGCCACCCATTCAAAAAAGATACCTTTTCTATCTGCACACACATATAGTATATGGTATATAGCTTATAGAATGGGGTAGAAGTGACTGGTCTGTTGTCGCTCGGTTGGTTTGCTCTCCACAATAAAAGTGAAATTTTCTCGTGCCAAATTTCGTTGACGGCGGGTGGGTCTTCCGTGGTAACGACTGTTAGGCACTGACACTGAAACAGTTTGTGGATAACTTTTCCGACGTTGCACAGAGCAACATAAACTAATTGCAACAACATTTCCGTTCGCTCTGCAGCCAAGAAGTAATCAAAAAAGCTACTTTGATAAATGAAATGAGAACTAATGATAGCAAACTAAAGATGTTCTTCCTCTTGTTGGCAATTAATCAATGTGGCTATTGCTCCTCCCATGCATCCAAGTTGAATGGCTTATTTTGTGTATATCTCTGAGTTTCCATCATTTAAATTTTGAAAAGACTTTTTCGGAACCAACTGAGAGGCAAACAGCCGCAGATCACAACAAAATGTTGTTCAAAAAAACGTAAAAATTTAACTAAACAGACTTGAAGAACACACGCCGAAACCAAAGTTCAATTTCATTGATCTGATTAAGAATCAAATATAAAAAGGCAAATGGTAATTTTTAAAAATATTCATGAAGTCATCAGTAGCATCTGGAATTAGTGTTTTATTAAGAAAACAAATACATATAAGTTCCCAAGCCGTGATAATGCCACAGGTCTAGTCGAGGGTCCCACGGCCTGAAATGCGTCATTTATTGATTGCAAATATATATATGGGAACGCAACAAGCGACACCGAAGACAAAAGCTATAACCAAATCGGATGCAATGCATCATTCGGAAATGAGTCAATAAGTAGGGAATTTTAAATTGATGTAACCCTAGAAAGAAGTCTACAAAGTGTTTGTTTGTCAAATAAAAATTAATTTCAGAGAGATAAAACTAAATTTTTCAAAAAAATGATTACCCATTTTCCAGTATTTTGTTGTATTCTAATCTTTGTTTGTTTGAGTATGTAATTGTTCGATTCTGATCTTAATTTACACCCAAATCACCTGGCTACCAGTTCCTACTTCAAGTGTGTAAATATTAAACAAATGGTTGCATTACCCTAAATAACAAACGGCAGGTCGTGGGCCTCATGCCATATGCTCAAGACTGCAAGCTCAAGACTGATAACGCAGAACCCTCTGTTTTTATATTCTTACTCATACATACATATGTATGTATATAGGATAACAGCTGCAGTCAGAATACTAGTATTAGTTTACCAAATAGAATATAAAAAAAATTAAACACTTTTTAAACAATTCATTTTTAAGCAATTTAAAAAATAAATCGTATTGATATATCAATATTTGGAAATTTAAATTTTGTAAATTTTAAAATCTTTTATTATTTTGTTGGCAATTGCGTTCCCAACGTGTGATTAGATTATCGCCCGCTTCTGAACGCCTCATCCGTGACCATGAGTAGTCTGGCTTTAAAAGCTATTGGGTCAACAGTTCTGCGACGGCGTTATCGGCGCATTTGAAAGGGAATACTTGTTTTAGGAAGGGGTAACTACTTAACCGCTTATCTCCCCGGTGAAATGTAAATAAATGAAAGTTATTTACGCTGATTTGACACTTTTTGTGCCTGCGCCAATTCCTCAAACTAATTGACACAGATAAACGTGTAGGAATGAATCTAAAAAACTTGCAGTTCGTTAATGAAATTAAAAATAGATCAACAGCTGAAAATACTCAGTGTGTGAGAGAGACAGGGCGATTAAAAGTAGCCAGAAAAGTCAAACAAAAGCAAACAGGGGAAAACAAGAAGGGAATAAAGAAAAACACTAAGAACTAGAACATGGGAAATCAGAATGAAAAATCAAATGTGGTTTCTCGTTTGTTTGATCTTCACGCTTGTTCATTGTAAATCTCGAATATGTTAACCAGCGACAAGGCCTTCACTTTTTAGCGCTCTTTTCGAGTTGCTAGGCAGTTGGAGTTGAGCAAAACAAAAAAACATGTAACTTGAACGGTGTCTTACCACATTTGCATAAGCTCTGCGAAGGAGACCACAACAAAAACAAACGAAAACGATTTTTACCGATTTATCAACCTTACGCACTCTAAACCATTAACTTTCTTTCTTTTAATGACCTTTTCAGATCTTTTTCGATCACTTTTGCTCACTTTTCACAGCTTTTTTTTGTCGGTGCAAAAAAACTTTGGATTATTTGGTAAGCACTTAGCGCATTTGTTATTGTTTCGAATCGGCTTCGATTTTTACAGGCGACGCGTGCTGTTGCGCGAATCCGCGTTTGCTGACCGATTTGGGTTGAGAACTGTATAGCGTAGTATCCGTGTGCTTTGCAGGAACCCCAAATGGCGTTAATGTAACATTTCCTCCCGGCGAATTGTGCACTTTTTTGTTACTTTTAGCGGAGCACCGAAAACACGGACAGCGCGGATGAAAACATTTCGATTTGAGTGGGTGTTTGAGCGTTGCGGGCACCTTTTATACCCTCGGTGAGAGCGACTCAAAACCACTCTCTTTCGCTCTCCCGCTCTTTTGATACGTTTGTACGAAGCCCATCTCTTGTAAATACGTGTCAGCATATAAATAATTTTAAGTATGTTGCTTAAAAACATATAATAGTTAAGCACTAATTTTCTGGGTGTTAATAAATAAGTTAATGTAAATAGTTTTAATATTATATTATATTAGAGATAAACTATCACCATTATGTAAATATCGATAAGAAACGGTCCAATAGGAATGTGGTGCGATCACTAACAAGAATACACTCTTTTAAACAAGAAGTTGGAATTAGGAAAATTAGAGTTGTACATTAAAAATTTATTTTATCCTCAAAACTTTTCGACAAACATCTGGCATAATATTTAAATTTATAGTTCATGAAATTAAGTGCATAAACATAAATGAGTAAGTTTCTCTCTCTCTTTTGCGCTCAAGTCCGAGAAAATGAGTGGCATGGGAACATTATTTATTTTTTGTAAAATAATTTACAAGAAATATTAAACATAAGTTAACATTTTTAATAAAGTAATTAAAACTTATTTATTTTTTTGTCGCACAAAAAGAATTTAAATGGAAAAATGTTAAGGAATTCAACACCTTTTCAAACGAAAGTTAAAGATAACTTTGATATCTGTAGAACGGCTACTGAATTAATATAATAATTAATATAATTGTGATTGGACGATTCTATGATAAAATCAACATCCTGAATGCATGCATTTCTCAACAAGTATCTCAAGTTAAATCTTAGGTATAGATTGCCAGACCGGCAAAATAAGTATCGTTGGGTTGCCGGAGAGCTGAAACGAAAATTTGTGTGGCATGTTTAATTTCTCAACTATTGGTCACACCAAATAATAGACCTACCTTTTTTGCAATATTTTTCCAAAGATAAACTTCCGCTAGATAGAAATACTAGAAAATATGTCCGAATTGCAGGTAAGTCGGGATAACTGCTTGCAAGTTGTCTCGTTGTCAAAGTGTAACCCTCTAAATGGTAATTCCACAGGAATTCAACCAGGCCGCCGAGGATGTGAAGAATCTGAACACCACACCCGCGGACAATGACCTTTTGGAGCTCTACAGCCTGTACAAACAGGCCACAGTGGGGGATTGCAATACTGGTGGGTCTTGAAAATCATATAACAATAGTGTAACAATAATATATCGGAATCCTATTCAGATAAACCCGGCTTCCTGGATTTCAAGGGTAAGGCCAAGTGGGAGGCATGGAATAACCGCAAGGGATTGAGCAATGCCGATGCCCAGGCCGCCTACATTACTAAGGTCAAGGCCTTGATCGCAGCCGTGGGCCTAAAGTCCTAGATTTAATCTCCAAAGGATACTGCATTGATATTGCATTTTAAAATCTCAGTTGTCGTCAAACGCACAATTTTCGATTTTCCAGTGTACACGCACAATATACACCACTATAACGCGTAACATAGAGCATTTAATTTGTCATAGCGGGAATGGTTATATATTCTACTATATAGGATACTGCTTAGGCTTCCGTGGGTGAGGCGGGCGTGCTGCCCTGGGAATAGCGCTGTCGCTCGTACACCTCGCGCTGCAGCTCGCGAAGATTCAGCTCCAGTGTCTCCACCACCTCAAAGTTCATGTCCTGGCGCGCCTGTTTAATATAGCCCTTGATGATGTTGATCTGCTCGATCAGCGGATCGTCTAGGTTAGACTTGCTGGCCGCCTGCGGTGCCGACCAGTTGGTCAGGGATTGAAGATCCGACTGGGGAGCAGATGAAGATAGAGGAGATGTTTTGCCAGAAATCATAAGTAACTTACCCCCTGGGCGAAGGAACCGCTTTCTGGACCCGGAACTGCAACTCCCGATTGATTTGCTGCCATATTGTTTCGCTCGTAGGCTTCCATGGCCATGCGCTGCTCGGTGAGGATACGTTGCTGCGTCTCCATTCGCCGACGCTCCTGCATCTGACGGATGTGCGCCTCCTCCGGAAGCGGCGGCAGCGACAGCATGCGTTCCTTGATGGCTTGGATGCAGCCCAACCGAATGGCCTTCTTCAAAGCCTCCTCTCGGCTGCCTGGCTCACAAAATATAGCCAGGATGCGCTTGCTCCGCATGTCCATTGCCTCGGCCACTTGTCCAATTTTGCCGCGCAAAGCACCCGCATCCGCCAGCGTGAAGATAGTGTCCCCTTCGTTAAGGCTGTTGATGATCTTCAGATACATGTCCAGATCGGGGGTTACTTCCTTCTGCAGCTGGCGGATCTGTTCGTACACCTGTGTGAGGAGCGGGCGACAGGTGCGACTCTCGTGCATGTCCCTTCGCGTGTCCAGCAGCCAGAGGCAGTGTTCGCACAGCCGGATGGCGTTCTCATGTTGATGCAGCTGCTGGAGCGGCTCACTTCTTGTGGTGGAGAGACTGGCCAGTTGCACTGCAGGATTAGAAAGAGATGAGAAAACCAATAAAATTGAATTGTTAAGCTGACTAACTGGCATCCTCCAGGGGCAGGAACTTGGAGCAGTCGTTGCACATGATTCCACCACACAAACGGCAGTGGTGCTGTCTCCGGGCAATGTGGAAACTCTTGGCGCAGCTGGGGCACAACTTCACGGAACTGCCATCCAGCCAGGCCACAGTCTGCTGCTCGTGCTGCCGCCGCTGCACTGAATCCGCAGGCAAATCCTTCAGCAGTCGGTGCAGCCGTATGATCAACTTGTTCGTTTCGCTGGCATATCGCTCCAGGCGGGGATTTCGGATGGACTGGAAGTACTCGAAGTGGGAGCACTCGGCACCCGGCTGCTGCCTGGCCATGTGGTTGAATACGTTGAGTCGAGAGCGAGCATTGCTGGGTCCATTGCGATCGCCATTGCCATTGGGATTCTTGGCAGCCGTCGAAGCGGATGAGCCTCCTGGCGAGGCTGCAGCGGCTCCCTTTTCATCCTCAAAGGGGTTCAATATCTTCTTTTTGGCCTTGCTGAAGATGTCTTTGAAGGATTTTAGGGCCGCCTCCTCTTCGGCGTGCTGACGGGCAAAGTGATCCGTGAGCACATCGATGGACTTCAGGTCAGCCCGGCAGATGGGACAAAGGAAACCCTCCAGGATCTCCCCGCTGGCCGAGCTTTGGTCCTCATCGCTGTCGAAAGGATTCCCAGACATTCCGGCGATGAGTAATCGTGAATTTTTTGGTGGGTGTGCTTTGTTGTGGTTTCCACCCCGAAAAACTAATAGTTTAAGACTTTTTTTCTTTCCTAAGGCGATGGCATGACGGCAGATACTTTTCTTCGAGTTATCTACTCAATGTATTTGGCTTTTCTTTCTACAAACTAATTAATTTAATTTTTTGCCTAATATTTCCTCAAATTATCAACATCAGTTAACTCTTCTTCAAGCCAAATGCCAGTCACTGGAAAATGATAAGTAAGGGCTGCTGCAGGTGCGATTTAAAAAAAGCCCAGCAACGATACATTTTTAAAAAACGTAAAATATTTACCTAGTTAAAGTGCTTTTAATATATAGCTTAAATTGATTTATTTTTTTCTTCACCAAAACAACAGACAAGCCACAATGGCAAAATTCTTAGAATAAATACGTCGAAAAAGTACCATAACTTTGTGCAGCCATTGCAGCCCTGGTCGAAAGCTCTTCGTGGTGAATGTCAAGCGCGGGAAGAAGCAGCTAGTTGCCTGCCTGGAAGTTTTCTCGGGTTTTCCGCTTAAAAACAGTCGTGGGTGTAAAAATCCTTTGAGAAAAAAGGTTTATAAGCTAGCTGAGTACTTTCAGCACTCGAACGCATTGAAAAAACACAGTTTAAAGTCCCAAATCGGACGCTAACATGTCGGAAAGATCGAAAGGTGACGTGTCCGCTCGCATAAACAACAATGCAAACCCGACGCGTGTCGTTAAAAATCCACTTTTGAGCGCCTCCGTTACCGGGCTCAGTTTCGACGACTTTCCCAACAAGCCGCAACTGCTGCCCGCCGCCCCGCCCGTGGTCCATGCCACGACCCCGGCACCGGCGCCCGCCCTCATCGCTGGCATCTTGAACCGCGGTAAGTGGGTCACGGTTCGCTCGGGAATCCAACGCGGGGTGGGGGTCACCTGTTGCTCGGGTGCGCCAGTGATAAGCTGATAAGACAGGCACTTGACCTTCTACCCCTTTTGGTTCACTATGTCCCACATCAGCAAAAATAAAGAAACTTGAATTGCTTAGAAAAATCTATAGAAATAATAAGACAGGTCAGCACTTGTTTTGATTTCTACCAAGTTCGTTTATCATAAAAAAAAAACTAGCATTTAAGAACTTGGAAATAAAAGTTTCCCTAAATATACAACTGTTTTAGCACTGAATTTAAATGTAGCTTGTTGCTCTAGCAACTCTTTATCTAGTAAAGTTCTTAGAAAGAACTTTCCTATAAATAGATTATGACTCTTCTATCAAATATTGAAAGTAAGCTTTCTTTGCCATCGAACGAGTGCAATGATCATAAAGTATATTATTCCTGGTTTATCTCAGCTGATAGCTAAATTTAAATTTAAGTCCATTAAAGACGAAACTCCTAATATGGTCTTCCATGGCATTTTTATTAGACTTCTTCAAGTCATCTTCGAATTGCATTTGCGTTTGGCACAATATAACATAACAACAATCTACTCCATGCTCCTGGTGGAGTGGGATCTATATGTGGGCAGCTCTAGCGTTGTTTTCCTTCGCCGGCAGCACCACACAATGCTCCAGATGAGGGCAGCGATCAGCAGAATAAGTAGAATAACTCCCAGACATATGGCTGCAATGGCGGCCTCGTTCAAATACACATCCCTTACATCGATGGTGAGGCTCCTCTGATTTCCTGCCGCATCGAAAGCAACAAGCGTAACCTTTGGCTCGCAGCAAGAAGCCATGTAGGTGGCCTTCAGCGGCTCCGTGCTCCCAGCGGTGAAGTAGTTCCTGTAGAAAAGACCCTCGGGCGGCGTGGCCTGCAAACGCAACATGCCCGACTGCCAATCCTGAGCGGTGACGTCCAGCGTCCAAAAGCGCTCACCACAATTAAGGGATTCGGGCGTTAGGTAATCACAGCGACTACCAAACTCCCAGGACAATGTAGGGCCAGTAGAGTCCTGAAAAGTATGATAAGGTAATGGGTTAATAACATTTTATTTTTAAAATCTGATCTCTGACAAACCTGAGCATCTATGCTGGTCACCACTTTCAGATTAACGGCCAGGGTGGATGTTTCGCGACCATAGTTGGTGAAGGTAATCCGATCTGTGGTACCTTGAGCTGTGCCCGTGGGCACCAATACGGTCAGACGCACTGTAGCCGTCTCCAGAGCGCGCAGATTCAATCTAAAAAGGATAAAACACATAAATATAAGGCTGAGTTTGGTTTTAAGTAAACTAACCTGGTGGGATTCAGCTGCACCAGGAAGCGCCGCTCGTCGGTGACCTGAATGGTGGAGTAAACCGCCTCCGATTTCATGTTGGTGACCTCGAAAAACAGCGAGGCTGTCTGACCAGCAGTCACCAGAAGCTGGGATTGTGTTCCCAGTTCAATTTTGGTGCCACATCGCTGGAGAAGCATGGCATTTAGGGTGCTCCTTGGCTGTCCGGTGGTGGCAGCCAATAGGGTTTGATTCAGATTCGGAGTTCTTTGGATTTCCTTTTCCGAAAAGGTTTCAATTTCGTTCTTCGGCGAGTCCACATCGTCCTCCAGCTTCTCGGTGTCCTTTTCTTTGTTGGGAAACTGGATTTTGGCCGACTTGGCCTTTGTTTGTCCGCTTTTGTAGTAGCTATCGATGCGTTTGATAATGTCGCCTGTGGGGAAATGAGGAATAACAAACGGGAGTCAGCTGCGCACACGTGTTTTTGTCATTATATGGAAATGTAGCGATGATGGCGTCAACGCTGACGTTCTCGTCCAAGGTTGAAGCACGGTTATCAGTTGAGATTCATATTCATTGGGGCAAACCGAACAGATCCCGGGGATCTTATCACTCGAAACAGAGCCGCAAAAGCAATTCATTAGCTAACGGAGGCTCAGTTCGGTGCGGCAATCAATACCGCCAGGTTGTTTGTTTCTCAATTTCTACAAAACTCACCCAAAAACACATCCGCTTTTCTCTCGGCGCGCACGAAAACATTGTATTTCTCATTTAACTCGGGCTGTAGCTTCAATTTGAAGATTGCCGCGCGTCGCAGCTTGTTAAGTGGTACGTAGGCATCCAGTTCTTGGGGTTTCGAAGTCTCAGTGGCATTAACTCCGACAAATTTGGCCAGTTTCCTCAAATTTATCTCTAAAAAAAAAGTAAACACAAAAATAAACAAAAATCGAACAGCTGTTTGCCATTCACCACGCAACGCGGACAGCTGTTACAGGTGTTTGCCTGGCGTTGCCACACATTCACAATTGGTTTCACTATTAATTAAATCATTGAAATTGTGCAATAAACATTTAATTTGCTGAGCACCAAAAGACATTTTTAAAACCACAATGATAATTATTAATTAACAAACACAAAATAAACTAATTTAGCGTTAGTCGGGCGGCAAATACGAGACCTTGGCAACCCTGGCCTGGCAGCTGCGCCGTAGTTGTTGTGAAAGAAAACACGTCTACAAAAAATCGCGACAAAAACAATTGTTTTTCCTTGTGAAACCAGCGAATTACGAACGATTAAACGCCGCCGAATTGTTGGCCAAGAGGCACTTTAAAAGCCGGTCTAAGTCAACGTTGACGACATAGCTCTAAAGTGTATAAAACCAATGAAAACTGGGCAGTTTGTGAACTTGCCCTTGACAGTGAGGCGGATTGTCTAATTTTGTTGTTAAAAAACGTATGTATGTATGTATGTCAGTGTGTGATTTGCAGAAAAAAACACATTTATAAAAACTAGTTAAATAGTTATTACAGAATCAAGACTCAAAGGGGCATAATATGCCATTAAAATGCCCATCCTGGTTTCCATACCCCTATAAATTTGTCAATCTTGAGTTTGCAAATATTATTGCCAAATAACTAACAAATATGTTTGTGTGTGTGATTTTTATGGAGTTTTAAATTTAAATATCTTGCTGGAAAGGTCACAATCAGTTTGGAGTTGAGGCAGGCAATGAAAAAACCGCCCCGAAAAATTGATTTCTTCAGGGTGTACATGTATAGTAATGCGTTTGTATTGGTAACTTCCGGGAGATAACTTTGTTTATAATCGGCTGTTCCAAAAGTTATTAAAAGATTACAATACTTTCGCTTGTTTTTTTTTTTAGCTTGTCCGATAAGTCGCTGTTTTGACTCGAAACGTTTTGTTCCATCATTTTTGAGTCATAATTATTTTTTGTCTGACCCCGTGCAATCTCCACTTCAGTGCCTATATATATATACAATAATGGACTTTGTCTGGCCGTTCGACGTGGCGTATGATTAATCTAGGGAGAACGCTTGTTATATTTGATCCATTCTCATAACCATTCTACGCTTTAAGTTAGTCAACAATAACATTTTGTGCCGGACAGTTGAAAGTGCTCTACGATTAAATTGGATCACAAACACTTATTTATACTCACCACTCAGGACGAAACACAAAGGGACTAGAACACAAAGTGCTGAGAAAGTGTTTAGGTGAAGTCAGAAAATGCATAATTTTATAGCTTCACACACAAAAGAATCGATTTTTAAAATTAAAGCAGTGCCACAATTATTTATATAAAAGTATTCTTAAAGAATTTCTGATAAGCTTATAACACAGTCATTTAAAATCGTTATCTTTTGTGTGTTTTAAGTGTTAGACCAGTTTACTTTTCATCATTTTCGTTTTATTTGTGTACCCTTAAAAGCTAAAACATTGATTACTTTAATTCTGTAAAACAGTAAACATACATATTGAAAATTCCTTTGTACTACAATTAAGTGTTTAGTGTTGTTTTGTTGAGCATTATTATTACACTAGCGTTTTGGTTAAGGAAAGCGTTGGGACTTCGGCTATTTACAAGAATCAGCATAGCTGAATTGGGATTAGAGAGTAGCAGGTCTTCAGGGGTTAGTCAAGGATCTTACGAGCTAAGGACATAAATTACACAGTAGTACAGTTGTCGTTCTTTCTGGGAAGTTATTGAAAGCTTGTGCCATTATCAAGAGGATTAGACTTAGGATCTAGGTAGGCTTGGCACAGACTCCTACACATTTAAGTCGCTAAACACTAAAATACAACCCTGCGTTAGTAAGTGCGATAGAGCAATTGAAGTCGGTGCTTGGTAACTCGGTTTTCGAGAAAGACTAACCACCATTCGGCGTCTCCATCGTGGCCCGTCTCATATTCGCATCGATGCGCACATGGAGACTGGACAACGTCGTGTCCACCGGCAGATCCAACTCTTGGACGCCCTGATACGCGTCCGCCACCAAAGTGAGCTGAAAAAACAGAGAAACATTAAAAAACTGTTTTCCAAGATGTCCACTAATTCAAAATTAAAGGCTCGTAAAAAAGATGTTTAATTAATTAATTGCGCATTTAACAATACAAAATATATACAAAATACTCTTGCTTTTAAGCTTTCCAAAACCTCGAATTCAGGAAATTCACAATATGCTAATTTCTGGTTCCGCATTGAAGAACTCGAGTACAAAATACTTGATTTGCCATTTTCGCTGTGTGGGCTAAGTTTCGGCATTTTTGTCTAGGCTTCCTTTCTATCAACAGATTTGCCCTTCACTTTTCTTTCCATAACCTAGTTTTGCAGTGGCCGCACAGCAACAAAAGATGCACCATCATCGACAACAAGTTGAGCACCACCTGCCTCCGTTGCCGCCTGGCCACTGGCGTTGGAGGTAATCCAAGTGGCTCCGTCTCAGTTGGCTGCTTGGGCAACACTCGGCTGGATCTGGTTGCCACTTTCAGTTTCTCAACACTTAGGCCTTCCCCGCCGAATCTGGCTCTGGCCCGCACACTTTAATTACCCCGATTGCGGGTCGGGTTTGCCAGCGCTATCATCGCGCTCATATCTCACCGTATTGCCAGCTATGTGCTGTCCATGTTCGGTGCTCACAATGTGGATGATCTCGCCACCGGATCGTATGGCCACCTCGCCCAGGATTCCGCCCACTGCGTCTTCCGTTTCATTCTCGCTGCCCGATCGCTCACCGTACCAAAGAAGGAACAGCTGAAAATATCGAGGGTTTTTTTTAGGGGATTTTGAGATTGGTCAAGCTACTAAAGGTATATCTCTAGGAATTCGTTAGATAAACTCACCCTGATCCTCTTCTTGAGCAGTGTGATGGCCGCATCCTGGACCAGTTCCGTGTGCGGTGGAATCGCTGCCGTCGATATGAAAACGGCACTGTCGTAGGGAACCAGCTCGGCGGCATGGAGCACGCCCACAAACGAGTTGCCGCCCTCGTGCTCCTTGGTGCTATTCAACCCGGCAATAAACTCCCGGGTATTGTTGAAACTGAAGGCAGAGGGGGCCCCTGAATAGGAAAATTCCATTAGTTAAAGTTCAGGCGTGGTATTTGATTGCAAAAGACTAAGACATATTTAAATCAAATTAGTATACTTTATTAATATTCATATTTAGAACTTTAAAGCTATTTGGTTTATAACGAGTAGATACATACATATTAATATTGAACTTTAAATGTTTTTAATTTAATATATGAATAATACAAAAAAATTTCTGGTTTAGAGTTTTAAATTAAAAATTAAAACTAGTTTCTTGTATTAATAATGACTACTTTACAGTTTATTAAATTAGTTACAAGAATGTAAAATTTAGGAAATATAGGAATATATAATAACATTTTGGGACTAACAGTTATGTTGACTCACCTGCTCCATTAAGCGTAACCAAGACAATCTTGATGTCGATGTTCTTGTCCTGCAAAGCATCGATGTAAAGTCGTTTGGCCTGCTCCAGGGATGCGGAAGAAGGATCCACAATCACGGCCAAGGGCATGCGAATGTATACATCCTTGATGTAGTTGCGCAGCTGATCCGCCGGCAATAATTCCGGCTTTGAGCCACCGCTCACTTGGATGTGTTTGGGTTGTTTCCTGGGACTGGGCGTCGTTGTTGATGTGGTTGTCGTTGTTGTGGTCGTGGTGGTCGTTGAAGTTGAGGTTGTAGGACTGGCAGAAGGAGGATTGTGGGGTGCCTGAGTGGTGGCCCAGGGGAAACCACCAAAACGAGCCCTCAGAATTGGCAAAGGTGTGGTGGTTGTAGTGGGATTTGACTTTACTTCCGCCGGCTCATCGTAGTAATCCTCCTCGGCGGAGTACTTGAACGAATTGGGCTTGTCCTGACTGGGCAGTTGCTGGATTTGTGCCTGGGGAATGGGTTCATGTTGCTCAACTTGCTCTTCATCCACCGATTTGGTGGCCTCTTCCTCGTCGGACGCATTGTGCTCTTGATCTCGCTGTGGATATCTCTCTGCCTTGGCCTGACGCACATATTCGGGGATCATGGTGGTGACCACCCTTGCTGTGGTGCTGGCCACCATCGCATCCTCGGCCGCGTCTTCGTAATAGTAGTCCCTAGAAGGTTTGTCCACCTTCGTTACCCGCTCCTGCGTTGGAGCATCCTCCATCAGCTCGGCATCTGTGTTCTCCTCGGAGTAGGGAGCCATGGTGTTCATCCTACCCTCCATGGGCCTCATGGTGCTCATTTCCAGCTCTATGGTGTGTGGACTTTCGGTTTGATCCTCCTCCAAACTATTGCGATGCTGTTGCATCTCCGCTTCCACCTCGGCGTCCAGTTGAGCCGGGTCGTAGATCTCATCATTGCCTCCCAAAGCTGAGCCAACCATTTCCCCGCCGTAATCCTCATCCAGGCCAGAAATTGTGGGACTCAGGAGCAGTGCCACCAGGAGCACTCCCAGCCAGAGCTGCGTTCTCAAAATCATTTCGTTCGATATTTATGCCACTAGCCAATCCTCACTTGTCACCATCAAAGTCTGCGGAAAAAAAGCAACCGAGGCACATGTCAATATACAATTTTTGGAAAGCTTTTGCGGGTTCAATGATTGATTGATTGGCTGACTTCTTTCGCTTACTTAATTGACGCAATTATTTCGAGTTCACTTTTGTTGAACTGTTATTTTTAGTTTTTCTATAGGTTTTCTGTCTGCTTTTTAACACTTTCGCAATGTGAAAAAGTGAAATGTTATGACTGCTCGTTGCGATTATCATTTTGTTTGTTATTAAAATCATTTTAAATAATTATCTCTGACAAATTGAACATTTATAGAAAATTGACAGAGCAAAATTTCGACTGAATTTCTGTTTCTCTCTGAAATTTTGCATATTTGTTAGTTTGAAAGTTTTTGAACTTATTGAATAAAATAAGAAAATAGATATATTTTTTTTATTTCCAACAAAATGTTCTATTATTTTTTTTATTTGCATTTCCTAGCCAATTATAATTAAATATAAGCTGTAAGAAAGGTCTTTCTATAAATATCAAAACGAAACTAGAACTTTCAGGAAATAAATTAAATAATAATTCGATAATTATATTAAAAGTGACTTGATCTAATCTGCTGTTTACCTTGTTGAAAAACGAATTTAAACTTGTTTGATAACACTTTGTTAGTGGCTAAACTTTATTAAATAAGGAATACATACAATGTAGCTTCGTTAAATAAAACTATTGAGAGATTTTTTTAAGTTTCAAAATGCATGTTTATGAGCATGCTAAATTATAAAAACAGGCCTTATTGCACGAAACTCCAAATTATTAAATGAAAACAGGCATAGATAAAAGTAAAACACTTGTATGTTATGAAAAGTGTGGCCAAAATTCAACTAACAGTCCAAGCAGCTCGTTGGAAAAAACCGGGTAGGGTATTTAAAATATATATACAAAGATATGGTCAAGGTTTTCTTAAACCTGCTGCAGGTGAGGGAAATAGAAACACAGAAAACGAAGACGACGTTGACAATAAAACAAATTTGCCATAAAAAACGACTTCTCGTGGATGTGTAAAGCTCATACATGTGAATTCATTTATGAATAAAAATAAATGTTTAAACTTGATTAAAGCCGCAGGGAACACGCTAGCTTTGTGGCTTCAATTTGCTCAATTTATAAAATTTAATTAAGCAAATGTAATTAACACATTGGTTAATTCGCCATGCAAACGTTTTTACGATATGCCATTTTCCTTTGCATTCATCGTTTGTGTATTTAAACTTATTGTTGCATTTTTGCAGGCGTTTTTGTGTTGGAGTTGTTTGAATAACAAATTACCCACAAATCAATTTGAGTGATTGATTTCTTGGCTCTCGCCTCGTGATTTGCAGCGTGAAGAGAGCTCTGAGGAGGGGCGTTTTACCCCCTTCGAAACGAGCAGCTGCCATTAATTAACCATATGCAAAGCCGCAAAATAAAAAACAAGAAACAAGTAAAACAAAATGAAATATATAATCAAGTTAAAATCCAAAATATATCGCATTGATGCGTAAAATGGAAATAAATTAAGTTAAAATATTCTGCGTTCGTTTTTCTCGTTTGGCAGGCTGCCTGAATCAGCTTCAAATTGATTTGTACATTTTTGTGCGTTGCAAGGTCACTCGGTTGGCGGTCAGAGGGGAATCATGCAATTTAATGGCCAGAGCTTAGGCCTCTCTTAAGGTCTACACATTCGTATTTTCTCTTTTATTTATACAAAGCTTAGCCATGATTTACACGTAAAAGACACGTTCGTCTGTCGTTTCCATCTTTTGTTTTTATCGGCTTAAATGTTAAAAACCATTGCACAATTCCCATTCACAAGTCATCTTCAGGTGAATGCTGTGCAGCGTTTATTTTTAAGATTCTTAGCCTCTGCAGGTCACGTAGTTCTGGTGAAGATTACTTCGAACCCAGAGAGTCTAACAAGTTCGATGTAAAAAACTGAAAGTTTTTCGGAGGAAAGAAAGTTTTTCGCTAGGAAATACATTTTACCAAAGAACAAATGAAAAAATGATTAAAAAAACTGCGAAAACTTTATTCTCTAAGAGGGGAACTTTTTTTTGTCTATAAATACCATTTTGAACGATTCACTGGCTAATTTGGACTACAAAATTGATTGATTAGTGCTAAATGAACAATTTACAATACTATGTATTTAAATTTAAACCAAAAGAATTTTTAATCCCAGTTGATTAAAGCTCTGACACGATTAGATTAGACCTTAAGGTCTACTACAATGCGGGTATTCATTATTTATAGGCAATTTGTTTTATAATCAAGGAAAGGTGCTTAGATAAAAAACCGAAAAACAAATCCCGCCGAGGCAGTTCATTAATCAGTGACAATAGCCGTCAGCAGCTGATTCGCTGGGGCTCATAAAAAAATACACAGCGTTAACAAAAAGGTTCTATAAACAAATTAGAGAGTCGAGCACGTTGTCCGTTTTTATTTATTTACATATTTCTTTTCGCTTTTTTGTTGCTTTTGCAATTACGTGGAGTCGCCGAGATGTGATTAACAGACGCGTAAGCATTTATTTTCGCTATGATTTTTATATCACTCGGACGATACTCTGCCGTTTTTATGGACCCAACAAATTAATGAAAAATAATTGCGAAAATTATAAATTCAAATTGCGTTTGCTTGGCAGCCCCTCCCCCCTTTCCGCCCCCCTTTTCGTTCTGACTAGCCCCTTCGTGTCAGCGGAATCGACTTGAAATGCACTCTAATTGTGGCAGCTTTATTTGATGATCATCAGCGATGAACACTTGTGGAACGGGGAATCGGGGAATCGGGGGGCAGACCCTTTAGAGAACCCACGCGCATTTATTGTTGATTTTCTTGACATTGAAAAACCAATTGATTTGTTTTGTTGATTTTAACGGCCTTTTGAAGGGTTAGGAACAACAAGTAAAAACCATAAAACTAATAGCATTCAGTTGGTAGAACAAAATGTTGGTGTGATCTTTGATTTATGCAATAAATTGATTCACATTTTATTCTTTGCTGAACTTGATTGGTTCCGGCTCGCTTTTGTTATTTGATCTCTATCTAATTATAGTTTTCGTTCCGATTTTGTACTTTTTATTACCTACGTTTGGTTATCGCTGCTATAATTTATTCTTTCACTTGCCTTTTATGGAACTCCTTGTCGACGTGGCCTGGGCTCAAATCAACTTTCCAGCTTTTTTCTTTAATACTTATTATTAAATGTTTTGTAAATTTTTGAAATTCAAAACAAATAACTTAGGCAACAAACTTGTTTTCTCCTTGCTGCTTGTGCACGAAAAAATCTCAATGAATTTTAATTACACTTTAAGCGGTGCACTTTATTTATGAGTTTTGCCCACTTCTTTGCATTGTTTATTAACTTTGCAGATTATGCAAATTGCGACGACGACAACAACAAGAAAACTCCACCACACAGAAATTCACTTGCAGCTAAAAATTTACGCTCGGCAAACTGCAAGCGACCGAAACAAAAAAAATGTATAAAATTAAGAGCGTTCGATTTTCGGCTGTGTATTGGATTAACCCGTTTAAATATATATTTCTCATGCGCGACTTGTAGTTGCTGTTTGTGGCTACGATTTTGGCAGCTGCTGCTGTTTTTGCTGGCGATCGCGTCAACGTCTCAAATGAAACTGAAAGCAGAAACACAAGCTGCGGCCAGCGGAGCAGCTCGCAGCTCATTGCTCATTGCTACTCTGCTCTGATCAACTCGACTCAGCTCAACTCAACTCGATTCGATTCGATTCGGTTCGGTTCGACTCTCTTTACTCGGCCGACGGAGCAGGTATATAGCCATGGCTATAATGGCCACAGGTTGGAATCTAGAAGAGCGTGCCACTGATAAACCCAAAAGCAACGTGCTGGAGCAGCTGAGCTGATGCCACAATTGGATATGTTCATGACACGATTGTTTGGTGGCAGCGCCATGGAAATATCTTCGCTCAGTTGGCTGTTCCCATAGTATCATCAACCTGTTATGCAACCAGTACCACTATCATTCTCAACACTAAACATGCTGATATCACAGCTGAAATGTCAAGATCTTATCTTGTTAAGACGTAATTAATACATATCATTTTAATTTAACATATTTAACTATAAGATAATGTTTTAGCTTTCGTTTGTATACTCGTTACTCATATTTCAATTAGAGTTATAAGAGGGAGTATTTCTGAACCTGTAAACTACATATCATATCTAACTACCTAATGATCAGCATTAACAATCAAGTCGAATTAATCATGTTTGTATTTATTGGGAAATATTTTAATTTACGACTAACAAGTTTGAAAAAATATCCTTTACTGCAGTTCAATCTAAAGCGAAAATGTTACAAGAAACTTTCAAAAACCTACCAACGTAGTATTTAATTTCGCTAATTTGGTGCAAATAAATTCCATTCATTACACTGTAAAAATAACACTTTTGCGGAGTTTCTTATCTAAACACATTGATAAAGTTCCTTAAATTCTAGGATACGAGTGGCAATGTTTTCAGTCAAAACTCCCATGCCTTCCTTTCGATAATGATCAAGGAGTATGAATGGTTCCCCTCTAGAAAGGTTATCTGAAAAGCTAACCACTCGCTCCAATTCGTCTGCAGCTTTGATCAACTTTTTGTGTAATTCTGTGTAGACATTCATTATCATGTTTGATCGGAAATTGATTAAGGGTCTAGTAAGCTCTTCCTTTTTGGCGGGAGAACCTGTCAACATTGGTTGGTCACCACCCTCATTGAAACCTCGAAAATATGCTATCTTTTCTTGCATAGAACTTGACCGAACAATAGCCTTTCCGCGTTCAAGATAGGCCAGCATGGTGTCCTTGTATTCCCCATACTCAGGATAGGGCAATAATGCAGTGACCATTTCACCCAGAAGTCTCTTCATCAGATTCACTGAGTCTTCCCACTGGTCATCTTGGAGTGCCTGGACATGTTGGAAAAACTCGCAAATGGCTGCCGTATTTCTTTCCGCAACATCGCTCCTGGCCAGTAACTGCGATTTTAACAGTAATTACTTTCTGAAAGAGGGTTTCTGTTAAAAAAAAAATGTCTCACCAGCAATGCCAGGAAAAAAATAGTCCGAGGAATTAGCATTTCTCTGTTCTTACCAATTGAATGTGATTTTCAGAGTGAATTATTCCGCTTTTATAGGAGTTCTTAGAGCAGACTTATCAGTATTTGTAGTATATAAACCTTATCGGTTGGGCAGTATTATATAGTTGTTGCATTACATTAATTATATGAAATTGTGAATTTTCATCTTTTTATTTTGATTGAAAGGCGTCAATAGCTATTTTTGTCATAAGGTTTGTGGGTATCACATTTACTGAAGGATATTTAGAAAGACCTCAAAATTTCTGAACATAATCCATCTTTTTCTGCAAGGAACTTTATTGTTCAATAATTTTCCACAAAGCTCTTATATGTTTTCTATATGCTACTATACTTTGCTTCAAAATTTTTACACAGATTTTATAGAAATCCATGGCTTATTTGTTTGTTCAATATATAATTAATTATCAACTCCATGAATATCTGGGTTCAATGGGTCGCCAAACTGAACTCAAGACTTATCGCAAGAATACCCCTGAATTACCGTGTCCTTAAACCTATTTTTTTTTAGCAAAAAACTTAATCAAAATGTTTTCAAGTTTAAAGTTATTAAACTTTCGCGATTTTTTACTGACAAAGTTCTTTGCATGTTGACCTTTTTTTTTGTGAGGGAATCATTATGGCAAAAATTAACCTCTTTGGACGCATGCAAAGTGAATAAATAATCGTATCGGCAGTCGTCAAAATTCAGGCAAAACAGAGCGACTCTGAACTTGTGTAGGAAGTTCGACTACCCGACTGGCCGGCGCATTAAAATGGAGCGTGAAATGAATTTAATATGACAACTCAGACTGTCAGTCGCTGCTGATAGCATCAATAAAATCATAATAAATACAAGCGCGTACATATATAGTTGACCAGTGTGTATATTTCATTATTTAAATAGTGTATGCGGAAACGTTGAGGCTTCCTCCCTCTCTTTCAGTGAGTAAGAAAGGGTTAAGCAGCACTATTTTCTTTACCTGGGCCTTATAAATTCCAAAGAAATTAGTTTTGCCAAACGTTCATTGTGAGCTTGTCACTCCAGGCAAATGTAGTACCTGTGCGTACCGAGAATAGAACGAAACTATGCCATTATTTTGACCATGAATAATGTGTGGCACTAAACAAGAAGTTGTTCTTGTTATTCTTTCAGAACCTTTGGCTGTTCAAAACTGTGTAAACACAACTACGAGGCTTAAGCACAATGATTCTGGGGCTTTTAAGCTTGTAAGACAAATTGTTAAGCGTCTTGAGCTTGACTTGGCGTATTTTTCATGCAAAATCGTGCCCATCTTGACCTACGTGCCTTCCTAATACTGTGCTGCTAGGCAGAAACCAATGACCAACTCTATATTTGGTATTGAATTGCCGCACTACGTTGGGTTATTAGGTACTAAATTTGTGGTGACATGGGCATTTGGTCGAAGTTTTCGTTTGGTAAGAGTTGTATGTTTTAAAGTATTTGTAGACATTGTGTAACTTGGTGAAAACAAATTCTTAATCGTTAACCATAAAATAATTGTAAAGCTGCTTTCTCATAAACGAAAAAATGACGCAAGGGTATATACAATTCGAAACAGACAACCAAGGAGTTTCCCACATTTTAAAATCAAATTTATTGCAACGAGAATTTATGCAGCTCACGCAATTTTCACTTTGCGAACTTTTCGCTTTTATTGTGCTTTCGTTAATAATTATGCAATCAATTTTGTTGCTCGCCTTCTTTAGCAGTTACTCCTGCTTTCGGGCATTGCTTCAATTAACAACTTTCCGGCATCGAACGCAAAAGAAAAACCCTTTCAATAAAGCAAATTAAATATTTGGCAATCGTTTTGTGTCGATTTTTTTGATTATCGTTCCATTTGCCGCTTTGCCCGGCCTGTGATTTGGTTTGTGCTGCGCTGCTGTTCACATATCGAAGCCGCCGAGGCTGATTTAATTTTATGATGAATATATAAACACGTACGCATGTCCCAAGAGTGTTAATCAAAAATTACCAACTTGTTTTCGCAGTGGCAGTCAAACGAGCCTCTCGAAGAACGAACAGGTGCAAGGCGGTGTCAGTTTTTGGTTGTTTTTAGACTGTTAATTTTGCTAATTTCACTTAGTCCTTTACTTCATTGTTATCCTTAATCCTTTCGGTATTATTTCACTGGCACTGGGAGTTCACTGGAGCACTTGTTTTTCACTGGAGCACCACTGTCGACCGACTAAAACAAACTCCACTAATTACTGACCTTTTTGTACTTGTCGCAGTCGCATGTGGTGTGTGCTTTTGTGGCTCATAAATTGTTTAAATATTGAACAATTGGTTGCAAATGGAGGTAGATAAAGTTGAAAAGGAACGCCACACCTTCAATCGATAAGATAGAGTCATAGAAGTCCACAATCGGAATTACCCGGAGCCAGCGAGATTGTGGCAGATGCGTCACGGGTCAGTGGGCGTGGCAGTGGGCGGCTGACACAATTAGCATACTCCGAAGTGCCTCATGTGCCGCCGGGAAAAAACCCGAAAAATACCTTCGAAAATATGCGAGTCCCGTCACCTTTTTTCACCTGAACCTGCGGCTACCTGAGTTTGTTGCCTAAGTCTTTTGTTTGTCGGTCCTGAAACTTCCCTTAAAGGGTAACGTGATTTTTGTTAAGGCTTGAACCTATAATTTTGTGTAAACTAAATATTAAATAAAATATTAAATATATAATTTTAAAGTTATTAATTACTTATTTATTTTTACTATTCCTTTTTTACCAGTGTAGGCACAATCTAGTGTATAAAGTAAATAAATTAGTTTATAATATAATCATCAACTTCTATGTACCAGACGTTTCCATTGTCTGATGGTATTTATAGAAACTTACGATAGTAAAACAGTCTCAACAGAGTAAATCCTATAAAGCAGCGTGTTTACGTTACAGAAAAGTAGTTCTTTATAATTTATAACAAAATGCACTTCCAACTCGTAGTTGTTTTAATGACTTTGCTGGTGAGATTTGGTTTAAAAATATTGGGAAAATAATAAAACACTACCTGTTCATCGCAGAGTCAGGCCAAATGCACTTCCTTGGAATCGAACACGGAAACGCTCTGCAATTTCTTCAAAAACCTAAGCAGATTACCAGATAACGAAGAGGTTTGGTGGGAAACCAATCGAAATATAGCAAAATCAATTTTGGAGACAAAAATCGATTATTCTGAAAATTATCCTTCCTGTAAGCAGTATGTGGATTCTCTCCGAGACTTACAAGACCGCGGAAATGCCTTAAATGCAGCAAGTCCTTGGGAACTAAAAATGCAGTTTCTTAATGCATCTTCGGAGGAATATTCCAGCGGACCTTGCGTTAAAACTGAGGGAACACACATTTTTGTGTATTCAAGTAGCATAACTAAGATGAGAAAAGATGCACGCGAATTGAGGCAAAGCGTTAGCGATCAAAACGAATTTCACTCTTTGGTGACACAAAATCATACACATGAGACTGCACTTCTAAATATTTTATCTGGGTTTTCAAATTCCATGCTGCGATACTTAACACGCTTTCAGCCTTATATAAAATGAGTTGTACAAGTTTGATTACCTGTTTAAATCCTCATGTTCATGTTAATAAATACGTTTTAAAGAAAAGTGTAAAATATAACCTTTTACATGTGGACTTACAGATACCTAAGCTGGTTGCCTAAATCTTTTGTTATTTTGTCCTTGAATGAAGGACTAAAAAGTGAACAAATTCAGGTAGTTTATACCTACATTTGGAGACATTTTCAAAAGTCTACACTTAGGACTTCCTATAAAATAAAAAGGATATTACTTTGGGTATTCAGTTCTTTTAAACACTTTGTAATATGCGTTTCTGTGCCATACTAATATCGCTAACTCTATTGGTAAGAATTTTTCTAAAAAATTAAAATTATTAGGTTTAATTTAAAAATGTAACCCTAGAGTCTCGTTGGTGGCTTTCCCTCGGAACTGGAAAATAATTGCGAACTCTTGGAACATGTTGATACAGACGATTCATGGTTAAATATATTTAACAATATCAGGAGATCTTTGGAAGACGCCATCAGTCGTGCATCATATTCTGAAAAATGTGCCTCTCAAGTGGAATTTCTTCAAAGCTGTCTAGATCGCGCCAAGACCATTACTTCTACAAAAGAACAAATGCAGTACGTCCTTGAATTTATTGAATACCAAGAAATGCACGCCAAAAGGGAACCAACACGTACTCACACTAATTTGGGGAAAAATATGATTCATTTATTTAAGAGAACCCTAGATAAACTCACACACTTAAGCAGGAAACTTATAAATGTTTCCGAAAAACTGGATGATAGATTTAGCAAAACAGTTTCTAGAAGTAGACAATATCTTTTTGGACATGAAACATAAAGTTTTTAAATGAGAAGCTTATAGACTAAGAACTTGATGAATAAAAAAAAATTGTTTATTAAAATGGTTTTATTTTCATAGAATTGTGTTAGCAAATACATTTGATAAATATTTTTAAGCGCAATAATTACTGGTTGGCTAACAATGCTCTGGCCTAAATGGGAATACCCTTGGGATAGAGTATCGGCAGTCGAGCCCAGTTTATTTATATTATTTAGCCGCCGGCAGACGCAGACTGGCCGTCGTCTCGAGCAGCTTCTTCAGCATCTTCGGCGCGTCGCGCAATTTCCAAAAAGCACGCATTTTATTGAGATTTATTTTGATTTAATTTCGGTCTCTTTTTCTGTTTTGTATCTTTGATTTTGGTTTTTTTTTGCCTGGGGGTTCAATGCCAAACATTTTGGCCGTCTTTTGATTTTTTTTTTTTTTTTGTATTGTTTGAGATTTTTGGACCGCGTTTTTGGCATGCGACCTGCACGAGCCTTTGGCCAAGCGTTTAAATTCCCAAATTGATGGCAATCTTTGGGGGCAAAGTGGCATTGTTTGTTGTTGCCTTGTCGGATACATATTATGCTTGGGTATCCTGCAAATGGATTCATCGTGCTTGACGTGCTCATGTGGGCCTTAATTGTTTTATTTGAGTGCCATTATGTGCAGGCACTTGGGACAGAAAGACGGACTGGACTGAGCCCAGAGTTGGAGTTGAAGATATTTGAGATGCTTCTTCTTTTGAGCGCTGAAGTGCCCGAAATCTGGTTATGATGTCATGCCCAAAAGTAAAACAAAAAAATTCTTCCATTTTTTTATGTGTGTGCCTTTTTTTTGTTGGGGGGCAATTTGAATGAATTATGCTGTTCTACTTTTTTCCACCTTTGCGGTTAGACGAAGCGACCGTCTATATTTATTTTAACACATTTGTCGTAATGCGTCATTGTCATTGCGAGCATTTGTAAATATTAAAACAAAAAAACCACCTCAAGCTCTGTACTGAAAACTGGAAATTTTTCGTCGTTAAATAATATTTTCCAAGCCCCACCCCAAGTAGTTGAAATAGCTAATCTTTGCCTAGCCGTTACAAGTGACGACCCTAAAAGTGACAACAAAAATTCACGAGACGCGTTCATAACTAGCAAAGTCGACAATGTCAAGTGCTTTAAAGTGGCAAAAAATACATCACAATAAGTTAGTGGTGGTTATAAGTTTTTAAACTTAAAGAAATGGATATTTCCCTATAAATCAAATAGCCAGTTTCCAGGTCTCATCAAAATGCTTCAATCAGTTTAACTAAAAAATTTAGTCAGCTATAATCTGAAAATTGTTGTTTGCTTTAAAACGTTGCATCATAACACTTTTCATTCATCACTTTCTTATCGGAATTACTACAAAAACAAAATATTTGTATTAACCTTCAAGGCTAAGTTAATATTTGACTCTTTTGAGTTGTTTTAAAGATTAGGCTAAAAGCAAAAGTGTAAAGCCCAAAGTAATGACTCAATGTACATTTTAAACATAAATGATCGCTGTCGTAAAGTACACAGAAATTGTACTTTATGAGTACCTTGTACTCATGTTATTTAAATTATTGATAATTAGTTAATAGAACTGTAATTTATTTGAACTCTTACTATATTTCCAACGAATCCATAGGTTTTAATATGCACTTATAAAACGTATAATTTTTCAATTCTATCGTTAAAATATTAACATATTAAATAGGATGCATACAATGGTTTTAAGTAACTAAGTAACTAACTCATTAAATTGATTAATAGAGTTGATTATACTCAACTAAATGGAAATTGCTCGGGAGAAAGGAAATTAAAGTGTTCAGCTCTATCTGTTAATGCAAAGATCGCATTTTAAATCCCATAATTTAGCATATTCATAATTCTAAATCAATGGCCTGTTACGCGAAATCTGGTTATGCAGCTGCGGCAGAAAATTCCAAACTCGCTCTTAAGTATGTGAACAATGCAGTTCTTAAAATAGTCTCAGGTCGAGGTGTGAAAACCTTTCGGCCAGCAAATACCCGCTTCGGATCCAATCACGTTTCAAGATCGAGGTGAATTCTTTGACGTATTCGCTGGCCAGATGACACGTTTGCCATGTTTTACGGCCAATTGCTTTCATTTCGCATTCATCCGCTAACGTCGCAGTTCAGCTCCAACAAATGCCATGGCATTTGGTGCCGCTAATGTCAAGATTTGGCTTTTTATGACACCCCCGAATGCATTAGAAAAAAAAACCCGATTTGGAGGATTTCGGAGTGTGTGGACTAAGCCCGCTCTAAAACGTTAACTGACCTGTTTATTTGCCTGCTCCCCCATGGTTGTTGCTGTCTATTATGGGTTAATCAAATGGCTGAACCATTAAAACCATTTAAAATTGAAGGCGGAAACAATTTGCAGAGAGCATATCAAATGAAAAGAGTATAAAAAGCAGGTAAATGGTGGGGCGCTCGTAGCCTAATTATAATGAAGCTGATTTTTCTGCGTATTTGACTGTTTTTTTATTTTGAATACCTCTTAATCTATATCATCAAGTTTTAATCCACCTCTGGCTCCAAGTGCGAACCCGTAAACCAGTTTGAAGCGGTTCCGTTTTTAATTGTGTTTGTCCGCTGGTCGATTTCAATTTGCATTCATTACAGCCCATTACTTTTGTGTTTTGATTTATGTTTGTTGTTTATCTGTGCACAATGAGATGATGATGAGAGTGGGGAACTGGCCCCACCCACCTAAATCACTTTCGAGTTAGCACCTAAAGTCGATCAAGTTTTACAATGTATCAGGACTTAAGATCTCTGGATAAGTTTATATTTCACTGATAAACAAGTGGAGTGGCTATTGAACTCCAAATATCATAAAGAAATAAAGGTGTCTATAAAATTGTAATATGCATAATTTAATGGTAAAAATAGTAATAATAATAATATAATGGTAATTATATATATTTAAATATTTGTATTTTTTTTTAAATATATCCGTGGTTAAAATAACTATAAAATGGAAGAAAAGTAAAGCGAAAAATACTTGAACTAAGTGTTAATATCTTATATATTTTATCCACTCTAAAATTCGTTTTCTTTTTCATTTTTCAGAACCAAAAACATTGGTAACCGTTGGCCAGCCATCGAGCATCGACGACAGCGAAGCCCTCGACGAGATTAACTTGAACACCAGCAGCGACGATTCAATTGGCGCAGGAGGAGGATCGAGTCCATATCGAGGAGCAGGCGATCCGAACGCCAATCCTCTGTTGGAGCCACCTCAGGAGGCGGGCAACGATTCACTGCTGAGCCAGGCGGCCTCCTCCTTCACCGCCCTGCCCGCAGTGGCCTCCAATGTGTTCTCGACCTTCTCGAAGCGAATCTACGCCGGCGGCAGCAGGGAGTCCTCGGAGGAGCCCCGATTGGAAATCCAGCCCACTTACATTCAGCAGGCTAGCTACGCACCGCCAGTAGCTTCGGTACCCGCTCCCTTTTACGCTGCTCCACCAGCGGCGGCGCATGAAGTGGTTGCCCCCGAGCCGCCCAAGTTTTACGCACCCACTGAGGTGCCGGCACCGAACATTGGAGTTCCTCCTGGACCAACGCCGGCAGCGGGAAATCCTAATACTTATCGGTTAACCGCCAGAAAGAAGACATACGCTCCCATTCCCGGATTTTCCGAGCAATCCGGACAAGCTGCCCAGCTTCCACAGGCTCCGCAAGCGGCTCAATCGTTCCAAACGCCACCCTATCCTCCTCAGCTTCAGCCGACTCCCGCAGCAAACCCTACTTTTGCTCCTGCTCTTGCTCCCTTTGACATATCAGCTCAGCCTGCTCCCCAGCCCGTCGAGGAACGCAAATCCGGCGGAGGACTTTTCTCACTGACCAGTCTTGTGCCCACGGGAGTTTTGCAGAACATCTCTGGGTTAGTGCAATCTGCCACTGGTCTAATCAGTGAGCCAGTTCCCCAATCCAATCCGCAACAAACAGGTGGCTACTTTGACATTTCGACAGGAGCACCAGCTTCATCGACCAACTTATTTGGGGGTCCTACTCCAGCTCCGCCGTCAGGAGGTAACTATTTCGTACCGAGTGCCGCAAGCGAGGTGGTAGCTCCCAATCCTGTTGGAAATTTCTTTGCACCACCAGTTCCGCCGCCTGGAGCTCCACCATCAGTATCTGAGGGAACATTCACACCGGTAGCCCCTCCACCAGTTCTGGGAGGGTTCTTTACTCCTGCAGCGACATCAATAGCCCCAGGAGTAGTGCCGCCAACAGATCCTTCCGTTTTCACTGGAGGAGCCATTCCACCAGCTGCCCCACCAGCTGTTCCATCAGTACCTTTAAGTACATCAGGAGTATTACCAGCAAATCTTCCTCCCACATCCGCAGTAGGAGGTTTCTTCAATCCAGAAGCTGTTACGCCTTCAACCACAACAGGACTACCACCAGCAAATCTTCCTCCAGCATCTGCAGTTGGAGCGTTCTTCACTCCCGCAACAGTGCAGTCTGCTGTCCCAGCAGCTTCTCAACCGAATCCCTTGCCAGGAGCACCGCCCGTTGCAGCTGCACCACCACCAGCTGCTGGTCAGGCATCATATCGCCTGCAAAAGGGCACTCGTCTCTACAAGAGTCCATTGACGGCACAGGAAACTGCTGCTTCCACTGGCTTCGCTGCTCCATTGCCAACCGCATCTGTGCCATCGGCCATTTTCAATCCATTTGGAGGACCATTTAATTCAGGTACACAACTGGAAAGCCAAAGCATTCAAGCAGTGCCATTCTATACACCGCCGGTTTACAGTCCCGCAGTTCCTGCGACAGAACAAGTAGCTGATATCGGTGTAGGATTCTCGGCTCCGCCAGTAGCTATCATTGCAAGTGCTGCTCCTCCGCCAGCAGCATCTATTGCTCCTCCGCCAGCAGCATCTATTGCTCCTCCGCCAGCAGCATCTATTGCTCCTCCGCCAGCAGCATCTATTGCTCATCCGCCAGCAGCATCTATTGCTCCTCCGCCAGCAACATTAACAGCAAGTGTTGCTAATCCATCAGCTGGCATTGCAAGTGTACCCCTCTTCGCAGCACCTCCAACATCCTCCTCGGCCATTCCCTTTTTCAACCCACAATCGAGTGACAAAGAAGTACCAAGTGCTTTGATCCAAAAGGAACCTTCGAAAGTTTTGGAAACACTGGTCCAAGAACCTAAATCAGACCAAGGAATTCCCTTGTTTGCACCAACACCCTCGGCCAGTAACTTCTTTAATCCTCCACCGTTGACAGAAACTAAGAAGGAGAATCCAAAAGCTCTGATTGAAAAGGAAACTGCAAGTGAGTCATCATCGATTCAAGGAATCCCATTCTTTGCACCACCGCCTCCAGCGACAACGGGTATAAATCTTTTTACACCGCAAATTGTACAGGATAATATAAAATCAACAGGGGAATCCAAGCAGTCAGAGATTACAGGAGCACCACCAGCAGAAACCACTCAAAGTGTTGTTTCTTCAACTGCACCACCATCTTCAACTCCCAGCAGTTCCTTCTTCGCGACCCAAGAAGTTCCATTATTTTGTCCTGCTGTTATCGAACCTGTTTTGGAAAATACTCCACCGACCATCTCGGGAACGAGTGCTCCACCAGAACCAGCTCCATCTGCGCCATTGGAAGCAGAGATTCCATTGTTCGTGCCAGTGCCAGCTTTATCGGGACAAAGTCAGAGTGTACCCTTATATCCACCACCACCAACTGGATCCAACGATCCCAGCGGTCTGTTTGCTCCGCCACCAGCAATTTCAAGTGCTCCTGATCCTGTAACTTCAACTGTTTCTTCGTTTTTTGCCCCCACTCAAGTGGATTCTACTACTTCCTTATTTGCTCCGCCTCCAGCTGCAAGTTCTTCAATTTCCACACCTGTTCCACCAACGAGCTCTACATTGTTTGCTCCTATATCAACAACCCAATCCTCGTCTGAGTTAGTGGATGCTCCGCCTGGTTTCCTTGGAACACCAGAGGCTAACACCACACATCTGTTCCAGAGCAACTCCGAAACCCAAACAGTTTTTAGTCCATTTGCGCAAACTAAAGCTACACCTTTGATTCAGGAAACGGGACAGGAACTGGTTCCACCTCCAATTGGATTCTTTGCACAACCGACCGAGGCCGAAGCACTTAATCACCCACCACTTGCTCCATCGCCCTTGCAAAGCTTCTTTACCCCGGCACCCGGGGCAGCTGCATCCGCGGACTTCAGCTTCTTTGGAAGTCCTCCAGCACCAAGCAGTGTGTTTCCGGACTTGCCAGTTCAGCAAGGAATTGCACCGCCACCGTTGGCCCAGGAGCCACCTCCGCAGGCTGTTGGCGCAGAAATTGCCCCAGCTCCTTTAGGATTCGATTTGCTGAGCCAATCCCAGCAAGCGCAAGACCAGGCACCAACTTCGATCGAAAATTCGTATTCAAATTCAAGTGTCAACTCTTTCACCGGCTTTTTTGGCGGCCCCAGTGCCCCTCCACCGGCATCCGCTGCACCTGAGCCAGCTCCAGCTCCGGTTGCTCCAGCTTTGAACTGCGATCCGGTCAACTTCTTCGATCAAGTGCCCCAGACGCAGTCGCAAATCCAGCAAGCCAACGAGGATCAGCGCATCCAGAACTTCTTCAACAATCCGCCATTGCAGGATCAACCTGCTGGTCCGGGTGAACTCAAGTACGACATTGTGCACAGCGGAGTGGCTGTGAGACAGCTGCAGGAACGCTCGCAGACACCCATCTCCAATCTTGTCGAGCCTCCCTCGTCGGCTTGCTCTGAGTTCTCAACGCTAGCTCCTGCTCCCACGCCAACCGATCGCCAGACAGGCGAGGATCTACTACAGCAGCACCTGGGTGAATTGCCCGAGGAGATCCTCAAAGAACTCAGGATGGCCAATGCCAGCAGCGATAAGGGTCAGGTGGCGACACCTCCAGTGGCCATCGTAAGTTGATGAAATATGGAATAACGCACGGTTTTTAATTATCATTCTTTGTAGGCCTACTCACCAGTGGTGGTCCATTGGTTCTACAAACGCAGTGTGGACACGAAATTCATCTGGACACCATTCAGCCACTATGATTCAGCCTTGTTGGAAACAGGCCTTAATATGGGTAAGCCTCTATAAACTAGTTGGAGGACATTAGCTCAAGATTGACCTCATTCCCAGACGACTCCACACTGGTAATTCCCGTCGAGGGCGGTCGCTACGATGTGAACATCAAGGAGCGCACCAAGACACCCGTCTACTGGGAGGGAAAGGCCATCGAAGTGAGGCGCTGCTCCTGGTTCTACAAGGGCGTCGACTCCAAGTACGTGCCCTACACCGAGGATACGGCCGCTCTGCTGGAGGCCGAGTACAAGCGATCCGCGGAGACTGGCGAGTGGCATCAGAAGATCATGCTGGCCGGCGGCGAGCAGGTGGTCTTCCACGGACCCACAGTCATCGTGCACTTCCTGCCGCAACAGAATGCGGACACGTGGGGGGCCAGCACGCAGGGCTCCATGCGTCCGCGGGTGGTGAAACGGGATCTGGATGACTTCACCATCGAACAGGGCGAATCGCAGCGAGTGGATCACCTGCTCTTCATGGTCCATGGCATTGGATCGGCCTGTGATTTGAAAATGCGTTCGGTGGAGGAAGTTGGTAGGTTTTCATAAATGAAAGTTACGTGGCACATTTACTTTACTTTTACTTACTTGACTTTACAGTGGATGACTTCCGGGTTATTGCCCAGCAATTGGTTCAATCGCACTATAAGAACTCCACGGACATGGGCCTGGTGGGTCGCGTTGAAGTCCTGCCCATCTCCTGGCACGGTCACCTGCACTCCGAGGAGCTGGGCATCGATGAAAAGCTCAAGTCCATCACGTTGGAGTCGATTCCACGCCTGCGAAACTTCACCAACGACACCCTGCTCGACGTGCTCTTCTACACCAGTCCAAAGTACTGCCAGAAGATCATGAACACAGTGGCCGATGCCCTCAATGATGTCTATCTAAAGTACCGAATGCGGCATCCGGAATTTAACGGAGGAGTCTCGCTGGCCGGACACAGTCTCGGCTCGCTGATCCTGTTCGATCTGCTGTGCCATCAGGAGCCGCTCAAGGAAAGCGAGGAGGAGAATAAAGTGGGTTTATCTTTAGCTTATATCTAATACATATTTAAAAGCGAGTTATTTATCCATCAAGGAGAATCCCGATCAACTGCCGCAGAAGCAAGTCAACCAGAAGGTTCAGCTGCCGACCAGTGACCTTCTGCCCAAACAAGTCAGCTACGCCATGGGACCGGAGGGCACGGGACAGCCCGTGATCACATATACGCAGCTCATATTCCACCCGAAGAAGTTCTTCGCTTTGGGCTCACCCATTGGAATGTTTGTGACGATCCGGGGGATCGATAAGCTCGGCCTCGACTTCCACCTGCCCACGTGTCCGGGTTTCTACAACATATTCCATCCCTTCGATCCGGTGGCCTATCGGATTGAGGCGCTCGTCAATCCGGATATGAATGGCATTCGGCCGGTGTTGATTCCCCACCACAAGGGACGCAAACGGATGCATCTGGAGCTAAAGGAGACGATGAGTCGGGTGGGAGCGGACATCAAGCAGAGGTTCATGGACACGTTCAAGACCACGCTGGACAGTGTCAATTTCCTGGCCACCGTGACGAAGGTGAAGAAGGAAGCCGAAGAGTCGTTGGAAAAGGAGACAAGTCAGGTTGGTGCATACATCTTATAATCATCGCAAACCAAAGTTAAAAAAAACATCCTTATTTCAGACCTCTTCACAGGCTTTGCAAAAGCAAATGGAGGATCAGGACGAGCTCTCCGTGGCCAGCTCTTCCAGCAAACTGCGAAATCGAACCGATTCCAACTCGACCACGGCTTCCGAACCAGAGTTCATAGAACTTGACTTCCCGCTGGGTAAGCTGAACGATTCGAAGCGAGTGGATTATGTGCTCCAGGAAGCGCCTCTGGAGTTCATCAACGAGTACATTTTTGCCCTAAGCAGCCATGTGTGCTACTGGTGAGTGATCATCTCGGTCTTCAACTATCATATAGACTTATTAATCAATTATTCCACACAGGGGTTCCGAAGATACGATCCTTTTCGTGATGAAGGAGATCTACGCCAGCCTGGGCATTAGCACCGACAGTCAGGTGCCGCAGTCGTCCATGACCATCGAGCGACCCGTCTCCCACGAAAGCAGTGTCAGCCATTCGCTGATGCCGATGTGAGTCCAACAAACCACACGAGCGCTCTGTTGGATCCACCGATCCTTTGTATCACACACACCATAACTATATATATTTAGTACCAATTTATTTAGATATGTTATTTGTTAGCCGAATCATACAAAGAATTTTCCATATGTGCAACTCTAACATGGTTAATGGTATTATCAAAGTAAGAAGTCTTTATCGTTTGAGCGACTAACCGCTAGCAAGTTCTCGAGCTTTACAAATTGTCACTTATATTTACCGGATGAGCACCGACTAGTGCTGTTTGTTATTTTTGTAATATCGCCTGTGTAATTGACTTTGTAACTTGTATGCTTAACAAAGTGTATGTCTAAACATTTTAAAATAAAGAACATAACCATTGTTTTCAAAATTTGCGGGTGATTTTGTATCGAAAGGGGATGTATCTTATATTTATCGAATACAAAGTCGATTACTTTCTTCCTCGGTAACGGTATTTTGATAATCGATCAAAGGTTTTTCTTAAATACAAGCCGCATCAAAATATACCAACATTTGTAATGCTGAAAATAAAATGGCCACCCTAATCCGCCCGCTGCACACCCGGTCACACTTGAACTGCGGGCAAGTGGTTTTTTCGTGATAAAATTAAGGAAACGCGATTTCGGCATTGATAAGCGATCTGATAATTGCCAGCAAAGCACTCCACGGGCAGGCGGAGCACCAGGCCCAGCTGGATATAGAATATATAGCGTAATGCACCGCCGATCGGCTGGAAGAGAGCTAGTGCAGTGCAGTAACCTTCTGACGTTCGCTTTGCAGTCGTGGTGTTTTGTTATTGGGGCGGAAAAACGACAAACGAGATTATAAATAGGCACGGGTCACGAAAAATGTGTGTCGGTTTCGGGAGGATGCAAGTGCAGCTGGATTCGCGGATATAGTGCGTCTGAGTGTTATCCGGGGAATCCCCCCACTTAAGTGGTAGTACTACCCATACTACGTAGTACCGTGAAACCCGGGTGAAATCAACAATTTAGGTCGAAATTTCGGGCAGTGGTAAGCATATTTCGGGTGACTTTTTTTCACTCTCAACGAAATTATTTGTTAAATTATGAGCTAATTATGAGTTGGCTGTTTCAATTAAGCTGCAGTCGCTGATTTAGCAGCTTAATCAAGCGGACGAACCACGGGCCCAAAGCGGAGTCAACAAAGAAGCGGCCAAGAGAAACGTCGAAACACAAGACACAAAATACATAGTTTCAACGGCGCAACAGCACACGTTCAAAGTGAAGGTCAACGTCACAACGATTGGAGCGGCAAGTCTGGCGGCCGAAACCGAAAGACAAAGCGATCCACCATCCACACCGGTACTCTCCTCCGTCTCCAGATAGCCAAAGCCAGCGTTATGGCCACCGCATCCACCTCACCCGCATTTCTCGCTCCCAATAAGCGGCTAGGATGGATGCTTGCCAACCTGGTGGCCCTGCTCATCCTGGTGGCCCAAGTCCTGACCACCGAAACCACCATGCCCACGCAGAACATGTCCAACAAGGAGCGGGCTGAACTCAGGTAAATCCCCAGCTACATTAGGTGTTCCCGTACCAAATTCGATCCTATAAAGGAAACCCTGATCATGATCATAATGTTTCCAACTTTTCTACGGTTTTAAAACCAATAACAACAATTTATTTATCAACAATCAATATATGCCTTATGCAGGTTAAATTTACATAACTCGCTTATAAATTAAGATATGACCTTTCTATACAAAGTCATGAGGATGTTACAACTTTTTTGAATCGAACGACTATATTCTATAGTTGTAACCTTACGTTTTTAAATTTAATCGTATTTAAATTAAATTAGGGTAGTTTTCTACAATGTCATGATCATTTTTAAATTTTACTGAGGCAGAATATATTGTTTCCTCTATATTTTCGTTTTGTTTAACTTAAACTTTTGTTTAACTTAAATATTCGAAATACTTTTACTTTAAATGTTTGTAGGACAGTACCTTAAAAATAGTCTCATAGATTTCATAGTTTTCATATTATAATAAATTTAAGACTTAAGCTTGTGTGTTCCTTCTGGTTTGCAGGGAAGAGGCCCGCGATATGTTCTATCATGCATATCACGCCTACATGGAGAACGCCTATCCGGCGGATGAGCTGATGCCGCTCTCCTGCAAAGGACGCTATCGCGGAGTGACGCCCTCACGAGGCGACATGGACGATATCCTCGGGAAGTGAGTTCAATTCCGTTCTCTTTTAGGCGTATGTTAACCATGACTTTATTTCAGCTTCTCCATGACGCTGGTGGACACTCTGGACACCCTGGTGCTGCTGGGAGATTTTACCGAGTTTGAGCACGCGGTGAAGCTGGTTATCCGCGACGTTCAGTTCGACAGCGACATTATTGTGTCGGTGTTTGAAACGAACATTCGCATGGTCGGTGGCCTGCTGTCGGCCCACATCCTGGCGGAGTATCTGCAGAAGCATGCGGACACGATGCACTGGTACAAGGGCGAGTTGCTGGAGATGTCCCGCGAGTTGGGCTACCGATTGTTGCCCGCATTCAACACATCCACGGGTATACCGCATGCACGGGTTAATCTCCGACTGGGCATGAAGGATCCGCAGTTAAAGAAGTCCCGTGAGACTTGTACTGCATGCGCGGGAACCATTCTGCTGGAATTCGCCGCTCTTTCGCGGCTCACTGGCGATCCCATCTTTGAGGTGCGAGCCCATGCTGCAATGGATGCGTTATGGAAGCTACGGCACCGTGGCTCCGATCTCATGGGCACAGTGCTCAATGTCCACTCGGGCGACTGGGTGCGCCGGGATTCCGGAGTCGGGGCCGGCATCGACAGCTACTACGAGTACCTGTTCAAGTCGTATGTCTTGCTGGGCGATGACAAGTACCTGGCACGCTTCAACCGCCACTACAACGCCGTGATGAAGTACGTCAGCGAGGGGCCCATGCTGCTGGACGTCCTGATGCACAGGCCACATGCCAAGTCAAAGAACTTTATGGATTCTCTCCTGGCCTTCTGGCCTGGCCTGCAAGTGCTTTCCGGCGACCTCAAGCCAGCCGTGCAGACCCACGAAATGCTCTACCAGGTAAGGTTTATCCTATATAATTTTTTACATATAAATATATATATTTTTTTTATCTTGCAGGTCATGCAGATGCACACCTTCATTCCAGAAGCTTTTACCGTAGACTTCCAAATCCACTGGGGCCAGCATCCACTGCGCCCGGAGTTCATCGAGTCCACATACTTCCTGTACCGCGCCACTGGCGACCATCACTACCTGCAGGTGGGCAAGCGGGCTCTGAAAACACTGCAGCAGTACGCCAAGGTCTCCTGCGGCTATGCTGCCGTCAATGATGTGCGCACTGGCAAGCACGAGGATCGCATGGACTCGTTTGTGCTCTCCGAGACAATCAAGTACCTCTTCCTGATGTTCGCCGATCCCCAGGATCTGATCATCAACGTCGATGAGTTTGTCTTCACGACCGAAGCTCACCTGCTGCCCCTGTCGATTGCCCAACTAGGGAATGCCACGTTTAGTAAGTTTTTTGCACGAAATCAAAGAGGGTTTAGTCGTAATTCTAAAAAACATTTTTTTAAAAAACTTCCCTTAGTAAGATAAATTTTAAAACTAATTTTCTAAATTGTATTTTCAAATCTTTGCTGCCTTGAAAACGTCTAAGCACTTTTCCTTATCACAACATTAGCCACAAAACTTTTAAACAGCCCTTGGAGAAATTGAACTACTGATAAAGTCTTATTTGCGTCATAAAATAAATGAATTTCAAAGATAACTAATTTGATGTGTAAAGTTTGAAAGTATATTACTTGGGGAATAGATTATAGATTGTACTGAAACTGGATAATCTAGGTTTAAGCATTAGCATTGTTATTTACAAGATTATTTAATTAATTCCTTATCTTTTTACAGGCTTTCGGCAGTCGGACGAACACAACGTACTCGACTTCATGCGCACCTGCCCCAGTTCAAATAAGCTTTTTCCTGAGAAAGTACGCAAACCACTGCGCAACTTCATTACGGGCTCGTGTCCGCGAACGAGCGCTGGAAAGCGACTCAGCGCCCTGGATTTTCAGGCAAGCAATGCAGATCATCTGCGAGCTGTTTACGACATGGGCATTACCATGGTTTCGGTAGGCGACCGCAGCCAAGGCAAGGTGCGACTGTTTCATAGTTTCTATAATGTAAGTTTTTTTCTGTTCCGCTTCGTTTGGTTTCGTTTGCATATTTCGTTTGACACTCTGGCTGGTTTCCTGGCCATTTCGCTGTCTCAAACTCCATCACCCTATCATCATCATCATCATCATCTACTCTTACCACAACATTCAAATTAACTGCTTTTATTCAGGCCAAAAGCCATGAGGAAGGCGAAATGGGACTGCAGTTTATGCAGGAGATGCTTGAGCTGACCAAGATGCAGAGCATTAATCAGCTGGCGCAACTGCAGGTTAGTAGATCGTTAAGGAACATCTTAAAGTTTATGTTTAACTTGTATGTTTTAATACTCATTCAAAAGGCTGTGGCCTATGCCACCGACGAGAAGGCTCAGGAATGGATCGCCCTGATGGCAGGGCCTTCGCACTTCAGCCCCGAGCTCATCGGCGACCAGTTCGTTCAGGGAGATGTGGTGCTGGCCAAACCGCTGCGTGCCTGCGATGAGCTGCTGGAGAACGCGGAGGAGGCCAAGGGCAAGGTCCTGGTGGCCGAGCGCGGCGACTGCACGTTCGTGAGCAAGGCACGGCTGGCCCAAAAGGTGGGCGCGGCGGCGCTGATTGTCTGTGATAATGTGCCGGGCTCCTCCGGCGAGACGCAGCCCATGTTCGCCATGTCCGGCGACGGCAAGGACGACGTGCTCATTCCGGTCGTCTTCATGTACAGCGTGGAGTTCGGCAAGCTGTCGGCGGTGATGCAGCGGCGGAAGCAGCCGCTCCGCGTCCGCGTCATGCAGATGGTGGAGTTCAAGCGATGGCAGCTGGCCAAGGCGCAGCGGCAGAATCAAACCGCAACGGCCACACAGAAGCCGGACAAAGAGTTGTAGTGGACTGCTGCTACTGCTGCTGCTGCTGCTGCTGCTGGTGGACCGCCCTCAGCGTTAACCATCGTTTTGGGGCTGCTTGAAACCGCCTTGAAAGTATGGTTAACGCCACAATATAGATATACTTTCTATATTCGCAAAGTGTACAGGTACAGTAAGCGATCGCAACTAAATTTGAAATTCTTGTACTTTACTAGACATGTAAGCACGATGGAATCCTCAGCTTAGGGATTTTTGCATTTCGTGGTTGGTTCTCAGGCTAGCAATTGGCTTCCTAGTGGCAATTTGATAACCGAATCGCATCCGATATCCGCATTCGCGTTCATTCTAATTGTATATTTGCTCCACCTCACAATTTTTTAGACGGATTTTACGTTTTCGTGTAAGCAAAACTTGTGTACATAAACCATTAGAACCTAGCAACTAATTAAACAACTAATTAATGATTAATTTTTAAGTAAAAATTAGTTGATAATGTAGCCAGTCAGGAGATTGATCGACAAATGTGTAGTTGAAATTGTTTAGTTCTTATACAACTATAAAAATAGTCTAAAATATATGAAAAATAATGAAACAACAGAAAGCTATATTCTTTCAATGATTTTACAAATATTTAAAAAATCTTTTAAGTGATAATTATTACAAATATAATTGTTAAAAGGTTAAGCTGCAATTAGAGAAATGTTAAACAGTGGTATCCAATTGTGGCGCTAGACATTCCGCATCGGAAAGGAACCTGCATTCCAAGCAAAAGTAAATCTTGTCCTCCATCCGAAGGGATAATACTTCTCTTATCTTGTCCACCGGAAATCCCTTTGGTATTCTATTCTCCGACACTGCTTCCACTTTAAGGCCCTGCTTTTTCTCGTCCTGACACTCAGTTCCACTGCTCTGCCATGTGGTGCGGATTATGTCGAATGCTTCGCTCGCCAGAATCGGTAATGCCACTGCCAAAAGGAGGTTGTTCAAGAGGTCCAGTATGGAATCGATTGTCACACTTGATTCCAGCCTTTCGAACACGACGAGGGCGGTGGAGGATTTTTCCGGCTGGATGACTACTTCTTTATCCACACTTACAGTAACCGATATCTTCCTGGTTACTGTGATGTTGGCGTCCAACGGTGCGTATGGCTTTTCCTTACGCTTCTCCGCTAGTGTCGCTTCATACATGTTTTCTGGGATTTCGTAGCCAATGAAGTAGGAGGGCGAGGTCGTCGGCGGTCCTGAAATTAGCAACAAACTTTCTATGCGCACCGATGAAAAGAGCCAAACTATAAACTCGATAACTCGCAGTAAAAACATATCTTTTAAGGCACTTTTCAGGAGTTGTTGTTGTAGAATGACAGTCATTTGTCGCCTTCTTTTCAAATCAATTTTAAATTTTAAATCCAACACCCTACCTAAAACTAAAGACAACTCATAAAACAAGGATGATATTTTTAAACAGATTTCCTTTTAATGACATTCATTTGTTTCCATTTTGGTGTTTCGTTTGAACTAAAAATATGACACATCCACTGCTGCAGTTGATAGTATTAAATCAAATATTTGAATTCATAATTAGGTCTAGAGCACTATGTTACCTTAAGCTAGGGTTTTGTTTTTCTTTTAGAAAAAATAAAAAAAAAAACCAAAGAAACAAAAACACTTAATCGATGATAGGCGGACAGCTTAGTAAAGGCTTATCGGGTCTGACTTACTTAAGACTTAGGCGAAATGTCGATATTATTGGATGATATTTTATGATTGGTTAGGTTAACACGCTAACACGCAACTTATTAAACATAGTTTCGTATATATTTGAACTATATGTTTGCGCCGACAGCCAGCCAAAAGCATATCCAGGGGTTCTTAGATTTTCACATTAAAGGCGTTGTTCGTATTGTGTCTTGTGGGTGATTTGTAATGTAACAAGGATTATACGGTGAGAAAAACAAAAACTTCACTTTCCGATTTCTAGCGTCCGTTCTACGCCAAGTGCTGCTGTTGGACAGCCAGTTTCAGCATGTGATTGGCGATGCTGTCCACCGTCAGATACTGTGGCGACATCTCGATCACCTGGGACTTGTGGCGGGCATAAAACCGCTGCACTCCATTGCCTTGCGGCGCCAAATAGGTGAGCTGCCGTGGATCGGCGGCACTTATCCAGGCCTCATCGTTCGTTGCAGACTTGATGATCAGATGGTCGCCGGTATTTATGGCCTCCGTGGCATCGTCGAACTGCGGCGATGGCAGGCGATGAACCTGCAACAGTCGGTGCGAGGGCGTGGCATGCGAAAGCTCGCAGGCGATCACATGCACCTCAGCCGGTCTGTTGGGCTCCTTCAGATGCTGGTAGAGCACCAGCATGCTGCTCTGATCCATGTCGAGGCTGGGATAGTGCATGGCTGCCAGGCTGCTGCCCAGCGGACGACCCAGATCGTAGTTCATCAGCGTGTCGCCACTGCGATGGTCCCAAATCGTGATCCGCGTCTGTCCGTAGCCGATCAGGCGGTCCTCCGACAGGCACTCGATGTGGCGCAGTTCGTGGCGCAGCTGCTTGAACTCCCGTATGGAGGCCAGCGTGTCCAGCGTGGGCGTCAGCGAGTACTTGCAGATGCCCGAACGTGGCTTGCCCATCACCAGTTCCTGCTGCCAGGCCATCACAAAGTAGCGCGACTCCGTGATGGTAGTGTATATGACATTGGGCCACTCACTAAAAGCAGGAAATTTGAACAATAATAAACAAAGTTTGCAGGGGTAAATGGTTTAAGGACTCACCAGTTAACCGCGTCCAAGTGCACAGAGTGCATCCGGGGCCTTAGTTCCTCCTCGCAGAAGTAGTATACATTGACGTGCAGCGATGTCAGCTTCACCTCCCGCTTGTGGTGATCCAGTGGTCTGCTCCGCATTTCCAGGTACACCGGTGTGGAGTTGTGCACGCAGATGCGGTTGCCAAAAGGTGTAAAGATCTCCGTTTCTGTAAAGGGTCAAAGGAAGAGATTAGGAAAGGCTCCAATCTTCAATAGCTGTTACCCACCATTAGTAACCCGTCGCACTCTACCCAAGTACACCCATCGCGGGCCAACCTGCAGCTCCTGTTCGCCATCCTTGGAGTTGCGTGCATATGGATGATGAAGCTGTGCGGCGGGCGACTTCCTTGCACCATCGAAGGAGGGCTGCCGACGCGGTTGGTGCAACACGTTGAACACTTTGGAGTACTTCCAGAAGGTGATGCAGTTCTCCTGTAGCACGATAAGCTGTTCCAGCTCGTAGTACATGTAGAGCACCTTGCCGTGCTTGGCGGAAAGTGGATTCGCCAGCGTCGATGTGCCCTCGCTGAGGCGTAGCAGACCGCCGGGGGGCGTGGCCAGCACTTTTTGGGCAGCATCCACTTGTCCTGCGTGCTGGCGATGTGGCGGCGGCGGCGGCGACTTCGAATTCAATGGCGGGGATGTGGGCGAAGGCGGATATATAAGCGCTGGCTGGGCATAAGGCGTTTGAGCGGGCACAGGGGAATGGACGTGGGTCAGTTCTGCAGCCACCTCTGCGGCGGCGTAGTCAAGCACATGCTTGTGGGGATCCACAAGAGCTTTGGGAACTTCCAGTGGCACTGGATCTGTGATCCTGGGAACAGTGACTGGGGCATGCTCAACTGCCTCAAGATTTCCTGGCAGAGATTTGGCACGCATCCTCTTGGTGCGCTTAGTCAGTCGATTAACAGATTTCGTTGCACTTGTCGTCACAGTCGTCACATTATTCTTCTTGCGCGGACTGTTCGGCGGAGCCAATTGCTGCTGCAGCTGCAGACGATGCTGCTCGGGAAGACTCTTGTCGGCGGGTTCGGGTCTCTTTAGGCTCGCCCTTACAGCCTTGGGCATTTGAACCTTTTTGACAGCTTGGGTTGTGCCACCGCTCAACCGCTTGGCTCGTCCCTGGGCCATTTCGTCCGAGAGGGCGTAGCTCTTGAGCAGACTGACCTTGCGGCTTCGCAGCAGCTTCGAGTTGAGGTGCGTGGTGGAACGGGTAACCAGATCACGTATGCGAGCGGGCTTCCCGGAGCTCGGAGCTCCCACCGTAGTGCGTCGTCGTTTTGTGGCAGTCGCAGGCTTGGTAGCGCCATGAGTTTTCCTATGCTTTGGCGTTTTTGGCGACTCGGCTGCTATAACCGGTGATGGAACATCTTTAACGGGGCTGGTCTTCGTAGGGTTTATCTTAGCAGGTTGAGGAATCACGGCAGAGGGACACGGGGCGCCCACATCGCCAAAAGTCTCGGGTGAAATGCGTGACTCCTGCTGTCTTCCCGGCGATGGAGTTTGCGGCGAGGCATTGCTCATTGCCTGGATGATGTAGATCGATGGCTTGGTCTCGCGCGCCTGGCGCAAGCGTTGCTGCATCTTCTCCAGCAGCTTGGACTGGGCAGGAGCGGCAGCCTCGTAGACCTTGGCAAACGCTGCCTCAACGGAGTGCACACGATCGTCCGCGGGTTCCTTGTGTGCCTCCTGCTTCTTGGGGGATCTGTGCTCCAGTTGCTTGGGTGATTTGCACCTCTCCCGCTCCTTTGAAGACCTGTGCGTCCCCGTTTCTTTGGGGGATTTGGGTCGCTCTTTCTCTCTGGATGACTGGGTGACCATTGAGGGGTCTCCCTTTTCCTGGAAAAAGGTGTCGTACATGTGTTTGGACTGGCGCTGCTCTTCCACATTCGTTGCAGGCAGTTGGCCGATGAAACTCAGCTCGCCATCCGCCCGTGGAACGGCTTCAGTTACCTGAGGCAACGAGGATTCTTCTTTGTCAGTGCTTAGCTCACTGCTGGTGGTCAGCGGCAACTTCTTTTCCTTGTCCTGCTGGCGATCGCGTTCCCTCTCCCGCCGCTTGCCGCGCACATCGCTGCGCATCCTGTCCAGCTGCTGTTGGGGTCGCACCCGCAGCGATCGACGGGCCACCGTGCTGTTGGCCAGCTCCCGCATCGCAGTAGCCACCGCATTGGCCGTGGCCAGTTCAGTGAGACCCAGATAGTTGCAGAACTCCTGCTGCTCGTAGAACATACTGTCGTTGGGGCAGCTGAAAGTAAGCTCCTGATTCGCGGCCATTTGCATGGGCATCTCTGAAAGAAATAGTTGGATTTAGATAAATAAATGGGTCAAATCAAATAAAATTAAGGGGTTATTTGACTTTTGAACATTAATCTAACAATGCCAAACTGATTTAAACAGAATCAAATCTTAGAAATTAAAACATTCACGTGATTTTGATACGAATTAGGAACATAATTGTAAGATGCATACTTAAATGCAGGGGTTCATTTAATGATAATGTGATTTTGATGCAAATTTGGACAAATTTTTTAGGGAGAGTAAAAGTCTCACCTGGCGGCGCTTGTGGCTGTTCCTGGTAGCGATACATCTGTTGTTGCTGCAGCTGCATCTTGTGCTCCATAAACTGCTGCTGTTGAATTTGCACCTGCTGACGCATCACATCCAGGACAGCATTGGCCAGTTGCCTGCCCTCCGAAGGCCCCAGATCACTGGAGTTGGGCTGCATGAAGTCAACTATTTCCTCTGGGGCAGCGGGGCAAGGTGGAGCATTGGCAACAGATGCGGATGCAGCAGGATCCAAATGCACAGCGGATGATCCTGCTGTTGGTGCAGCCGCGCTGCTCTCCAAATCCGTGGTGGAAGTCTCCTTGGTAAGCTGCCGCTGCTCAGAGGCTTGCGTCTCCATGGTCTTCACATCGGAGGCATCGTGAAGCACTACCTCTTCTTCCTCCGCTTGCTGATCAACCTGCAGCTCCTCCTCGGGAATCAGTGTGGTGACGGAGGCGTTCTCCATGCCCACCACTTCATAGCAATCATCGTCGTCGTCGTCCAGCACAATGGTCTCTTCGGTGGGCATGATGTGCAGGAAGCGTCGATGGACCGGACGCTCCGCTGACTGGGAGCTGGCTTGCTCTTGCGTGGACTCGTCGGAGGTCTGCAGGATTTCGCGGCTGATCTTCTCCAGGTTGCGGGCCAGCGTTTCGCGGAACTCGAGAAAATTGAGCTGCTTAAGTGGGGCCGTGGCAGCCTCATACTGGTCGAAGGCGGCCTCAAAGCTCTCCACGTCCTCCACGGCTGCACACTCCTCGCTGGCCGCCGTCTCCCAACTGGAGACCTTCTCGGCGGGACTCATCTGCGGCTGAGCCTGGCAGATGCTGGCCAGCCTGCGATCCATAGCCTCGCCGTGGAGTGTGTTCTTCATCAGTGGCGGATACTTGCGCTTCAGCGGCGCCACTTTGGACGGAGAATGCCCGCCGCCGCCCATTAGATCGTCTTCGAACTCATAGTTGTAGCTGGCGTTGGGCATCGAGGAGGAGCTGACCGGGAACTCCGTGGGACTGCTGTGCTCGCGTGGCAACTTCCTCAGCGCATTGTTACCGGGCGGTGGCTCCTGACCCTCCAGAACACTGATGTCGATGGGCTGGTGGCCTGGTGTTTGAGCCTGCATTATGGCGTCCTCGTCCTCTTCGTCGTCGTGGTCCTCCAATTCGTGATCATACACCTGACAAATGTCAGGCCGTTCCTCCTCCATGGGCGTGTCATCTAAAAATGTGGCGTTATCGTTCTCCTCTGGCGCCTCGTCCTCGACCAGCTCCTGGTGAACCAGTGGCTGCTCCAGCGCTGCATCGCTGAGGTACACATTGTTTCCAGCCGCCATACGTGCCTCGTCCTCGCCCAAATCCTCCACCACCTCCTCAATGTAGGCAGCCCCATTGAGGCACTCATCATTCGCTACACCACTTTCCTCGGGCAGCAGACCCAGCAATGCCCCGGCTCCGTTTCCGGCCATCAGGATGGCCCTGGCGAACTCCTGCTCGCAGGCCACGCCCTGGGTGGCCACTATGATCTCGCAGCAGTGCTCCTCCGCCAGCACGACCATATTCTCGCCATCCACGGACTCGTAGATCACGCACTGCTCTCCCTCCTCGGCCACCTGAAGATCATGTTCATCCTCCTCATCGTCACCATGTTGCTCCATGGCGAACTGGTCGACGTTGCCGTTGGTCAGTAGGATGCCGGGACTGTTGACCACGGCCTGCATCAGAGCAATGGCCGGATCCTGTGCTGATTCAGGCGAGTCTGTAAAACATGGAAACAACAGATTTTTTATTGTAAAATGGTTATAATGCCCAAATGATTCTTAAGCAAAGCAAGCATGTAGCTGATTATGAAAACTATTATTGTACTCTTTATCATATTTCTAAGCAGATCATAATGTAGAGTTAGGAATAACATTTCTGCATGCCATTTGAAATACCAAATTAATAACGACTCTGTTTTATTAAGCTAAAGAGGGCGTTTTCAAAATAAAATGTAAGACTTTTTTTGCTAAAGAAATGCTAACTTGGCTGTTATAGATTATATTGCAATCCCTTGCTTATTAAAATAGATTGTACATATCTGAAAAATTTTAACTATTTAGTGATCATAAAACAATTTTATATTAGGTGTAAAGAGAATAATTTCTAAATGAAATGTCTGATTTTTAATGCCTGATATATGCCACTTTTGCTATCAACGATTATATTGCGCACTTGCTTGTTGTGATATTTTCAATGCATTTTTTTCTCATAAAACTCTCTAGTTTTAAACTATTATAAAAAATCGATTTAAATTATCCCGACTATGGTGTAAGGGACGAATTCATTTTCTTATCGCTGTACACAGTATATGTAAAGTTTCCCTACGAGTAATATGGTTCCCCATTAAATCCTTAACCCACCATTGATCTCGATGACATCGTGGCTGCTGCACGGTCGCTTGGCGGGCGTGCATGTGGTCCATTCCGGTGCTGGAACGGCCTCCTCCGCGGCCATCATGTGCCGGCAGAGTCCGTAGATGAAGCGTTCTCCCGCGTCGACAAAACTGGTGGACGGATGCTCCTCTGCCTCTGGCCAGCCCTTGAAGCCACTGCCACTGGAGATGAGGCTGTGGATGTCCGAGTTGTCGGAGATGACGTGCAGCATGCTGTCTACGGCGGGGTCCAGGTCCGCTTCCGGTTCAGGGGGTTCCGCCTCTGAATCTGGGCGCGCCACTCGATGATCAGCCACGCCCGATCCGGCGGCTGGACCTGCGACCACCTCCGAATCCACCTCGTCGCCTTCCAGCGGCGAGTAGCAGTTCAGCAGTTGCTCCTCCGCCGTCACGTAGGCCATCAGACCGGCGCCTCTCTTGGACATCGCGTCGGTGATTGGATTGGATGGGATTACTAGCCCTAGCCCTAGTCCGCAGTGGTCAAATGGTCGATTCGTGTAGCAATTGTGGTAGGATTTATTCTGAATTTAGCACGTGAAATTTAAAAAATATACTTGATGCTGTCTACAAAACAGTGCCGGAACTGATTGTGGCCGTGCATGATTATATTATCGGGGCCTGGTCGGTTGCTTCGATTGTTATTTTATGTATTTCTGCGTGTTTTTTGTTGTATATTTCTTATTAAGCAGCCTTATTTTTTTTTGATTAGCTGCTTTATCCGGTGTGACCGTCGCCGGGCCGTACAAATATACCACATCGGGCACAGAGAAAATACCGTATAAATATACTACAGAAATAAGCAACTGCTTTTGGCGCGCGCGGAATCCATGATTTTTTTTTTTAAATTTTGAGAAACACTTAAACTTTTGTTTACGCAAGCGTCAGTTAAAAACAGAGATCATATCTATTTAATGAATTGAAAACTTTGTCATGTCCGACCCTTTAATATTTCTGATAGCTACACATCATGATTTTTATATATTCTCAAAATGCCTCTTTTTTGTTTAGATTGTTTTTTTATTTGTGTGCCAAGTAACCTACTATGTAATGAAGATAAGACACGTTCCAGGAAATTTAATTTTATATTTGAATAAATAATTGTTCACATGACATATGTAGGACATTGTAAAGGGTATTAAGTCGGACGCCTATATCCAAATATTCATCACGTAATCGTGTCCTTAGTACACAATTTCAGAAACGTTAATAACCGTCAATTGCTACATTGTTAACGTTCTTTTAATAAATATAAAATAAAATGAGCGTTTATCAAAAATGATTTAAATTTCCAGTGGCCTGCAGAATCAGCTGTTTTTGTTTACAATTACGCGATAGTTGGTATTCATCGCAGAGATCCGCGGTCTTTGGCATTTTAAGCGAACACCGCGACGGTCACTCTGCTCTCACGGTATTTGCCATTGCGAGAAAAGAAATGAAAGAATCGAAAAAAAGGCAACGGCAACGGCGAACGAAACCCAAGTATACCGCACTTACACCCCGCAAAAGTAGAAGTTCCCATGCGCCCGCGCGCTGATAACGCCAGTCTGAGAATCTGAGGAATACGAAAAAGAAACCGAAACCGAATCGGAATCGGAATCCGAAAACTGAGTAGCTCGGGAAATAAATATATAGCGGGCGTCGTCGTAGCTCAGAACAAATTACACCCAGCTCTCGCAGCGTGAACGTCGTCGAGTTTCAGTTTCCGCCTTGAAAAAAAAAACAACATAACATAAATTTCTCACTCTCGCCTCTTTAAATGTGCGTCTGCTGAGTGTCGAGAACACCCGGTTTAAAATTAAAGATTGGAAAATTCAATAGTCAATAGTCAATAGTCAATAAGTCGGCGAAATGGAGGACAAGCGGGCAAATGGCGATTCCAGCGCCTGCAACGGCCATTCCAAGCAGAAGGATGTTCGCGTTTGGTGCGACGGCTGGTGAGTCACAATCTTGGGGGAATACGTTAAGAGCACACACCAGTGGTAGAATAACGGTTCCCATTACGTCACGTTACTCGTTACTCAGCGGTAGAATGTACAGTGACTCAAAGCAGAACAATTCCACGTCGGTCTTATTGAGTCCAAACAATTCCACGCAATTCCAATACGCCCGTAATCAGCGACCGATATATATATGCCCACCCCATTTGGGGCGTGCTAAGAAGTGTTCAGGGTTTCCGAATTGATTAGCGAATGTGTGTCGCTGGACTGACGACGATCAGTTCCCGCTCTAATGGACACCCATTGTCGTCCGGCTGAAATGTTTACTTCAGGTTCAAGGTCGAACTGCACCGAAATGTACATTTATACGCTCCATGGTTGACTGAACATTTTGCATTTTCTATACTATTTATTTACTTATTTGTAAATTGATGTCTCATTGTTGCTCTTTTGTTTTTATTTTTAACGTAGTTTGAAATTAGGATTTCTTTATCAACCTTTCCCTCCCTTCAGCAAGCAATAACTATTATTAGAAAAGCTGAAATAATAATAATAATCTTTTATAGAAATGATAAACAATAGGATCTGCTGATAAATATTTATCCTAAGGAAGTTTGTAGATCTGTATGCTTATAAATAAGAAGCAATATTATGAAGCTGAAATCCTCCAAACATTAGCCTGTAGATTAAATGATCGCATTATTTTATAAACTAGAATTTATGGTACACAAAATGTACGCAAGTATTGGGCGCTACATATGTGGATGTACATATGTACATATATCCACTGATGACCATCAAATTGTTCTATAAGCATTCCGCTCTTTCATTCTTCTATTATCATTTGATTCCAAGCAATGCATCACCAAGAACCGGTTTATCTTTATCGGGAGTGACGCATTAGACGTTTGGCGATATGGGCAGATAACCTACCATAACAAGTTTGTCTGCTCTATCAGACGATTGAAATTTCCTCAATTGTGGCTTCCGCCAAACGTTTTATAAATAAAAATACATCTATTGTTTATGTTCAAACCTCTCTCCGTCTTTCTCTCTTTATTTTTATGTTTCTATATATCCTACTCGGCGATAAACAATGGCACACGCCCAACAAACAATAATAAAATCATCGTACGATTCTCTGTATATACACGAGAGAGCTAAATGTGTACATATATATATATGTATATTCTAGCGTTGCCCACTGTATCGGAACAGCAGCGTCCGCTTTCCTTTCATATTTTATTTTCGAGGAGCTTTAGAATTTCGATGGCTGCGTTTACGTGGCCCTTGTTGACTGTGGCTGCCACTAGCGGTTGTCCCAAAACATCACGTGATTCAGGCCTGCGCATGCCTTGCCACATCTGCCCCTTGCCCCCAAACCCACTCCCATTCTGCAGCACCGCCGTCATTGCCATTGCCATCGCCATCGCCATTGACCCACAATGCATTGTCGTCATCGTCTGGCGGTCTTTTATGTGCTTAATTTAATTGACATTTCGCTGGGCTTCCCCTGCCCTGAATTATTGCAAGGGACCGGCTTATTTTAGGGGTTATTCAAATTATAGCCGCTACTTGTACCGGACAAGGCTGTTTTATATATGTTCAAACCCATAAAAAAGTTTATGGAACTTTCAGCTAGCGTCTTGCTAGTTTTTCTTAATGTGTAGTACAAAAGAGTTTGTAATGAATAAGAATAAAATAGGTTCACCATAATCTTATAAATTAAGGGGATGTATTTTTAGAATAACTAATTTTAAATAAACACCCTTAAAAATAAGCTTATTATTTTTATAGTTTGAAAACTGTACTCCCAGTGTCATACCAAAATTATTCAATCACAATCTTTAGTGCCCATTTATTTATGTTTTTATTGCCCCCCTTGTCACCTAATTTATACGATAAGCAATTAGAGGTTAAACTAATATACATCCATCAAGTTCATAGGCATTTCCGGGTATTTTTGGCAATCAATTCTCCCTTAGCCCCGTTGTCAATAGGTCACACCTTGCCAGTGTGGAAGTCCTCCGGCTGAAGGCGATAAGACTGACCGAGAAACCGCAGAGCCCCGAACCCAAACCCAAACCCAAACCAGATTAAGAAAAACTCTGAAATTCCACATCAGCTGCTCTTCGGCAAAAACAAAATATATAAACAATATTATTGTGTGGAATCTGCCCATTAACCCAGCAGATGGGCGACAGCAGCACATGTGTATGACTTGGACCCAAATATTCTAATCAGCAGAGATTGATCATTGACGCAAGCAAGTGCGCCGATCACTTGTCTTTCCCGAACTCGCTACCTCCTTTCCACCAAAGTCAATGAACTGCTCTGGCTGCCAGCAAATTGAAAAACAAATGAATGGGACTACTGTAAGAGAGCTCAGTGAGGGCCTCACGCATAGGGTCTACCGTCTACGGTCTACGGTCTACGGTTACGTTTACCCCTCGGAAGTCGGGCCTGGGGTCCGTCGTCAGAGCACAAATTCTACGGAGAATCGCGTGATATTTTTTTAATCAGTAAACGGGCGTCGGCGTTGCTTGTGTCGCTGCTTTTTGCCCACTCAATTGATTAAGCGGCCCCTGGGTCTGTTCTACATATAGAGTACAATGCTATATATGTACATTCGGCACAGATTTCTTTCTACTGCAAAAATCTCCGGGAGCAAAGGTTCTTCGCTTCGATTAATGAATGGTCCACGTTTTTACTAGGTGCTTTCCAGTCTCCGGTTTGTTACTATCGGTCTAATCAAGGGACTTTGTTGCATAATCGATTGTTTATTTTTAGGTGTATACTATGTCGATTTGTAGCTGCCGAATTTAGTAGTGTTACCTTTAATTTGTCGTGAAGTAGAATCACTTTTTAACAAGAGGCCCCTTAGGAGATTACACCTAAAATTCTCACGAATTTGTTCGTGTATTAATCTTTCTTTAGGTATGTTCTCTAATCTTTAATGGGAGTTGTCCTTATACTAGTTTCCACCCACCTATTTTCAATTTCGCTCACCGTCGATAACAGTTAGCTCAGACGGACCTGATAATGATGACGTTTTCACTTCTTATCGTTAACCATTTAGTAAAGTGGTTACCATTTGCATCATATGTTATATGGGTTTATGCGTGACCCATATCGAAAATAATTTCATAACATATTTCTATATGCTGTGAATTATTTCATATTCTAAAATAAATAAAGCTATTATATAAACAAAACAAATGGCTAATGAGCTAATAAATATCCTACAAGCAAATATAATTAAGTATTTGAATAGCAATCAATCAATCGCTTCGAACATAAACAATCTTAATGATTAATTTCTTAAAGAAAAAAAAAATAACAACCAATGATTTGCCGTGTATTGCCCATTAAACATTATTAAAGACCATTTCCACAAGTGCATAAATTCCGTTCCGCAGTAAATACGTCTGTAATTGGTTTTAAATGCAATTTGAGCAGTACCTCACGTCGCCCAGATGTACAAGTATTATCGCTTTCCCAAGTCGAAGCCCAAGCCAAATAAAAACCAGGCCAGGGCACGTGTGCCTATAACCATAATGCCTAGAATCGACGGAGAATGTAAACAACTTGGAATGGCGCTATTTGCGAATATGTGGCCACTGAAACGCTGACGTAGCGTTGTTCATAATTGCAATTAGAATTGCAAAACGTATCCCGCTCAGCTTCCCCCCATCTCTCAATATCAACATTGCTTTTCTGTTTGGCGCACCGACTCTGATGATCGGGTCCAAAGATCAATCTTGACCAATGCTCCGCTCCAATGTGGAGCACAAAACCCGCCTGGGGATAGCCACCAGTCAGCCAGTCCAGTCAGTCATTCAGCTACTGGTCATTAAGCGCACTCGACAGCGCTTTATGTAAATTATGTAAATGGCCTGCTTGAACAAGTTTATTGTTTTGTTGTCTGGGTCATACGAAAGCGGTACTGCTTGAGCAAAGGTTTCATCTCAAGTTACTTGGTTTTCACCATTAACTTTAATATCAGGATTTCAACCGAGCGTAATGGCATTCAAAATATTGCTTTACCAAAAAAATCCGTTGCTCTTGCATGTTTATAATGGATTTTTACTATAGCACATAGTTGTGCTATCTGTCCTCAACTTATTTTGGAGTTTTTCCATGGTAAATTCCCAGCGATAATTGTTTTTTTTCTTTAGCGAGGATCGGCTTCTAACGCGCCTTATCTCGCAGCCTTTACAAATTTGTTTATTTTAGAGTGTATATGCCATTTTCTGAGTCAGATTCGTAGAGCCAAGATCGTTTGCCATCAGCTAATCGTCAAGGCCGCCGTTTGCCAGAAATCGTTCAACTTCTTCGAAAAGGAGATGACATTTCCTGTGGCAATTGTCATAACTCCCGCACAAGTTTTGATAAGGGAAAACAAATGTTTTCCGCGCACGCTTCTGTACCTAATCACACCGAGTGACAACTCCAGTAATTGTATTTATCTGTTCCGAACAGCTATGATATGGTGCACTTCGGGCATGCCAACTCCCTGCGACAGGCCAAAGCTCTTGGCGACAAGGTAATTGTGGGCATACACACCGACGAGGAGATCACCAAGCACAAGGGACCACCTGTCTTCACCGAGGAGGAGCGCGTCAAGATGGTCAAGGGCATCAAATGGGTGGACGAGGTGGTGCTCGGTGCTCCGTATGTCACCACACTGGAGGTGCTTGACCAGAACAACTGTGATTTCTGTGTGCATGGAGGTGGGTAAAATGGATTACTTATATATGGTGGCATAAATACTTATTTATAATCTTTGCAGATGATATTACAATGACAGCGGAAGGAGTAGACACATATCATTTGGTCAAGTCGGCCAACCGCTATAAGTAAGTGTAACCTAAATTGGAAGATACATAAGTAAAGTAATCGATTTGTTAAAGAACTTTAGAATTCCTAACATTGTATTATTTAAACATATATTGAATATTCCTGAAATGTTTTAACCTTAATTTCTGACAATAATCATACTTGATTACTATATATACTGACCTTCAATTTGCTTATGCCATCCGCAGGGAAGTCAGACGCACTGCTGGCGTTTCGACCACCGACCTTGTGGGTCGCATGTTGCTCCTGACACGAAACCACTTCCGCCAAGGATCCGCCGAATACGACATCGAGAAAGAAGGTAGCTTTAGCTTTTCCAAATGCTTTATTTGCACAAATAAGTTTCATTTTAATGTCCTTAAACCACAGCGAGCACAATTCCATATTCATAGTTTTTATTTTGTAGTGTCTAATAATTAACAATTACTAACTTTAATTGTAAGATATAATTTTTTTTGCACTCTCCCTGTCTTTTATCCCTTTCTGTTGATTTTGTATATTGCTCTGCATGCTGTGCATAAAAAAAAGTCGATCAAACAGCTCTAAGTATAAGCAATATAAAACTGATATATTGAGTTTATACCTGGGCCACGCACGCTAATTTTATGTTTCTATTTAACTTGTTTCCTTTCCAACCGTTTGACCTTTTATTTGCAATAGTTGAACGTAAATAACTCCTTGGTTTATGTTGCTCTCTACAACTTTACTATTTCTCTTCTTTTTATTTCTATGTACGCACTGTTTACCACTAACCAAAATATATTCTATAATGTATGAAACCTATGAAAAATATGCTAAAACCTCAAAATGCCAAATGTCTTGTGCGTGTGCGCGCCCGCGAAATTAATGCAAAAATGCCAAACCCAACGACCAACCTGCAATCAAAATATCCAAATCCGCATCCAAATCGAAATCAAAACAAATCCTAAACGTAAATTTTGCTCTTTAATACACACCTGCTCATTTGTCTGTGTTGCTTTTACAATACCAAATACGATAAATAAAAAACGAAACAGTGAACATTTTAAAACGACAAATAAAATCCCATCCAGGTTCTTCGAACATGGGTCAAGATTCAGCGGCCAAAAGTCCCTGGACCGGCTGCAGTCAGTTCTTGCCCACCACCCAAAAGATCATACAGTTCAGCGATGGAAAGTCACCAAATCCAGGCGATAAAATTGTAAGTTTACCACTTTTGGCTGTGAATTATAAATGACTAAGTAGTTCAATGTCTTCAGGTTTATGTGGCTGGTGCCTTCGATCTGTTCCATGTGGGCCACCTGGACTTCCTGGAGAAGGCAAGCAAACTGGGCGACTACCTGATAGTTGGCCTGCACACAGATCCCGTGGTGAACTCCTACAAGGGCAGCAACTATCCAATTATGAATCTGCACGAGCGTGTGCTCAGCGTTTTGGCCTGCAAGGTGAGATTTGAGTGCTAAATCCATAAAGTGTGAATCTTAAAACCCTTCCCCTAGTTTGTCAATGAGGTTGTGATTGGGGCTCCCTACTGTGTCACCGAGGAGCTGCTGGAGCACTTCAAAATCGATGTCGTCTGCCACGGCAGCACACCCATTGCGCTGGAGAATGGAAAGAGCGATCCGTATGCCGTGCCCAAGACGCGAGCCATCTTCGAAATGATCGACTCCGGCAACGAGATGACCACCGAGCGCATTGTGGAGCGCATTATCTCGCATCGACTGGAGTACGAGCGTCGCAACCAGGCCAAAGAAAAGAAGGAAATCGAGGCCTTCGAGGCTCTCCAACGCCAAAAACAGACCCAAAAGGCGGGCTAGCCGGAACCCGATTCCGTCTGCTGCTCACACTGAGACGGATGTTTTTTTTATATGTTTTAGTTGCATTCTTTTAGTTCGTTTTCGTTTAGTTACCGGCTTTTGTTTGTTATGTTGCGTTCAAGGCGATGCGACGCTGTCAGATAGATGCCCGTACAGCCGCTAAATTTTAGAATGGCTCGGACCCAGCGTGCCGCTCGCTCGCTCGTTTTCTAGTACAATTTTTGAATAGCTGCGGGTCGCACAGGCGGCTCTTGGCAAGCCTTAATGATATAAAGTTATATACATATATATATTTGTAATACCTTAATATAGCGTATTTAAAGTCTAAATTCTATGTATGTAAGCTCAAAATTTGTAAATTCTACTTTGTATATGTTGTAAGTGTTTGAGAAACAAACAAATTCACCCCAAGTCATGATTGAAATGAGAACTTTACAAAATTGTACGAAATATATGTAAGGCGAGAATAACAAAGATAAACTGTGACATGTTATCCAAAACGGTTGGCAAAAATTGAAATGTATATATATACACGCACGGCAATGTAACGCAAGAAGAATGTCCGGATCAGGAATTTAACTGCTTTTATCCAATGTAATCTCCGATACTTTGTCCTTATTTATTAATACATATATTTTTAGTGCAAGTTCAAGTTTTATGTTTTATGTTTTCTTAGACATAAATACATGGCCAAAAATACTGCAAGCTCCAAAGTTGTTGCTAAATTTATTGCCTTACTAAATCCTTGCCTCGCCGATCACCTTGAGTTCCACGGTTAGCAACTGTTGCCACACATCCAGATCCCTTAGCTGCCAGAGATCTTCGAGGCTGATCAGCACTGCATTGCTGTCCGTTTTGATGAACTCGCTGCAGGGCTGATTCGCTGACCAGGGAAGTATAGGACGCGCCTTGATCTGCTTGGAGTAGTAGCGTGTGGATCTGGCCGGTTGGACCAGCAGGCGGAGTGTGATGACCACACCCTGCAGGGGAGTGGCCACCCAGATGGCCAGCACCTCCTGATTGACTCGACTCCTTTTCCACAGCAGTGAATGCTCGGTGCGGCAGGCGAAGATCATGAGGGGGCTGTGCTGCGAGAACTGGCGGTATTCCGCCGGCAGATGGATGTTCCTGTGGCACTTCAGCGGATTCAGGCCTGTGCGCCGATAGCCATAGACGCCCAGCAGCGTGTTGACATCCTTCTCCAGGCTGCTGAAATGGCAGGTGAGGGATGTCACCCTGCCCGCCTCCAGCTCGGTGAAGGGGACTCCCATGCCCGGCAGATGGTCACTCAAATAGTGGCCCAACAGAGCGCTGGGCTCCAACGAGCAGCGGCATCCTTGGCAGGGACAGGGCACCATGCGCAGTCGAGCCCACGGCGAATCGCTAGACGGGCTCATGGAGAGCGGACTTCGTCTGCTTCTGGACGGCGGATCGGTCAGCGATTCGAAGCGCTTTAGCCGGAGTAGCTGCTGTTCGGAAGATGAGACAGGCAGCCGGCAGTTGGAGAAGTGCTTGGAGTACAGCAGTCCTTGCATTTCCTGCAGGCGCTGCTTCCGCCGCTCCTGGCGTTTTCTATTGCGGCTTAACCCATTGGTGGACAGGGGTTGAGCCTGGGACTGCTTGGATTGGGAGGAGGAGCCGGCGGCAGACATGGTCGGTTCTGAGTTGAATTTTAGGCTTTAATTGAACGACATAATTTTGATGAGGAATGATGTGTTTGCACTAACAAGTGTTAAAATGCTACTGATTTAAAAAGCATAAACAAACTAGTGCTAAGTTATAACTCCATGCACGCTAATAATAAATATACGAATAATATACCCTACATTACTTGTTTTATAGCTCTTCTAACTAAAACTTCTTTATTAAGTTGGTAGATATTCTACCAAATATGTACATATGTTAGTTTTTTTTATATTTATTATTCAGTTGGGCCGAAATCCCGGCGGTACTGCAATACCGGGCCAACCCGCGACAGAGGTGGAGCAAGCTCCTAGCACTCCGTCTGATTCCAAAAATCAGTTTAACATTTGTTGTCCTCCAATGGAGGAACTATCAGATGTTAAGCTGATAAGAACAGATACTACACTTTGATCTTAGCCATAAGGCCGAGAAGCGATAACTAGAAATGGGAATTAAACAAGCTCTCCATGAGCAAACTGCTAGAACCAGTTGGGAATTTCTGTTACTAGTTTTGCACAGGGGAATGTGCAGTTTACCTGGAGATGCAGTAAGGGAATTTTGGATTGACAACAGCTAATCGTTAATAAATACAAAAGTCCACAGTAAAAAGGGCATGTTGACATTTTTAAAACCCATTTTATATCTAAATATTTATAGATTATTTAAAGTTTGCTTTTCAGTAAGGTTCAAGTCCCCAATTGATGGACTTATAATTTCAAGGCATCACTTAAATCTTTATTATTTAAATCTTTTCACTTAAAGTGCGTGGGCTAAAACACTGAGATTTGTGTAAATAAATATGCTTATAAGTAGTTTTAAAATACATAATTAACTAACAGAAATAAGGCGAGGTACATTTCTTCTTGATTATGTTTCAAGGGATGTGATTCTTCTGCATTCTTTTTTTTTTCTCGTCGAGTACTTATAGAGGTAGGGTTACCGTTGATGATTAAAATTTTAAATCCAGGGAGAGACTTAATTTTAATGGTGTCGGAGGTTACGGTGGCTTCGCAGCTGTCGGTGGTTTTACCATGTCAGCTAAGTAATAACAAATAAATATAATATTATAATGTTTAATATTGATATAAGAAATTCTTACCATTGTGGGACTGCAGTTCACACTGGTCACTAATTTCCTTTTTAGTGCTCTTGCCGTTTATTCGAACGCTGCCGTACTTCTCCTTTAGGTACTTTTGCACATTGGTATTGTACTTGCTACGAGGATTAATCGTTTCTTGTTTTCCATCATTGCTGTTAACCTTTACAAAGGCAGCGGGGTCATTGGAAGGCAAAAGGTCTGGTTGTTCTTCAATTTGTAATTTCTTTTTCGAGCTGTCAGTTGAATGTGAAGAACTCTTAACATCAAAATGTCGTAGGCTTTCATCGAGCTTATCTGGAAGAAAAGTAAGAAAGTTGAATTACACCTTATTATAATTAAATGGTATTTACTTACACTTCAGTTTGCGCTCTTTATTGTCGGAATAGAACCCTTGATCCCGCGATGAAGTAGGGCCTGCCTGATTGTCAAGGTATCCAAAGTACTGATTGCTATTCAAACTCACGCCTTCATTTTTTCTCGTTGCATTGGGATCGTTTAGGTACACTTCGTTGTCATTACTACTGGTCGTTTTGAATAATGTGTAATTTTTACATGCTGTTCCATTGGCGGCACTCAGTGGATCCAACACAATCTTCTTGCCCTGGGCAACACCCGAACTTAAGGCGCTGATCCCGGTCCCTCCAACATCATCGCATCCAAGTTGCTGGCTGGGATAACTTATGGGTTGCATAAAAGAATGCTGACTTGGATGAAATGGTTTGAATCGCTTGAAAATCAAGCACGTAACCAGTGACAATAAGATCGACATACTGAGGAACCCCATGGCTATGAGGCAGATTATGGCAAAAAGGTTCGTGTCGATCAGCGGTATCCGCTGTAGGTCCTTTTGTACCACCACACTTATTCGAACCGAATCTTTGCCTCCGGGATTCTCCGCTAGACATGTATAGACACCCTCATCGGTTTTCTTGGCATTCACTATGGTGAGACGTGAGACGAACACATAATGTCCGAATTTTGGAACCTTTGGTTCATTTTCCCGCAACATTTCTATATAAATACGTTGTTTTTGCAGACTTTGTACCGACTTGGAGCGAGTTTCGTATACTTGATTATCGTAGTCCCAGGCAATGACCGTATTGGGAGATCCGTGAACGCGGCAAATGAGCGTGACATTCTCCTTGGAAGTGTTAATGGAAGTACTGAGTGCAGGATACACAATCTTTGGCTTGCAGGCAAAAGCCTCTGGCTGATCCTCGATCCACAGACGACCACGCAACTGCAGGGGATAATGACATGCTGTTGGCGGGGTATATAGGTTCGTGTCTATGACGAAATCACGGAACAACTGAAGGTCGCAAGTACAATTCCAAGGATTCTCGGCCAGCGACAGGGCTGTAAGTTTGCCAAGGCTCTGAAAACTATCCACTCTTAGTTTTGTGAGCTCATTGTTGTCCAGATAGATCTGTGATAGCAGTGGCACGCCCTCAAAAGCCCGAGAATCGATTCTAATCAGGCGATTGCGCTTCATCTCGATCTTGTGCAGATACTTGAGGTTCCGAAAGACTCCTTGGGGTATCGTTTGAATCAGGTTGCCATTTAGCAATATGGCCCTCACTTTGGACAGGCAGTCGAAAACATTGGGCAGCAACTCTCGCAGCAGATTATTGGACAAGTCGAGCTCAATCAAAATCTGCAGTTGGTTGAAACTTTGCTGGTGGATGTGTTTCAGAGTGCCATTGCGTATAAGAAGCTTCTGCAGGTTCTGCAACTGGGTGATCGAAAATGCATTCTCCTCCAGGTAAAATATGTGGTTGTGTGATAAATCCAGTACTTGAACCTCCGGACTAAGGTACTCTGGTACTCCACTCAGGCTTAAATTGCGACAATCGGCCGTCTTTTTGCCAGAGTTCCACTTGCAGTGACAATTTCCGCAGTCCATCAGCCAGTCTGCACCGGCACATCGAAGGATGAGTAGCAAACAGTAGGATTTCAATAGGAGTAGCGATAGGTGCTTGCAGGAAAGACTATATGGATCGAAGCTAAGCTTGTTGGCCATTGAGTTGTTTTAAGGAACGGAAGGTCCAGCTCTTCCCAGTTATTCTGGGTTATTGTTTGTCGCACATCTAAACTCTAGTACTAATTATTCTTCAGGTCCTATGTTCAGAGTCATTTAAGTTTTGGCCTTCAAAGTCCATCCTATAAAGTACAAAGAAAAAGCTGTTAATATTACTTCTTTAATAAAATTAAAGAGTGTAAACTTATTTCTTAAATTTTATACTTATCCTGAGTGCTAAGTTTGTTATGTTTTAAACTGACAAAACAATTTCCCAAATTTCCCCCTCAATATTAGCACGAAATCGAATTCCCATTGCGTCCATTACCTTACCCAAGGGGGCTACACCTTCAAGGCCACTTTGCCTGTTTTCTTTTCATCAGTATCAAATGAAAACGCTGGCAAATGGCGTGTAGAGCAGTTGACACTGGCCGTGGCAAGAAAGCTGCACTTTGTTGGCTTACCAGATATAGAGAAACAATAAAAATTTATTATACCGCCACGCCAAAAGCTGGTGCCAAACAAATTCATCTAAAGACCTCGGCGTATATCCATCAACTGTATTTCCAATTTTGTACTGCCCCATTTACCAGACTGTTAACAGAGATACTACATTGGCGCATGTCCAGTTGTCGTCCCACTTTCTTGCTTTTTAAATGTAAATTAGCAGAGGGTTTTTGTTATTTCCGTTTTGGTTTGCTTAACTTTTTTTCTATTATAAGGATAAAACACTAAAAACATAATTGTTGTTAAAAAAACACGCATTTTATTGTCCTTAAACAATGATTACTTGAATTTATAGCATTATTTATTTTAATTGTAATTATTTGAATAAATAAAATTTAAAAATATTAAAACTCTTAACAATTTGATAAAGAACGGGTCTCCCTCGTTTTTTCATATTAAAGATAATTGTTCAATATATTTCATAGAATTAAATAAAATTACCTTAAGTTTTTAAGTTTTCAAAATGAGTGAAAAAACTTAAATAAATGTAACTTTGTAATACCTTTTTTAGGCCGGCTGCTTGCTCTATTATTGTCCTTTAAAAAGTAATAAGAAATGTTTTTTGCTTTCGTTTTATAGAAAACAAAACAGCAACCCCTAAAAGCAGGCTACGTCAAATAAAAACAGCTGCGTCTCAATAATTTCTCGTGTGCGCGTACTTACAATTCCCAACTGGTTCTAGCAGTTTGCTCATGGAGAGCTTGTTTAATTCCCATTTCTAGTTATCGCTTCTCGGCCTTATGGCTAAGATCAAAGTGTAGTATCTGTTCTTATCAGCTTAACATCTGATAGTTCCTCCATTGGAGGACAACAAATGTTAAACTGATTTTTGGAATCAGACGGAGTGCTAGGAGCTTGCTCCACCTCTGTCGCGGGTTGGCCCGGTATTGCAGTACCGCCGGGATTTCGGCCCAACTGAATAATAAATATTAAAAACTTAACATACATAATTGGTAGAGCATTTTTCAGCTTATCAAGTTTTTTGGGTGTAGAAGTTACGGAAGTGGACAACAAAAAACAGTTTCGTCCAATATTGCGTGCTAAAAAAAGTTGATTAAGATTGGGTTCGTCGATAGAAAGTCCACCACCCCCTATGAAGACTGCAACTTTTAAGTTGTTAGTTAATAATTCGTATATTTATTTCGATAATACACCTATTATGAATACAGTTCGCTTTTTTTTGATTGTTTGTATTAATTTGCTTTGATTCAGACAGGGGCTTCTTCTCATCTTCTGGCTAAAGATTCTTGTTTGATGAGATGATTATTAAACCTTCAAGGTTTATTATATGTACTTTTTACTATAATGAAATAATGGTGAACAAGGGAGACAATATTGATAATTAATTCTCACAACAAAGAATTATCGGATGTCTAAAAGTTTTCCTAATGTATAAGTGTAAATATAGGAAGTGTGCGAAAAACACAGCAATACTGCAATTTAATTAACAGGAAGATGAGAAAACGACCCTGAAATCCATACAATTACAAAGTTCAGTGGAGATACGCTCTTCTCAAGGGCTCCTCAAACATTGTTCCTAACACTCCATTCAGCATTCAACAATAAAAGTAAATACATAATTGGAAAGTAAACAAATAATCAATTCAAATAATGTTCAGCAATTACGATACTTCAATAGACTTTTTGTCAAAGTGAATGCTTAGTTTTCGGTGTTTGGTTTCGCTTTCATAAAGGTCGACAACTTCAACTACGGAACAATCTGAGGCTTCTGCTGCTTCCTTCGTGGCTAACTATTAGCATGTGTACTAACTGGTGAATAGCTGCGCTATGCTCCCACAAACAACATCAACCGTAACAACGCGCTTACATATCTTTGGCGAGAGACCACTACGTTCAATCGTTAAATCGAAAAAAGGGAAGAGACTTGTGATGAGTGTGTAACGTATACAATGCCATAGATCTACAGTTAAAGAGTGTTTTACGTGTGGGTGGTTATGCTTAAGACGACGACAGATTTTGTGTTTGACGTTGACCATTTTCCCTCCAGTTTTTAAACAACCACTGCCCCAGCCTCTGAACGACTAACTGGTAGATCGGGGCAATTTTTCCAGGTGTCCGATAGCGGATCATAACATTCGACAGCATTAATAGTCACTTGTGCTCGGTAAAAGTTCACCTCACAGGGCTGTAAATAAAGAAATATATAATATATTTCATATTTAATCAAATCAAATTGAAAAATGTATGATGTCAATAAAGGGATAACCCAATCTTTGAATTTGTATCCTTTTACTACACTCTTGAGAAGTTATCTTTAATACCTGATCACCGCCAGCTACGTAAAGTAGGCCATCGGCAGCGGCCACGGCAGGAATGGCTCTGGGAACGTTCAGGGCACACACAGTCGTCCACTTGTCCTCGTCAAAGCTGTAGCGTTCCACGGAGCTGAGAATGTCCTGGCTGATACTGCTGCCGCCAACCACATACAAGTAGCGATCCAGAACGGCCACGCCCATTTGGCAGCGGGCCGTTTGCATGCGAGCCAGCTCGGTCCACTCTTTGGTCACCGGATTGAAGCTGTAATGGATGTTATTAGCTGTAGCTATAATACAAAATTATATCGTTAAATATACCTGATAAGATCCGGAAGATGACGGGTTGTTGTTGTGCAGCCACCTACAATGTAGATGAGACCCTCGAAACTAACCACACCCATGCTGAATCGAGGCTGGGGCATGCTGCCCATTAATTTCCAGAGATCCTGCTCTGGATCATAGCACTCCATGGAGCCGCCGATATCGTCACCAATCCAGCCGCCCACTGCAAACAGATTTCCGCCCATGGTGCAGAGCCCAAATTCGCAGCGCGGCACAATCATCGGGGCAATCGGTTGCCACACGTCGTTCTGTGGATCGTATACCTCGCCATTGGCCAGAATCTGTGAGCCCCGCTCTCCACCGACCACATAGATCTTGCCATTCAACGCCGACACGCCCGGCAGGATGCGGCCCACCTCCATGGGCGCCGTCTCTGTCCACTCGCGCCGGAATATGTCGAACTTGGCCACCGTCTCGAAGATGCAGTCGGCCGAGTTCCAGGTGCGCGGCGTGTCTCGATGAGATCCGCCAATGATATAGATGTTCTTCTTGGCCAATTGCCGGGGACAGACGCGCAGCGGCACCAGTTGGCCACGTTTGGAGGCAATGTCCCGGCAAATGGAACGCAAGGCTATTTTCACCGACATGTCGCGACAGTCGTCCTTGAGAGCCTTGTCGATCACCTTCACCGGCACGAGGGCCATGCGAACGTGGGACAGGACATCGAAGACATAGCAACGGCGCTGGGTCACATCGTGCTTAATCCAGCGGAGAGCTGCCTGGAATACCTGCGACTCCGAGTCGACGCGCAGCAGCTCCGAGTTCAGTAGCTGCGAGAGCAGAGTCTGTGGCGTTTCTAGGAACTCATCCTCCAGCGTTATCTGTTCGGAAGAATATACGTTTTTATTGTGGACTATTTAGAAAACGAACCCATATAATTATATACCCTAACAAAAGAAGCTCAAACTCTGTTATTTCAGAAATCAATTCAATGTTATATGTTTCTCCTCTTGGTAAAACTACAAGATCAAAAGTTTACAAGACAAATAACCATTTTTGAGTAATTAACATTACAATTACTTTGGATTTACATTGTTTATAGTGAAAACTATAAAGTACAGAAAATAATAAAATAAGCGAAAAATACAATTTAAGTACTTTTATGATTTGACATTAAACATAGTAATGAATTAAATAGAGAACATACATAAGTATCAAAATTGTTATTTTAAGTTAGAAAAGATGTGTTTTTTTTCTTTCTTAAACAAACCAGTTATTATATTTGGTATATTTAATGTATTTGTAATTGTTTCAAGAAAAAACTGCATAATTTCAAAGCTTTTGTGTTTTTCCCCCGATTTTCTTTTGTCTTTAACTGGTACACTTGTGAGCCAAAGCCCCATAAGTGCCCCTAACTCACCGCTGGGAAATTGGCGTGGACAAAGTTCAGTGCACTCTTGGCCAACGACTCGCAGTTGTGGGCCTCTGCGAACCGTAAAATGCCCAGTGCGTTGGAGGCATGCAGCTCGCGGCAGAGGAACTCACAGCACCCGTCGACCACCTCGTTCAGCTGCAACATGTCGGCGGCGGCGAGCAGCTCCTGGACATTGGACTGCAATTGGGAGGGGGAATGGGATTGAAGATTAGGGTGATCTCTGGGGAGCAGAAATCCATGCTCACCTGGGTGATTTCGCAGCGACCCGTGTAGATAAAGTCGAGCAGAATGTGCAGTATGTCGCCGTCGATGGTGTGCAGCACCACGGACTTCTGCTTGACCTCATTCAGCCCCAGTTCGGGTCGGAACATGGCCTCGAAGTAGGCACTGGCCGCACTCAAAACAGCTCGATGGGCACTTAATGTGGCCATTCCGGCGATGATCTCCACGTCGCAGAAGCGCGACTGCTCGCGCAGCTGGTTGAGATTCGAGAGCACCTTAAACGGATACTGGGCGTTGCAGTAGGAGGGCAGATTTGTGCGATGGCTGGCCGCCGTAGCGCCGAGTCCCAGATTTTGGCCAAAGAAGTCACCATCGCCATCACCGGTGGGATTCTGATTGGTGTTCTGATTGGCATTCGTGTTTGCGTTCGGACTGGAATTGCCATTGTATTCGTGGTGGTGTATCTGGTATGTTTTCAACGGTGGCATTTCGTCTGTTCTGCGGCGTTGCTGCCTTCACTTTGGATTCACAGACAGATCGGAACTCGTCTTAATAAATGCACTTTTCGGGGGCAACAGCACAGCTCAGACCATTCACATCCAATTGTTTGGCTTAATTAAACTTAATTGCTGCACTCTGCACACTTCATACGCTGTTGTTGTTGTCCATTCATTTTTCTCCAATCAGAAGGCGAACACACACACACCCACCCCGCAATATAAACGAAAGCAGGCAAATGGAGTTAACATTTCACGTACACAAGCAACCGAAAACTACTTTTACTCTATTTGCCAATTACAACTAAACAGAAAGTTAAACATTTACAAACTGGCATATTTCTTTAAACTTTTCAATGCACTTTTGTATGTGTTGACCCAGGTAGTAGAGCTGGTCTACCCACCCACGATAGTATCGATACATTGGAAGGGATTAAGTTTCGATAGTGAGCGATACACTATGCCTTTCAAAACGTAAAACTTATATATTAAATGCGTACTTTATTATTAGTATTAGGAACTCTGGCATTTTACAGAAACAAATTTGAATGCATTTTTTAACTGTAAAATATAATATATTCATTTTATTAAATTATTTTAAAGCAAACGATACTATCGAATGATTTCTTGAACACATCTCTACCAGTGGGTATTAGTATGACCATCACCTGACTGTGGAAACATGCATTTTTCGATAACACAATCCTACATTTATCTATTCTTGACCATCTCTAACTTGTTGTTATTTAATTTTTAATTTTACTAGATTTTCAATGAGAAATCTCACAAAATGCTTTCGCGAAAATTACTAAACCTCCGCCTGGGCCACCTGGCACGCCGCTGGAGCAGCACAGACCCACTGAGCATCCAGAATGAGAAGCTCCAGGCGTATTTGGAATCCCTCCGCCAGGAGTACTATGCCGTTCGGGTAAACGCTGCCGGAAACAGCAAATCCTACGCCCGCCTCGCTCAGTTAGAGGGCGTGGTAAGCGCCTTAGAGCAGCGACGCGTCCTGGAGCGCCACATCACGAGCGCCAAGGACATGGAACTGGAGAAGGACGAGGATATGCGTCAACTGATGCAAGAAGAAAACGAAGTCTATGTGGATCTGCTGAGCAAGCAGGATCATACACTGCTGCAGGAACTGCTCGCCCTGTCGGATGACGAGGTGTATCCGGCACTGATCTTTGGCCTGAATGCCGGCGCCGGTGGCCAGGAGGCCATGCTATTCGCTCAGGAGCTGTACGATATGTATACCGGCTACTTCGAGCACATGGGCTGGGAATGGGAGGAGTTTGCCAGCGAGTCCACCGACATTGGTGGTCTGCGTCATGCCAGCCTGATGGTGAGCGGTGGGGACGCCTTCCGTTGGCTACGCTTCGAGGCGGGCGTTCATCGGGTTCAACGGGTGCCAGCCACGGAGAAGTCTGGCCGGATGCACACCAGCACCGCCTCGATCACCGTGATTCCCCGGCCCGCCGACATTCAGGTGCACATTGCCGAGAAGGATCTGAAGATCGAAACAAAGCGGGCGAGTGGCGCTGGGGGCCAGCATGTGAACACCACTGACTCCGCGGTGCGAATTGTCCACCTGCCCACCGGCCTGGCAGTGGAGGCGCAATCGGAGCGATCGCAGCTAAAGAACCGGGAGCTGGCCATGAAGCGCCTGCGTTCGCGGCTCGTGCAGCAGCAACTGGAGAGCGCGGAGGCCAGTAAAATGGCCACCAAGAAGGCCCAACAGGGCAGCCTCAACCGCAACGAGAAGATTCGCACCTACAATTTTGTCCAAGACCGCATCACGGACCACAGGATTCAGGGCGGCACGCTGCACAACCTGGTCGGTTTCCTCAAGGGTGGTGAACAACTCAGTGGACTCATCGAGAAGCTTCAACTAGAGCAGCGAAAGGAACGACTGAAGGAGCTACTGGAAACGTGGCAGCCACCAAAGGAGGCCGTTAAGAAGAACTAGAGCTATTTTGTTGATACATTTATACGTTTGCGATTGAAAAAGAAGAAAGAAGAACTACTTTATCAAAGGAAATATCTAGTTTATTTCAACAAACTCTTGCCCAATCGGCAGCACTGCCCATGTGCAGCAGGTGCTCCTTGACTGCCGCCTCCAGAATGTCCCGGATCTCACGGCATCCGGCCATCGCGGTCTCAATGACCGTCTCCAAGTGGTCGATGTGGAACCGTTCACTCATCTCCAGAAAAGCGATCTTCTCGGCGGTGGGCAGGGCAGCCACCGTCAGCTTGGGTCCGCCGGAGACCTCTTCGAAGTGTGAGATGTCCGTGAGTGGGATGTTCGACTTGCTCAGTGAGGCGGTGCAGGCGACGATGAACTCATTCAGACAGATTCCTGCATCAATCAGGGCCAATGTGGCGGCATTGAGAGCCACTGCATAGTTGGCCCCGTCGGCCTGAAGCACCTCCACGTAGATGTCTATCTGGGAGCGGGGATACAACTCCGATTTGATGGCTGCACTCAGCGCCTGCTGCAAGTACATCTTGAACTCCAGGGATTTGCGATCGCCGCGCGGGCGATTCTTGCGCTCCGCCGTGGAGAATGTAGCCTGACTGTACTGGCAGTTGATGATCACGTCGTTGGACTCCGTTTTCTTGCCCTTGGCCTGGTGGGGACCATAAACGGCGGCCAAGACCTTGGTGTTTCCCTGCTCCATGTACGCACTTCCATCAGGCTGCTCAAAAACTCCCAGTTTGCATTTGATGTGGCGCAGCTCGTGCGGACGACGTCCGTCCAGACGCAGACCCTGCTCGCTAAGAAGCTCAAAGTTGCTGGCCATCTCTTCTGGCTTTCAAAATAAAACTATTTTTAATATAAATAAATAATGCACGTGCGGTGCGGTTTGTTTACTTATTTTTGCAGTGCTGGAAGATGACGATGGCGATACAAAACCAGTAATGGTAAACACATAAATATTACTTTTCAGGTACATTCTAAGTAACATGTACCGAATCTCTGTAAATAAACTTTATTTAATTAATAAAGACAAGTATATTGTCTGTAATAAAATATGAAATTAATAAACATATTTTTTAAAATCATTCCAATTCAATTTCTATTTCATAATTGTAATATTCTAGAGTACCCTAACTAGATATTTACTTTTTACATTTAACAACACTGGTAGAAATTCGGTGGAAGTCGGTTATCGATATTATTTAATCGATAAGTGTCCATTTAAGTGGCAACCCTAAAATATATAAATAGCTGCTGAGTGCAAAAACTCTGTATTTATGGCAATAAAATAGATAAATATTAGCTGAATTGTTTGAAAAATAGTGCTTAATAGCACCACCAAGCCGCACAATGTCAAAGTCAAGTGCAGGTGGGTTGGCATCAGTGCGAAAAACCGATCAAACGGAGCAGACGCTTCCGGGTGATCGCAAAACAAAAATAGAGACTCAAAAAAAAAATCTTTGAAAATAACCGAAATGCTTCCGGATTTCACAGCACGCTGGGTGAAGTTCTTCAATGCGGCGGGAATACCTTCTCCAGCGGCCGCCGGCTACGCCCACGTCTTCGTGGAGAACCGGATCCAGGATGACATGCTACTGGATCTCAACAAGGAGTATTTGCGGGAAATGGGCATCACCCTGATGGGTGACATAATTGCCATCCTGCGCCACTCGAAGACCGTCTGCGAGCAGAATGCCCGGGATCAGGTTCTCACCACCGAGGTGGTCCAACCAGTTGCCCGGCCGGTGTCGCCAAAAGTCAAGATACCGGTGCCAGCCAAATCGAAGGCTTCGCCGCCCGCCAAACCGGCGAGACGGGTGCTCCCCGAGCATGAGGGCAAGTACAAGGTGACACTGCCCTCGGGAACCACCGAGCGAAGCAAACAGATACTGGCCAAGCGGGAGAAGTGTAAGATCAAAGTTTCCCCAACTTTGAGATCCAAATTTAACCCCTTCTGTTAACCCTTTCAGTGTACTCCGACCGTGTGACCAGCTCCAAGAAGTCGGACATCTTCTCACGCCTGCAAACCGGCGAGGATGAGGCCCAGGAGGGCATTGTCTCCAGCTCCGGCGAGAACAATGTTCGCGTCCACATCACCGGTGTGTCAAAGGCGGCAGACACCTCTAGTAACCATTCGGTATTCGCCCGACTCGGCGGCAAGCAGTCTAGCCTTTCTGAAGACGTTACTCTTAACAAAGGAATCAAGTCAATCCTAAAGAACACCCAACGTACGGTGGCAGGAGGCGTCACCAAAAACTCGCCCATTGTCAAGGCCAAGAAGGTGGCCATGTCCGCTGTGCCGCAGCAAAAGGTTATGCTCGTGCACAAGGTGCCTCTAAAACGTGGCGACGATGAGGACGAGAGCATGGATGATTTTGGAAGCGATGAGGACGACTATATCTCCACCGGGGAGAGCGAAGACTTCGAAATGGGGTCCGGCGAGAAGATCGTGAAGTTCGCCTCCACAGCCGAGGTTCGAGAAATTGCACCCGAGACGTCCTATAAAGCCAGGCAAGGCAAAAACTTTGCCCATAACATCAAAGCGAGGCTGGGAATGGGTATGTTTGGATCAGAACTCCCGCTTACGAAGCATTCAATGTATTATCTTGTTTTAGTATCCAAACTTCATGCCACCAAGAAGACCTACAATTTGAAGGCATCGCCATCGAAGAAACCGCAGGGTCGCCTCAGTCCAGTCAAGGGCAAGGCCATCCGGATGCGAAGCGACGAGCTAATGACCCGCCAGGACTCGCTACCCGTCCACAAAAGGCTGGGTAACAACTCGTCCTCCGCCCCCATCAGAGCGCCGCCAGCAGTGCCGCACCGTCAGCAGCGATCGGAGCAGCAAAAGAAGAAGTACATCCCGCCAAGGCGGTACAACAGCATGAATGCAGGCCATAACAAGCCGCGAGATCAATCTGGATCTGTATTTGACCGCCTAGGCTTCAACAACTCTATGTAAAGTATAAGTAATGTGTCCCGCTTAAATTTGTTTTAAGTTCAATGCCCCTAATTAACCAGTAAATGTTCGAATTCAATTAGCTATCTGTTTGAAATATTCTAAAAAGAGACAGGAAATCGTCAGTAGGAGTATTTTATGTGGTTTCTTTTTTAAATTCGATTTTATTGAAGTAAGGCCACCATGACAACCAGTTCTGTTGACTTCGAGTCAATAAATCCATTAAAAAATGTAAAGTCAAGGCACCTATTAATCTTTCCCCTTAGGATCCATTGCAAACTATTCAAAAACAAGAACAAGTCTTTAAATGTATGATTAAGTAGTTATTTATTTTGCCTAATATTAGAGTTATGTACAATTATGTGCTAGGGCTGCGCTTCCGTTCATATTGTACAATCTGTCAGCGGTTTCTTAAAGGTCTATATCACTGGTTGCTAGGCAAATCACTCCGTTCAGAATTTCTTCAACTTCTTTGTCAGTCTCCATCGCGATGATTACTTTTGGAGCAGCGCCTGGAGGGCCTGTTTCCATTCCAGTGGCCAGGTGTTGGCATCCGGATTGATGCTCAATAGTTGGCGCATCTGGAGCACGGCCCGCTGCTTTTGCAGCATGTAGGCGTAGGCCTGGTGATTGAAAACCGGTGAGTGGGTGATGTGGGTATGCTGGGCGGCCGGAAGTTGTGTCATTGGAATTTGTGTAGCCGGAAGTGTGCCGGAATGATATTGCTGGTACTGCTGCTGCGGTGGTGTTGTGGGCGGAGTGGGAGGCAGGGAGTGATGGTGAAACTGCTGCTGTTGTTGTTGCTGCTGCATTTCCCGCTCCGTCTCCTGGCGACGCTTTCGTGGCGTATTCTCGCTGAGGGCGTATGGCCGGAAAAGAGGCGTGGCTACCGGTGTGGGGGCCACTTCCTTGCCGCTCTTCTTGCCAAACTTTTTGTGCGTATAGGACGATGTCTTGAACTTCTTGTGGGTGTAGCTCTCACTGACTTCCGACTCGTTGTGGTAATCCATGTTCGAAGGTGCCATGATTGGTGTTTTAGGACTCGCTTTTCTAAGTTTCGTTTTCGTAAATGTTGATGTTGATGTTGTCACGACGGCTGTTAAGGCTCGACTGTTGCTCCTGCTGCTGCGCAAGCAGGCTTTTATACCCAGATGTCCTACCTGAAATTATCATTAAGGCCGACGGGCTGCCTTGTTTATGGGAAAATCTTCGTTGACAAAAGGTTGGCATTGTCGTAGGGACAAAAAAGGATTTCGGGCAACACCTACACTACCTGCCAGCGACTACCACTACCTGCCATCGCCTCGAAAGTCCTTTGTAATTAATTTTTCATTTGCTGCAACGGGCTCGCACCTTCTTTTGTCTTCGCCCAGGTCTCTACGGTTTTTCCTGGAATTTTCCCCGGCACATTTCCCGAGAACAATCCACTACCTCTGGATCTTCATCCAGCGCCTGCGCTTGCCACTCTTTGAAGATCGGTCGCAAGTTGGCTCGACGCATCGGAATCTGGATGCTTATCTCGCTCACCGCTAATCTGGCTCATTAAGTTCTCGTCCAGGGTATTCGGGGATGCCTTCGGGAAAATGGGAAAACAGAAAGTGCCAGCCGCTGCTTAGTCACAATGGTCATTGAATGGAAATTTATTGGGATTTTCCCGAAGTGTTGCGTGTGTGCTCGTCGTAGTCTGCATGAGGGATTTATTTCGCAGTCTCGCAGCTTCTCTTCGCGTTTATTTTATTTTCCAGCCTGAGCTCTTCACCATTTAGTGATCTACGCGATTAGACAGATTGGATTTTAGTCTTCTAGTTGCATATTATTGATTAGTCATTAAAAAGAAAAAAGTAATATTTTCTACGAGAAAGTGACTATAGTTATTCAAATACAAACGGCATCATTTCAAGATTAACAATATTTATATATATTAAATTTAGGCAATATTGTAAAAATGTAATCAAGCAAGTTAATTGGCAGTTTAAATAACCTTTGTAATTAATTAATTTTAAAATCTGTGGCACCAAATTATTATTAGAAATCATTTTTTAAAATGTTATTTTGTCTTACTTCATTTTTGATGTCCTTGATTAAAAAAAAAGAGTACCTTTTGTATTACTATGAAAACATTATTTTTTGTAACTGAGATGACTATTAAATGAGCTCTAACTCCATTTTAGTTTAATTTGTAATTTAGTAGGCGATGGCTATCAATTTAATATTTTTAAAGAATTAACCTGCAACATAGTTAGTTTTATTTTTCATCTTAGTTTTTATTGATTTTTTTTTTTAAATTTTTCTATATTCAACATATTATCTAATTTTAATTTTTATATGACGTGCTTGTATTGTCTTTTTAATAATTCCCGTTATACCTTTTAGATAAATCAGAACACTAAATAAATGTGTGTAATAATAATTTAACTATTTCTTATCTTAAAATCAGATTAATCTTATACATATAAAACAACAAGAACAAAGAGTTTGCCATCCTTGAACATATATACGCCTATGTGTGTTTATTTTTACTAAAGCTATGTATGTGGATGAAGTTTCCCATGCACCAAATAAATGATACAATGTGAAATTTAATTGTATCATCGGTGAAAGCACTTCCTGGTAGGGTATTGAGAAATCTTTTCCCTTCTAAGGTCATTCCCCCTGCCAAAAAGGAAACACCTTCGAGGACCCCATGCAATCGATTCTTTCCGTTCCAGAACAGATGGAAATTGATCAATACACAATAGGGGGATACAATCAAACAATGCGACAATCTTTCACTGTAATACTTCAACTGAACAAATAGCAACTCCCACTCCCACTCCTGCTCCTGCTTATTGACTTTGGTTTTTCTCGAGGGGCTGGTCTCAAGCCCACCTGAAATAAATCCGCTTAGGCGGTGGAAGGTAACGATGAAATGTGAGAACCAGCCCGTTCTACCATATATATGTATATATATATGTTGCCTGACTGCATAAATCAATGAACAAAAGACATTGAATGAAACAAGAAATCCGACATAATGCCAGCCGAAAACTATCAGAAGAAGAAGGAGCATTCAGTAATTGCCGAGGTTCTGGGACTGGCACTATGGATTTGGGTCGAACCGGAGACAGACCAGAACAGACACAGTTTTTCAGCTGGCCAAGCTGAAGTCATAAATGCTTGTTTTTCAGGTGCCACAAAGAGAAAGCCGAAACAAAAGCGGGTCGGCAGACAGCCTGGCCGAATTGAGCGCCAGGATTACAGAGATCCTGGATCGACACGGTCCGCTCTCAACAGGTAATTCCGCCGAAAATCGCAGGCCATGTAAACAGACTGAGGAAGGACAACAACTGGTTTATGACACCCTCGAAAGCAGCCGGCGGATTAGGGACTCCCTTTTCCAATACCCAAAATACCTCAGGTAACAAACCGATCCGATTAGTTTGGGCCATGTTTTTTCGGCAATGAATGAACTGCTTTGGGGAAATACCTGCCCCAGGTACCAATGGTGGGAAAATCGCAGGGATTGCGGGTTAGCTCCTCTTGTGATTACCTAATGTTGCATAAAAATGGTCGCCAGGAGGAGGGGCAGCACAGTCGTCTCAAGGACAGCAAAGCACACACAACTCCCGCACAATCAATCAATAAATTTATCGACCAAGATCAAAGAATGGAGAACTATAGCCACAAGAAGTTCACTGGAGCTCTGAAGCGCAAGCGCAGCACGGATGGGGAATCGGATGACGATGTGGTCTTTGTCATGGAGCAGCCAGGTCACCGAACTCCGGAGCAGCAGCCGCAGGCCAAGCGTCGCTTTTTCCGACCATGGCTGGATGAGTCGACAGAAAAGGAGCTGCAACCGGAGCCACCTCGCAAGATGGTGACCACCACACCCCCACCAAAGGACACCGCCTACCATGCCAATATGGTGCGCAACCACCACAAGCGCCGCCATCGCAGTCCCCAGGAGCAACTGCGTCGCGATCGGAACACCTTGGCCAGCCTGCGCCATCGGCGATCCCAGCAGCAACAGCAGCAGATCATCGAGCAGGAGTACTTGAGCAGTCGCATCCAGCACGAGGCCCAGCTGCAGCAGCAGATCCGCCTGAGCCTCTACTACGTACGCTTCCTTCAGCAGTCGATGGCCTCCATGGAGCCACTGCCTCCCACGCAGCCCAAGCCGGTGCTCCCGCCTCGCCAGACCACCAGCCAGCATCCTTGAAGGGTGGACCCTCGACTTTGGCGCTCTTCCGGCGCTCTAAACTATTGTAAATTATTGTATTCCGCTAGAATAGCCTTGTGATTACTTATAAAGTTGTATTTATTTATTTGGTTGACTAAACAATAAATGCTAAAATTGTTATCGAAATTAATTGACATTCTTATTGAAGAGGGATTTTTTTACTTAATGGGTTTACATGATTTATTTTGTATAATCATGACACAATTTTGAACAGAAGTTATTATCAATCAGCATCATCAGGTCATAATTGTTCAAGGCTATTGACTTAAGCTTTGAAAATCCTTCATATCGGATAATCAAACTAACATACCTTCCATAAACAAGATTAGGTTAACACATTCCTAAACATAGATATCAAAAACCTCGATAAAATGCCATTTGTTTTCCCTCTTTGCAATGGCAGTTCATACTTTAATTAAAAAGTAAAAAAAAAAAAACAACATTTTTTTAATAAGTTCAATTGCTTAATGTGGATTTATTGCAGATCGAATTTACCGGAAGCAAAATTACATCAGATTTACTTCATTACGTTAGTTTTCATTGTTCAACACAAAATTATATAATCAAATTCTTGGAAGTGTAATTTGCAATGCTAATTTTAAATAAATACTATTGTACACATAAGTGCAAGTGATTCATACTAAGAGTAAAATGTTTGAATAGTTTAAACTCAAGTGACATACTATAGGAATAAAATACCTATTTATTTAAGATAAGTTCAATTACCTAATTTATAATCAAATCTGCATTGCAAACGAATAGAGAAATTATTTAAAGATTGTGACAATAAGATCCGCCTTTGTGGTTTTCCAAAAAATGAAATCATCCTATTGCGACAGTGATAACAACGCAATAAATATTACAACCTGTTTGAATATTTATCAGGGATATTATAGGTTAATCATAGATATGAGAAAATTAAAATATTTTCAATTCAAACTCAAATAATAAACATAAAAAATAACTTAGCATATGCCATAATATATATATATATATAATAAACTGCCTTGAGAGCGATTTTTATTAATGCAATTCCTTTTCTATAGTCGTAAGTCACATCTGTCAAAAGTTTTAAAAGATCCACGGCATTTCCTAACCAGCTATCAGGTTATTTTTTTCCATTGTCATTCTTCGGTGAAAATGGCTGCAAAAGGACCCTCGAGAATTTCCAGGGAAATGAAACAAATTGTGGTGGTGAAAATAGGAGCCAAGGGACCACCACACACGCACACACTACGAATTGTGTCATGCAGGTCAATAAAAAACCCTTAGTCTGCATAACAGTTGCTCCTCACAGTCCAGAACTTTCCTGTTCCGGTGGCCACCATTGCTCGATAATCCAGGTATTCCACAAAAAAGGGATAATGAGGCAATGCTGCGACGGCAATTAGCGATGGTGATAGAGCAGGTCATAAAACAGTGCTTAATCCACGACGATTACCTAACGCGGGATGCGCTAATCCCTTGTGTTGACAGACCCAAAACAAACGGATTCCCCTTTTTTGGCTACCTGTAGAGTCAGCCCATATGTCCATATAAACAGGATATCAATCTCAGAGCCAATCATTCAGCAAGCGATCGTCCAACGAGTCACTTCACAACAGCAGTGATATTATTTGTGTTTAAAATCAAATAATTATTATATTACCTAAACAAAATGGAGAATACAACCAGCTACGCCCACAAGAAGTTTGCCGTGAGCAAAAGGAAGCGAGATTTGGTTGAGGACAAGGAGAACTTCACACAGGAAATGGAGCCACCGATTACCAAGCGCCGCCAGACACAGGGATTCTTTCGACCCTGGCTGGATAATGAGCACAATCAGCAGAAGGAGGTGCCAGTGGACAAGCCAAGTGGCCGGGTATCGCCGGTCAGCCAGTACCATGCCAATATGGTGCGCCACAGCCAGACGAGGCGGCAGCGTAGCCCCAAGGAGCAGCTGCGTCGGGATCGGAACACCCTGGCCTGCCTCCTCAGTCGCCGGGCCAAGCAGGCCCAGGAGGAGCAGGTGGGTCGCCAGTACGAGCAGTACAGGAGCCACCATGCCGCCATGCTGGAGCAGCAGATCCGCCTGAGCCTCTACTACCGCCAGATCCTCCAGCAGGCCGTCTTCCAGAGAGCCATTACCCCGTCATCCGGTCATGTGCTGCCCCAACAACAGCAGCAGTTCCTCCAGCAGATGGCCCTCTCCCAGCAGATGCTCATCTTTGGTGGCCAGCACTGACCACTGACCACCGACCCATCAAACATCATATATCATAATCAGCGACTATGGATAGCCCTAAAATGTGATTTAGTTTATAAGCGCTAATTTATTTATTGTTGACTTTGAAATAAAATTAATAAGCATTTAATGAAATTTACCAGTTCGTTTTCTTGGCACATTCTGTGCTGGCAACTTAAGATCAAAAGATCAGAAAAAAAGGTCAGGGGATCGCACGAGCGCTATATAAATTAATAATATGTTTGTTTAATATTTATTGGATAATGACAGATTGCTTGTTCTGATATTGCTCAACACTTATTACATCCGCATAAGGGGAAAAATCGATTTACAGACAGATGTATAACAATATATAATTTTTTTATTTATATGAAAATGAAATTTAAAAACTATTTGGTTGAAACTGTTTAAACAATAAAAAAAGGTGTTTATACACACAAAAACAATTGCTTCGCCAAATTGGCAAATACCAAGAGCATCTTGTCAAGCTGATCTTGGCGTAGTCGGATAGCTCGCGGTTCTTATGGCAGCTGTCATTGACGAGGCTGTTTGCCGCGCAATATGGAACTCCAGGATGCCCGAAGCGATGACCGAAGACGGTGACCTGGACGATGGACCGGAATTCCCAAATGCCTGGTAAGACTGCTAGTCGTCCGAAAGGTCGACTATATTCCGTCCAATCGATGTGAGACGGGGCATATCGTTAAAAATAACTTCTAACCGGCCGGGGGCGAGATTAGATTTAATGTGTTTAATTATAGCAGAAATTTGTTAACTTATAAAATAAATGAATGGAAATGAAATACTCAAGGGTACAATCTGGTAAGTACAAACAAATATCTTCTTTTATACATATTATTTTATTTTTGAAGACAGAAATCGATTTTCAAGTACTCTATCGGATGCATCTAAATTAAAAGGTTGTTTCTCTCTGCAAAGAGAAAACAATATATAATTTTTTTTTATATTTTTTTTTATTGGGTAATGAAGATTTCAATGTCATTCTTAGCCACCCATTGCTAGGTATATTTCCCAGAAACCATTTACCAAAACCCATTACCCAGCAAAGTTCAACTAATTGTTGTCTAACTAATTTTCATGGCGTTCTCATTTCGCAGCAGTTTTTCGTCAAGGTTTCAACTCCGCACAAAGAACAATATTTTTTGACTGGGCTGAGCTTTTGCCATCGCCTTCAACGAGTTGGGCAAATATTGACAGAGATCGGATGTGGAGATATGGTCAAAGTACACCCAGAGATTTTATGTTTCAGAGCCCGACAAAGCTTTAAGTTCAGTTGGGCAGCGAAACAGAGTTTTGCAATCGCAAAACTCAAAGCGCAGAAGTGCAATTTTCAATGTTAGGCCAGCCAAAAGGCAAAAAGAGTTACTAAAAAACCTGACAATTAACTGAAATTCATGTTGGCTGCATGGCACAAGTGCAAAGTGGTTTACTGGGTTGTCGGTGGTCGCGACGGAAATTTTCAGCACTTGGATTTTCCATAGGAAGTCGGTATGCCAAAGTATTATCAATGAAAATTAAAAGTAATTAACTGCGATTGCGCAATGCAAAAAATAGGAGTTAATTACATGGAGGGGATTTTCCCTACTTAAAGCTCTTTTTTCCACTCACTGATTCAGTTGGCTGCACTTTTCGGCGGGAGCACTCAAAGTCGAACATAAGTTTTGTCCATGGCTTTATATGTTTTGTTCATCTGATCAGTTGAACTTCCTTGTAGACCGTTGATTTTCTACTTGGTTAGGCATTATGCAAGTTGGGCTGGCCAAGTGCCTTGCCGTTAACTAGAGTGAAAGCATTATGAGACATACGTAGGCCTTTAACATTAATTGTACTCTTAATTTTTTTGACCTTATTAAAAAGAAGATACAGAAAACATACATGTTTGTCTGTGAAAAGTAAAAATTAGACTATCCAATTTATCAAACATTTTCACATTGATAAGATTGGTGGCTTTCAAAGATTTTTTATTATAATAAATAAATATAAGTGGTTAAAAATTATTTTAAAAATATTTAAGAATCATTAAATATAATTTTCGAGGTCTAGAAAATAGCCATTAGATCAGTTTGCCAATACTTTTAACTCAAACACAATAAAATCCCCGTTTATAATTTACTGAAGAAATTTCTTCAAGACCACTAACATATTTATAAGATTAGCTTAAAAGCCAAACCCAAACGATGTTCCGGAATCAGTATGACAACGACACGACGGTGTGGAGTCCCCAGGGCCGCCTCTTCCAGGTGGAGTACGCCATGGAGGCAGTGAAGCAGGGAGCGGCAACTGTGGGACTGAAGAGCTCCGACTTCGCAGTGCTCATTGCCCTGTGCCGCACTTCGAAGGAGACGAACACGCTGCAGAGGAAGATCATGCCGGTGGACGGTCATGTGGGAATGTCCATCTCCGGTTTGACGGCGGATGCCCGTCAAGTGTGCCAGTACATGAGGACCGAGTGCATGGCCTACCGGCACTCCTACGATTCGGAATTTCCAGTGCGTCGATTGGTGGGCAATCTGGGCAACAAGTTGCAGGCCACCACCCAGCGCTACGATCGACGACCCTATGGAGTGGGAATGCTGGTGGCGGGCTACGACGAGCAGGGACCCCACATCTTCCAGGTGATGCCCACGGCCAATGTCCTCAACTGCAAGGCCATGGCCATTGGAGCCCGTTCGCAGAGTGCCCGCACCTATTTGGAGCGGCACATGGAGAGTTTCGAGGAGTGCAGCATGGACGAACTGATCTGCCACGGCATTCAGGCCATTCGAGGATCTCTGGGTCACGATGACAGCTCCGATCTCACCATCAACGTGGCCATTGTGGGCAAGGACCTGCCCTTCAAAATGTTCACCGATGCCGAGAACCAGAGCTATCTTAATATGGCCAATGTTTTGGGTCAACCATTTACCGGGGACCAAGATGCTCTCACTGATGCTGATGGGATGAGCGATGATGACTTGATGGACCAGGGACCAAGTGGCAGTGGAATGCCGGGCAATGATTTATCCGATGTTGACACCAATCCCTCCGCATCTGGCCATTAAGCACGCCAATCAGCGGAAATGCTCACACAAATCATATCAAATTGTTTGTTTCGTTATAAATGTTATTAAAGTTTTCTGGGCATTATCATTATAGCTTTATTTTTAAAAAATTCTCTTACGAATACACACAAATAAATTAAAACTATATTTTAAGAATAAATTTAAACTCCAAAAACTTAAGAAATAAATACAATTTTAAATTTGTTAATATTGAACATAAGCCCTTAAATAATAAAGTATATTAGTTTTCTCTTTCTATTTTAACTCCCTTAATCACCGTTTAAAAATACACTGACAAAAAAAATGGAACAGTAAAAAAAGCTTGACTATTAAATCCTAAATGTTATATTTCTACTTAAATTAAGCACTTAATTTAATGGTAAAGCATTATAGTTAATTTGAAAAAATATTGCATTTAAAATGGCTTCTATTTGTTTTTAATATTTAAATAAAGTAAAAAATACTTTACAGATTTTGTAGGAATTGTCAATAGCTGATATCACATCTATTAAATTTAATTTCTGTAAAATAATTAAATAGCTGAGTTCGCCTAAAGGTGTTAAATAAACTAATCCGATTTAAATAATTATTAAAAGATTAAAATCCTCATTATATATTTAGGTGTTATGCAAGTCAGAGCCTTTGGCGTGACCAAATCGATTATAATGGCTTACAAAATGTCGTAGCGGCAACTAGCTAAAGTGTCTGGTTAGTTTAACTTTAAGTGGGACGATGGCAGGTGAGTGATGGACGGGAATCGGAGTGGTAGTAGTTAGCTTTTAAGCTCACATATTCCCGTAGTTGCGGTTTCGATCGGCTTACTGCTGCTGGTGTGCCAGTGGTGGATCGCCCCGGGTGAAGGGTTAATCCCCAGTGAACTTTACCCGGCTGGCTGGCCAGCTCGACAATATCCCACAACGCTCCACCGGGCGATTGTGGATGGAGTGGCCACTAATGAAGTGCCCAATGGCCTGATGATCGCCCATGACAGCCTAAAGACAGCCTTTGGCGTCCTGCTGGCCAGCTCCGATGGCACCACGGCGGATGAGATCGGGGAGGCCATGAGTGTGCCCATGCCCTCCCAGAAATCAGCTCAGGATCGGCTGGTCAATACAGAACCCCGTCATTTGATACCGGCAACGGATAAATTCAAGGAGTTCAGCTACACAGGCGTTTATATACCACCCCAATTGAGTGTAAGACCGGACTACGAGGACAAAATTAGGGACATGGGTGTGGATTTGGTGCCTGCGCTACGCAACGGTACATTGGAAACGCTCTCGACGAAGCTAGAAGCCATCAGTTCCGAGCTGAAAGACGCCACATCCTCCGATGATATGCCCTACGAACTGAAACAGCAGCCCGAAGTCTTCGTTGTGACAGCCGCCTCCTTTAAAGCGGTTTGGGCGGATGCCGAGTTCCACAACGAGAATCGACGGATGAGGGAGTTCAATGTGGACGAGCGACGACGCACCTTTGTGGATACATTGTACAGCCTGGCCAAGAGGCGTCAGTTGGCCCATTTACATGAATTAAGAGCCACCATGCTGCTTCTCCCACTGAAAGGAAGTCGGGTGAAGTTCATGGTCCTGTTGCCGGATCAAATCAATGGTCTGCGACAGCTCGAAAAAGAACTGGAATTTGTGGATCTGCGCAGCTTACTCAGAAAGAAGATGGACACCCGCAGGTTCGATGTTCGTCTGCCCGTGATGAATGTGGTGACCAACATTGAGCTGGCCGACAATCTGGGCTTTCTGGGCATCCGCAAGGTTTTCAATCCCAAGCAAGCCGATCTAAGTCGAATCACGGGTAAAAAACAACGACTCCGAGTGCGCCGATTCCAACATTTGACCCATTTCGAACTGAACGAGCAGGGGATCAATTTTCATAAATTTGACATCAGTAAGTTTGATTTCTTATAGTATGGGAAATTAACTTAATATTCCTGGTACTCATAAAAATTATTGGGGAAATTAAACAACCTTAGGGGGTATTAGATTGTTAAGTAACTAACATTTCAATACCTCCGCATATTTGTTTTCACATCAATTTTCACACTCAAGATCAATATTAAATGTACATTTTCAGAACATAATAATTTATTTTAATTGTATACATTTAATTTCAACAGAAGCTCGAGTTCGACATGACGGTAAGACCCAGAACCACTTTTATGCTTCACATCCATTCTTTTTCGCTCTGGTGGACGAGTTCAAGATCTATGCCACCGGTCGATATGGCCAATTAACAGTTGATCCGGATGATATATAAACTTTTAATAATGATAAAAGACTGCGATAGGTTAATAAAAAGGTGAAAAAATAAATGCCTAGAATATTATGAATATCGTTTCACATTTTTTGTTTGGGAAATAATAACATAAAACCTAGGTTATAATATTCAAAATCCTTTCAAAATCATATAAAATTAAAATATAAATTTAAATATGTTTACGAAAAGTTAAAACATGTAACAAAAATGCAAATGGGCTGCAATGCAAGCCCATACGACTTAGTGTTAAGATTTAAAGGAAATTTAAATTTAATCACGTAAAAGCATGGTAAAAAGCAATCAACCGCCAACTTCAGTTGAGCATAACGTCATTAAAACTATGCATAACTTATGATTCATTGAAGTCATTGAGCTACTGACCTATGACTGAGCAGTTTTTTGTCGCGGAGTTTTGGTTAGTATAACCATTCAATTTATAGAAAATAAAACACGCATGCGACTTTCTTTAAGTATAAAATTAATTGTATTTATTATGAAGTACCTGCTTAAACTTTAAATATATCTACAATTTCTTGAAGAAACTTAACAACTTAGCATTAAGGTAATACTTAACTATATAATACAATCTTTACATAAGGCCGACTTAAGCGTGCTCCTGTTTTATACCACCGATCAGGTAGTCGATGCTGAAATTGTTCCTTGGAGTGGGCTGCGGGTGGTCCTCCTGCTTGACCAGCTCCTTGAGGTGATTCAGATAGACCCTGGCCCGCAGACTTTGCTCGGCGATCTTGAGATGCTCGCTGGAGCATTCCTTGTACTGCTGTTCGATCTGGAGGTCATCGAACTTCTTCTTCCGCCGACTCATCCGGCAGGCAATAGTGTTCTTGTTCCGGCGCTCCTGATCCTTTGGCGATCGCTCCTTCTTGGGAAACTTCCTCACCATATTGACGTGGTATTTGAAGATGTCTTGGAGGGCCTCGGTGATGATCGGACTGGCCGAGTGGTAGGAAACGCTGGAGGAGGAGGATCCCAAGCGACGGCGTTTTGGCAAGGGAGGAAAATCGGTATCCTGGTCACTGCAGCTCAGACTGATGGACTGATCCGCCTGGGTGTAGGGTGTGCCGCTGCGTGAGATTAGCTCCTCTTTGAGGAGCAGCTCGTCTTTCTCAACTTTGCGACCCACATCGAACTTCTTGTGGCGATAGATCTGATGGTTCTCCATTGCTGATTATGTGTTTTCTTCTCGAAGTCTCTGGATTGAGTGCTATCCTGTGGCCTTTCGCACTGGTTTATATGGGGAAAGTCTTATCTGGCTTCGCCTCGTAATCCGCCAACAATTTTATAACTTTGTTTACACAAATCGAAGCCGAATTTTCTTTTTGCAAAACGAAAACAAGATCATAAAACCGCTCGATTTGCCTGCGCACGCGTACACGCCACCCCATCTTTACCTACTTACTAAACATAAGCCCACCCGTTGGGCATCCCAATCGTGTTTGTTCTTGCGTGCGTTCCGTTGGGATCTTTAAAGTTACAGATACAGATACAGCTATAGATACAGATACAGCTACAATACCATCCAAGCCAGTAGGTGGCGAAATACGCGCCCATCGATTGTCTGGTTCATTCAATTCGTGTTTGTTCCTCTTCCAAAACTGATAATCTGCAGACTTTTTCAATGTCGCCGCCTTTTGTTGAAGTCATGGTATTTTGGGTTGGGTTACTCTTGTTCAATTGGTTTCCATCCTAAAGTATTTTGCGGGCTCATTTGTCCAACTCCTTTTGTTCTCTGCTGTTGATAAGGTGTGTGTGGCACTGATCTTTTGTTCTTCAGTTTGTTTTTTTAGTTTCCAAAGATATCGGTTCTTGGAATTGAGAGTGCCAATCCTGGGTAACTGCAACCTTACTGCCCGAGATGTTGATAAGATGACTTATATTTGGGGTTGCAAAAGGGCAGTCTCCGTCTACTGATAAGGTGGTTTTTATCTATCTTGTGCCAGGTCCAGTGATAAGTCTACGAATACGTACTTCTAGGCTTGAAACTGTCCCTGAAATAGATAAGAATTGCCAATTAGGTAGTCTAGAATATTAAGAAATACTATATCTTGAAAAATATAGACTTTAACTAATAAATTCATTAAATGTAAACTCACTTTTAGCGGTTTAGATTTTATAGTTTCCTCGTAGATTGCTTACTAGACACACGTGACTAAACATCCACTAATCAAGCACTTTAAATATTGTTTTAGAGTTCAAAAACCAGAATTAGCATTATAAACGTGTAGCCATTAACACGTCAACGGTTGATTTCAAATGTTTAAGTTATATTTTCATTATTTAGTTAAGGGTGTGTGCAAAAAACGATTTTAAAAAACTCTATAGTTATCTAGACATTTTAATTGATCGAATCTTGTATACTGTTTTACTCAATTTAATTATTATAAATTAGGGTTTTAGTTGGTTTAAGAAAATTATAACCTTTTCTTCTCCCAGATTTATGTACTAGACTTATTTTAATAAAAAAAAAAATAAAATATTCACAGAAGTGAAATACTATTTTTCTAACCAGCACCATTTTAAATGAAGAACATGTTTAAACACGATTTATTCAGGTACCCATTTTTGTGGGATAATATTTTAATAGTATACTTATTCTAACATGGTATGATGAGAATGGAGTGGGATTTATAAAATGCAATTATTTTTTTAGGTGAGTAGGAAATTGGGACCAAGATTTGGGCATGATCTCGAGTCACCAGAGCCAAGACTAGGAAACAAAAATAGCGGCTTGGAGGAGCACTTGGGACAGCTGCCGGTAGTTTCAGGTTGTGATGGGTAAGTCGGGTCGGACTGGGGTTGCGATAAGTCAAATCGGATGGCTGGGTGGCTTCCACTTCACGACTTTGTGGGGGAATTTAATAATGTCGTTTGTATTTCACTGCTGTCTATTGACTTTTGCATTTGCTTTGTTTTCTATAGCGGGAACGGCAGCGGCAACGACAACGGCAACGTAGTCGTCATTTGTTCCAAGCTATTTTTGTTTTCCGCCCACCGCTCCGCCCCCAAATCCCTATTATTTGCTAATGCCGAGCATCTGTGTTTGTGCCTCTTTTTATTTTTTTGCGTTTGCCTTTGCAATTTCGATTTGATTGGATTTGTTTTGTTTTCTTCCCATAAATAAAAGGCCGGCTCCCATCGCAGCTCTCAGACGTTGATTCGCATTTGCATCGGCCAGGTTCCGACTACCTGTCAGTTCGTAGATAATTTCACCGAAAGTAAAAATCAATAATATATTGCACTTTCAAACTAATAAAAGCAACTAGAAAGCACACGTTCTAAACATGGGTCGAATCTTTTGCGCTGTTGTTCTAATTTCGATTTCGGGCTTAAGTCTGGCAGCTGATATTGGAGCTGAGTTGCCTCCAGTTGAGTTCAAGCCGGTCCGAGAATTGCGTGAGTGTTGAAAGCCATTAAGTGTGGAAAAAGAAACCTAATATTAAAATTAATAAAACGGAATAGACTATTCGTGTGCCCAAAAATAATATAACTGAATTTTATTTTACTGGTTTAAGACAAATCATACAAATGTTTAAAGCTGATTTATTACCGTTTTTTTAAAGCTATATCAATACATACATATTTTTTATTTAAAATGTGTTTTAACTATAAACAAGAAAGAAAGCAAACTTCGGCAAGCCGAAGTTCATATACCCTTGCAGCTATTGCATGAATTAAATACTTTTGAAAACATTTAAATTATGATTTACTTGAGTATATGCTGAAAAACATTGAAACTATGATGATTTGCAGCTCAATTATTAGATAGTTATTTTATATATTTTTATTATTTCTATGGGAGCTATATGCTATAGACGTCCGATTTTGATAAAATTTAAAACATAATTCTGAAATAATTAAACATTGCTATATGTCGAAGAACTAAACAAAAAATTAAAAAACAGAAAAGTTATAATTTTTTTTCATTTATTTTTCCGATTGTTCCTATGGGAGCTATATGCTATAGTCGTCCGATTTTGATGAAATTTAAAACATAATTCTGAAATATTTAACCATTACTATATCTCGAAGAACGAAACAAAAAATTAAAAAACATCAAAGTTATAATTTTTTTTCATATATTTTTCCGATTGTTCCTATGGGAGCTATATGCTATAGTCGACCGATTTTGATGAAATTTAAACCGTAAATCGGAAATATTTAAACATTGCTATATGTCGAAGAACTAAGCAAAAAATTAAAAAACAGCAAAGTTATAATTTTTTTTCAATTATTTTTCCGATTGTTCCTATGGGAGCTATATGCTATAGTCGTCCGATCCGGCTCGTTCCGACTTATATACTACCTGCAATAGAAAGACAACTTTTGGGAAAGTTTCATGCAGATAGCTTTAAAACTGAGAGACTAGTTTGCATATAAACGGACGGACAGACGGACAGACGGACAGACGGACGGACAGACGGACGGACAGACGGACATGGCTAGATCGACTCTACTAGTGATGCTGATCAAGAATATATATACTTTATAGGGTCGGAAACGTCTCCTTCACTGCGTTGCAAACTTCTGACTGAAATTATAATACCCTCTGCAAGGGTATAAAAATATGCAAAAATATTATAAAAGAATAGTCTTCTCTAACAATTTACATTACATTACATTTTATTTAAAAACTAAGCAATATATAAACAAAATTAGTAAGAATTTTTAATAAATAAAACAAAAAGCCAAAACTAATATATTCAATAAATATGAAGGCGGTGTAAGTTTTGATAAAGTTCAAAATATATATTATTCATTTGACACTTTAGTAGACTCTTAAGATGTAGCTATTTAATTTGTGATATTATCAGCTAAATACAAAATTTTGAGTAACACAGAATAGAATATCACGAAAGCAATAATTGTGTGAAGCACGCAATTTTGTGTGAATTTTATAACAAAGCAATTTAAACATCTGAGAGTCAAAGTTCAAACCCAGCTTTCTTTAAAACAATAGGATTGCACAATGCTTAATAGATTGCAATAAAGTGTGCCAAATTACATGAAATCTTCTTAGGAATAAATTTAAATTTGGAACGACATATAGTGGTTGATCTTTTTAAGGATTTTTTTATGAGTTATACAATCCATCCTCAGAAAACTGTAAATGCGATGTATAATAAAACAATTAATATTCTGCTCTTCAAAGTACAATAATAATTGGATCCGTAAACGGTTTATAATTCTCTAATAAAATCTTATATAGAAATGGTACTTCTAGTATAATATAAGTTACTATTCAATTAAGAAATTATATATTTAGCTTTACTTAAAACGATTTCAAGTTTTATACTTAGACCATGACAAACATAAAACTTTGATTGTCATGCTGATAAGTCTTGGCTTCAAACAGATTTAGCCAAAAATAAAACTGGTGGCAAAACATTGCCATTTGAATTACTTCATTGTCATAACAACAATTGCACATGCTATTTTTAAACGTTATTTACTGACCGAGTCATATGTGTGGATAAAAATACAACATTTTATGGGAGAATATAAAAAATAAAAGACAAGTTCGCCGCTTCAGTCTTTTGTCCGGATTTGTCACTTCCGCTAACGACCCACTCCCAAGGTAGACCAATGGGAAAAGTTTTAATTGCCAGCGTATTCAAACCGAAACGATCTTGAGACTACAGTACAAAACTCTTATAATTAAATGCAGGAATTTTCGCTTAACTCGTTGACAAAATCAAATCTAATCAACAAATAAATTGCGCATGACGTTGACAATTATGTGAGCAGCGAAACGTTTAAGCGAACACAATAGTTCTCAACTACACCGAAAAATAAACAATTTTACAAAAATTGTAAGTTAGTGAAAATTAAAAACTTTTTATTAACAAGTATTAAAGGAATTTTTTTAATAGGACTTAAGATTTTAAATTAACACCCCAGAACAATAAGTTCGAGTTAAAAAACTGATATATTTATACTTTTTATGCCAGTTTGAGTTAAGGAGAATTAGGAAAGTTCTAGTTCAGAAAGTTAGATTATTTTTAGTATAGATCTAATTAACATTTAATTACTACTTCTACGTTAAGTTTATTTTTAAGGTAAGGCTTATAAAGTTTAAGTTGTTTTTTTTTTTTGGTGTAGAAATATGTCACGTTCTGAGCATAGGCAGGCACATCGATCGTACGCGATATGACTAACGCCTATGCTGAACTACATAAATATGTCAAGGCCAGTGCGCACTAATTAAACTTGTTTGGCATTCGACAGCTAACGATATTCCGACCTGTCGGGAGGGCGACATCAACATCAACGAGTGCATTAAGCAGGGCCTCCAGCAGATAACGCCACGCATGAAGTACGGCATCAGGGAGCTGAACATCCCGCCCCTCGATCCCTTCGAGATGGGCAAGAGCTCCTACAGCTACAGTTCTGGCCTGCTCCAGGGTCGCATCTCGATGAAGAACGTGGTCGTCCACGGACTCAGCGAGGGCATCGTGGACAAGGTCGACTTCCGGCTGAAGAACGGCCGTGTCCGCATGGAGATTCTCTCGCATGTGCCGCAAATGTTCGTCGAGGGCTTCTACAAGGCGGACATCAAGCTCAACGACCTCAAACTCAACCCAAAAGGATCCTTCAACATTACCATGAGTAAGTAAAGTCTTAGAATCCGTATCAAACTCGTTCCGCTTCCGTATGTTTACCTTCAAGACTGGTCTCATTTTGAGCACCTGTTTTACCCTTTTGGTAACCATTTTATTTATTATACTGAACTTATTATACTATAAATAAATATCTCTATTATCAAAAAGAGCTGTAGTATGTTTAAGCTTAAACTTTCATACTTTTAAATATGATTAGGGGTTAAAAAAATATATATATGAATAGGTTTTAGGATTGAAAAGTTTTCCTTTTACTTGTTATGATTTCATATTCTTGAATGCAATGAACATGCTACTATCGTGTATATAGAATGGAAGACAAAAATTGATTTAATGCATTAAATGATAACATTGTAATGCTTTGATGATTTTATTTAATTACTTATTTTGCTCTAATTTACCATTAGCTGATGTCGCGATGAGGGCGAGACCCATTGGCGAGCTATATGAGCGTGATGGTCACACCTATCTGCGTCTGACCAAACTGGAGACTGAGCCCAAGGTGGGTGACCTGAAATTCTACGCCAATGGACTGGTTCCCGATCCGGTGCTTAGTAAGTGTTTGCCAACCTCTGCTCTTAGTATTCCAACTAATCCATAAATTTCTGCTTAGACGATGTCATCTTGGATTTCATCAATCAGTACTGGCGTCAGCTCTATCAGGCCATGCTTCCCGAAACTTTGGCCACCTGGCAGCCCCTGATCTTGAAGTCCACGAATGACTTCTTCGCTGCGTTACCATTCGATATACTTGTGACCAAGAATTGATATCACTGACTTTTATATTGTTGTATTATATATACCCTAAGGTTCCATCTGTGCTACTCAAGGTGTTAACATAGTTTGTACTGAAATAAATATAAAAGTTCTTAAAATATTTACCGAAATTCCCTTTTTTTATAGTAATTTACCGGACCATAGGAAAATTTGAATGAACTTTGGGTATTTACTGCACAGATAATTAAATTGTTTTTTATACTTTAGCAAACAAATATTTCCGCGCGATTGCAATTACCCAAAACCTGTTAAAGTCAAGATTATAAAAAATAGGGAAAACTTTGTAATGTGGTGTAAGTATGAGTTTCTGTTATAGATAGTTCAGAAAAATACTAGTTCTCCCTGTGGATGGCAATTTAAAAGTAATTAATTAGCAATTATCCCATTAGCCATAAATCAACAGATTAATGATGTTAAATAAGAAAATTAAGCTCGCATTAATATAAAAAAATAAACTGAATCAATTGTTTGTAGCTTGAGTGGACATTAAAAAGTGCTTGCTGTTGAACGTAACTTTCTCAGAGAAAAATGGAGCTTATTTAAGTTTCTGTTTTGAAAAACTTAAATAAGCTCTCTTAGATAATTAACGTCTAAAGTTCATGTTACTTAAAACTAACTCAAGTTCAACTCACTTGATGAGGAATACTCTTTAGGCTCGATTTGGCAGCCCTTCGACATTGTTATTGTGCGACCCACCAAAAAGCCAAAATCCGTAATTAGTATACGTACTGGGTAATTATTAAAAGAATTTATGGCAAATCATCGCTGCTATCTAGAATCATACCTTCAATACATTTGTTTCCATTTAATAATACGACATTATAAATCAGACAGACGGAGCCGGTTTTGCGTTCAGTCAAAGTCTAGCTGTTTGCCGGCTAATGTTTTACTGATTTACAAGTTAAATGTACTAAGCTAGTTTCTGACTTGCATTGTGCAGCGGTGTGCTAATTTTGAGAATAAAATAGCTTGACTTGGAATCTGGGAGCTTCAGTTGTTCTCTAACGTTCTAGCAGCAGGTTGAAAGCGGTCGGAGTCCCCCAAAAAGGAATTATAGTTTAATAGTAGTATAGAATAGCTAAACGGAATGCATTACATAATTGGATTGCTAAGCCTGCTGGCCTTGGGCGTCAATGCAGCCCCCGCTGACACCAAATTCTTTGGTGGTAAATATAATATATATATTTAAGCTTTTTGAATTTCTCTAACACTCTACCTTGAAGACCTGCCAAAGTGCTCGACGGTTGAGGATCAGCTGGGAGAGTGCGTCAAGGAGATATTTAACACGCTGACGCCTCGTCTCAAGGACGGCAATCCCGAGCTGAGGATCGAGCCCTACGAACCTTTGGTCCTCAATCGCACTAGCTTCCAGTACTCCAGTGGCAACGTTAATGGCCGGATCACGATGAAGAATGCCAAGATCTACGGATTTGCCTCCAATCGGGCCAAAGAAGTGTCCGTCAAATTAAATGGGGATAAGGTCAAACTACGCTTTGTCACCCAAATGCCCAAGATGAATATTGTGGGCAGCTATAAGGCCGATATGCAGGTGAATCAGCTGCAACTGAAGCCAAAAGGAGATTTCAACGTAACGCTATGTGAGTATATCGATTTGCTTCTACAAATGTTTGCTTATCATTCCTTTTGCAGTCGACGTGGAGGCAACAACTGTCACTGATGGTGAAATCTACGAGAAGGATGGTCACCGGTATTTCCGCCTCAAGAATATCGATTCAAAGCCAAAGGTTAGAGATTTGGACATTAAGGCCACTGGAATATTTGCAGATCCAGAACTCGGTGAGTTTTCAGCTTTTATTTAAGGCGAGTTACTCATTTAATTTAAATATCAACCTTTCCAATAATCAAATTATCTAATTAGCCCCCTTAAAAATTAAAAGTCAAACTTATATATTTGTTATTGAACTTGACATTATTTATACAAACTTTTATTGCCCATTGAATTAATTGAAAGGGAATTCAAACGTTAAAAGCAATCTATGTTAAAATTATAAGTAGTTTTTTCAAAAACATTATAATTTTACAAATTTATAAACAGAGATCATTTGCAAATAGTTAAATTGTTTGTGACGCAAGCTGTGCAACAGATTTAAAATCAATTGTTCCAAAGGCAAACCACAAACAACTATAGTTCTTCATGGACAACTTTTTCTATTTAATCAACTCACTGATCTAAGCTTATAATTGCTTTTCATTACAGATAAAATTGCTTTGAATGTGGCTAATCAGTATTGGCGCGATATCTACGGCATCTTGTTGCCCGAGACCAGACAGTTTTGGCAACCCCTTATGCTACGAATGTTCAACGAGGCTTTCGAACTGGTTCCCATCGACCAGTTTCTCAAGGAGTAGCTCAATTAACTAGTGATGATTGTTTAATAGAATATAAACGGTTCCATAGCTTGCTATTAAATGGTAATATTTGTTTAAATTAATAAACATTTATTCTAGGCGCCATTTGACTGGCCCTCTTAATGGGATGAATTGGAAATTAAGTTCAAGTTTTATTGCATTTGTCATGCCCTAGTTAGTTTTCGTAGTAAAACTATGCCCCCTACAGCTGACCCAATGATAATATCGTTAATAGGTTAAGTGCACCCAGACATTTGACCTTGACACGCGGTGAAACAGCAATTACAATGAAATTGAGCAAGACTCATGAGCACGACTATCTCTTAAATTTTAGAGTGTGGGAAATTTATTATTCAGTTGGGCCGAAATCCCGGCGGTACTGCAATACCGGGCCAACCCGCGACAGAGGTGGAGCAAGCTCCTAGCACTCCGTCTGATTCCAAAAATCAGTTTAACATTTGTTGTCCTCCAATGGAGGAACTATCAGATGTTAAGCTGATAAGAACAGATACTACACTTTGATCTTAGCCATAAGGCCGAGAAGCGATAACTAGTACTGGAAATTAAACAGGCTCTCCATGAGCAAACTGCTAGAACCAGTTAAGAATTTTAATTGTGAAAGTAGGGGAGTAATTTTTATCTGTAGGGAGAAATTGTTAGCCTATTTTAAGGGTTCAGAATTACATGTTATTTATTTAAAGTCATAGTCTAGTCACAGGTAGACGATTGGTAGGGCGGAACATTTTTAGGGGTGCTTTAAGGGCTAAGAAAGTGTGTTATAATTCCCAACTGGTTATAGCTTGCCATGAGTGGTAGGATAGATTGTATACTGTGCAAAATCACTCTGGTTTCTCTTCAATTGTCGAATAAATCTTTCGCCTTTTACTAAAGATTTCCGTGGAGAGGAGCACTCTAATGAGTCTAAAATAATTTTTTGTAGTGCCTGGCAGCTTCGGTTGCCGGGCCATAAGGAATACATTTCATAATTTGCTAGATTGAATTACTCTTTAGTTATCATAAAAGTGATGAAATTGTACTAGTGATGAATTGTACTTGAACCGTAGTCGGCGCTAAGTATGCCATAAATCAGTCTATAATATTGCAGTCAATTATATATTCTTAATGCCTATGGTGACTGGACTGTTCCGTGCTGGGCATGCAAAACAGTAACGCTGAGTTGGATACAATATCAAAATAAACACGCGACTGTCGCTTGTCCAAAGACATGCCCATCATATTAATTGAGTATTTTTAGCTATTTAATTATATATATTTTAGAGAAAAATTGTGCACAATGATTAGATTGTTTCCGTACACAACTTTTAATTGTTGCTAAGTTCTAACATTAGTTAGTTGCTCTAAGGTTTCATACTTGGTCAGCAAAATTTCCGAAGATGTCACGTACTAGACAACCTTGAACATCGATTTGTACACCCACAAAGTCACAGGTTCATGAATAATTTTATGTGGCATAAAGAGCTGCAAAGATTTATAACTGACCCACATTTTACATGATCACTCGGAGGGCTTCACTTCGACAGCCACAATACGTCTCAAACTGAAAACGTGCCCTGCACTTTGACAGAAAACAGGGATTGGATTGGATTGAACGTGGAATGGGAAATGCTTTAACAGCTTCCTCATTGTTGGCTCTGTTTGACAGATTTGTGGGAATAATCTACGGATTCATATATATTATAGGGTTAGAAATTTTTCTTATACAGATGGTATTTTAAATAAATTCATGGTTCATAATATCCTAAATAAAAACAATGCCAAAAGTAACAAAGAAATTTTATAGAATTTACCAAAAGAATAAAGAATGTGAGGAAAATTAATTAAATTTGCCAAGAGGATATAGAATGGAATACAAATTGTTGTATTTTGCTTTATTCTGTTTTCAAATATTATTTATTTATATTAATTAAATTATTAATATGCATTGTAATATTCCTGTTGAAATAACTGCACATATTATTATTTTTTTTTTTTAAATGAGCTACGTTTTTTATTTAAATATATTAAGGTAGTTTAGTTGTAATCCTAATTGCTGTCTAAACGTTTTTGATTTAATAATTAAGTATTTATTGAATGATAGCCCCTGAAAATATCAATATGCTGGAACTTGTGACTCTCAAACTGCCGTTCAGTGGTTCTCCTGAATAAGCTTTCAATTTTGGCCGAGATGAGCTTTCGAGTTCGGCCTTAACTTCGGCTGTGACGGCCTAAAGCCTTCGAAACGAGCAATTTCGTTGGGGTCTATAGCTATATGTTGTTGCTGTTTGCTTGGGCTTCGGCAGCCGCATGGAAAAACTTTTGAACGAGCTCAAAAATCGGACAGCTCGAAAACTATAAATAAACGTGAGTTTTATGCAGCGCTCATTTCAAGATTTGCTAGCATCGCGGCGTCAACCCAAAAAATTCGTTTGTCCACTTTTTTTGCGGATAAGTTTGGCAATTAGCTGGCTAAGGTTGTGTGCATATCTGTGTCCGTGTGTGCAGCAATTGCAGCAACAATTGCAGTTAACCGAGAAAACCGAAAAGCCAACAAAAAAGCAAACTGTAAAAAAAGCGCTCGTGAAGAAATAAAAGTGAAGCCGGTTTGCAAAAAATTACGCAAATAAAAAAGAAAAAAACGGAGACAACCAAATTACCGTCTGGACTGTATTCGTTCGTTAAATCGAGTCACACGAAAATAGTCAATAGAAAGAGTCCAGTCAATTCAATTGAAACGAGTTTGCATCGGCATCGGCCCATTGTGCAGCGGAAATCCAAAAAAGCCAGTCCCGAAAATGCAATTGCTTTGCATCTCGCTAACCATTTTGGCCGCCTTGGCACTCGGAAGTGGCTATGCGGCCACGCTGCCAGCCTCCGCACCCAGTGTTTTCAGCAGCGATCCCAATTCCAATCCGAATTCCAATCCGGGCGAGGAGTATGTCGTAGCGGAGCCTGCCAGCTTTTCCGCCAGCGAGCTGGTTTTGCCCGCAGGGTCAATCGATTTCGGCGATGCAGATGCAGGTAAGGTGGCTTATGCAACCAAGACAAGAACTTGATATTCTAACCTAAATGTCACTCCCAGCCCACGCCCTCAAAAGTAAATAGACGTGACTCGAGCAGCACAAGATAAAAAGTTCGTTGTCTAAGTCTTTTGTTTGCCAAGTTGTGTCAAGCGAAAATTCAGCAGTGTGTGCCATTCAAACAAAAAAGGCATCTGTGACTCAAATTAAATATTATTTTTATATTTTTTATCATAAAATTGCACATGGTACATTTTTTCAATTATTTGTAATTAAAACGTAGATGATTGTTTCTTTTTTTTTTTGATTTTTAGCGTTTTTTTTATATATTTATTTATTAACTATCCTGACGCTTCAATCTCGTTTTTAGCTACAGAAAAAAAAATACATGAACAAACACAAAGTACTAATAAAAAGAATGCCTGTTTTTTAAATGTTTATATAAATATTGATACTTTGGTTCCCTCCAATAAACTACAAGTCATAAAATATTCAAATAATATGGTTACATGTTATTTGTCTCGGAAATTTTATCCGCCAACTATGTATGTTCTTACTTTTATTCGTCACAATCTTCTAACTTCCTGTTTTCAATCATGATACATTAATAAGCCCTCTATTTGCTCATTACTCTTTACCAACAATTTGATTTCTTCGTTAAAAATTCAGCACAAGCCTTGTCCGCTGTGCCTTCCATGTCAATCCGCCCAGATTACTCATTGTAAGCTTCTTGAACATTTTTACGTGTATTATGCATACACTTAACACCGCTTTTATAGGCCTGTAACCTTCAGAAACAAACAAAATTGGGAAAAATACTGAGAAACTGCAATCGTAAAAGAGTACTTTTTAATGAGATTTGCCAAGAGCCAAGTCCACCGAGCTATAGAAAATTAAATTGCAATAGAAATTAGCAAGTGGATTTGCAGTGAAATCTTTTTATTTATTTGGTTTTTTAACGCTTTTGAAATGGCAAGTGGAATATGTAAAAAAAAATGCGACAAGCAAGTCATCGCCTGTGCCACTTGAACTTGACACACTTACACCTGCTTTTGGGTAAAAGTTATAAAGCAGTGTCGAGGCGCAAAACTCTGGGCAAATAGAAATTGTGACGCAAGTTCGGGGCGCAGAGTAATAAATGCAGAATAAACACGAGATAATGCAGACTTTGAAATATTGCCAATTACATTAATATAATCGAGCACGAGGTGTTGGCCAGTGTGCGTGCTTTATTTATCGGTGTGTTGTTTGTGCTCTTGCGAAAAGAGTTCAGCGTCAACAAAACCAACAACGAGGCATTAATCCGATCCGAAACCGGCTGCTGTCGCTACCAAGACAACAAGACTACCCAGACTACCAAGACTACCAAGACTACTACTGCCAAGCTGCTGACATGAAGCGAAAAGCTGAAGCTGAAAAACTGACCTACATCAATGCGTAAGCGGCGCTGCTGGGCTTGTGCCAAACTGAAAGCTGCAATTGTAACTTGCCTCTAATTGCGCAAAGAAAACCGTCAGCAACAAGTACTAAACACATGACGGGCAGCAAACTTATTTACATGCGCTTGTGCAAACGAAGGACTTAGGCAACGAACTTCACATCGACACCAACCCTTTTCTGTCACCTCTCAGTTTTGACATTTCGAGCGCTGATTTGCTTCATGCCATTATAACATGCGGTTCGGCTCACCTTTGACATTGAACTTGTCGGGCGAAACAAAGTGAAAAATGTAAAACCAAACAGTGGGAAACAAATTTGGGCACTCAAGCCAAATTACTTAATAGGCGCTGTTCACGTGCGTAATTCGCCTTTGAATTAACCAAAATTTGTCTCATTCTTCAAAAGCTTAATTACAATCGTTTTTATATCTTTTTAATTTTGGATTGTCTTGCCAAGAAACATTAAAATAATTGCTTTTCGCTCGTCATCAGACTTAATATCATTTTAAATAAAATTATTTTTTAGTACCAGGTTTTTAATGAGCATAAAGTTCCTAAGCTTACACAAAGTTTAAGATTGCAGTTGTTTGTAGAATTACTTTTGATAGTAAAAAATTTGTATAAAATACTAACATGATAAACAAGAAAGAAAAATTTTATTTTTGTATTTGCTTTTAATTAGTATTCATGGCTCTATTGACTTTGTTTCTAAGAATTGCTGTTTAAAACAAAGAATTGGAAAATTCAGAAAAAGGAATAGGCAACACTTTTGTTTAAACAGAAATTGTTGTCCAGTGCCTAAATATTTAAATCGATTTGAATTGTTTCTTTTAATGCATTGCTTCTTTATAATTAAATAAACTTTAGCCTTCCAAATCAAATTTAAGGTAACCAACACTGAGCTTCCAATTAAATAAAAAATCTTTAAATATGTAAATTATTAGTTTCATATATTATAATACAAAAAAGTTTCTGGTGAGAAAAAAATACATTTTTAGACCGTTAGCTTGTAGAATCTATTAGGCTTTAAATACGTTTCCTAATTCGCGAAGACAACTGCCCAAGACCTAGTCAGGTATCACCCTGACACAAACCCCATTCGCATGTGACAGAAGACACGTGGTGACAGGGACACGTGAACTTCGTCATGCCCGGTTGGCTGGCACAATACCGAAAAAACGAAATAAATAAAGTTATAATAGTTATAATCTGCCTTGGTCAGGCGCTATGCTATGCCATGCCTCGATGAACCTTACAACTGAGGTTAGCCATGACTTAACTGAGCTGTGAACTAATCTCCCATAACTTTCGCCTTGCAGTTGCACCACCGCCAGCCGTCTTGTCCGGTGGCTCGAATGAGGTGACACCCTGTAGTCTCAGCTCGTCGGAGCTGAACGAATGCGTGCGCGGCTTGATTCAGACATTTGCCCCCAAGTTGCGGTACCAGGGAGTGCCGGAGTTCAACATGGACTCGATTGACCCATACTTCTACAAGCGAGGCATCTTCCGGTACACCAACGATGGCATCCAGGGAGGACTGTTGATCAAGAACATGGAGATCTACGGGATCAGCCAGTTGCAGGTCAACAGTGTGGCTGCCAATTTCACGGACACTGGCTTTATAATTAAGTTGGGCGTTGAGTTGCCGCAGTTGAAGGCAGGTGGACACTTCAAGGCGGACGTAAAGTTCGGGGGACTGCGTCTGGTGCCCAAGGGACCGTTCAACATCACCATAGGTGAGTGGCAGCGTGCTCCGAATAGTGCAACAGTTGCCTGACACTTTTACATTCCCCAGACAACATCAAGGCCACCATTCTGACCGACGGCCACATCGAACAGCTGCCCAGTGGTCAGAAGCGTCTCAGCTTACATCGCCTGAATGCCAATGTCAATATTGGCGATGCCAAGGTGGTGGCCAATGGCATCTTCTCCGATCGCAACTTGAGTAAGTTAACTATTCCCCTTCTTAATTTTTTGCATTTCTGACAGACTTTCGACCGTAGATGCCATGATTCTCAATCTGGTCAATGAGAATCTGCCCGAAATCACTCGCGTTGGAATTCCCGCCACCCGCGAACAGTGGGCTCCCATTTTGATTGCCCACATCAACGAGTTCTTCGCCAAGGTCCCAATCGAGAAGTTCCTGGTTGAATGATGCACTTAACTTATCCTCAAGGAACACTTAGCTCCTAGTTAGTTTTAACCTTATGTGTACAATTACAAATATATCTTAAGCGCTGTCTCCAAATAATTTTCTATGCACAAACGATTTGGCAATCATTCGGAGTGATTTTCAACATAACCAATTTGTATTTATTTATGTCATCCAATCTGAACAAAGAATTGAAACATGTGAAAATTTCAAAATAAATGTTTTTTTCAAAAAGTGTTTCCGCAGTTTAATTATTTTGAATTTTTATTTATTAAATAATGTATCCAAAAAGTATGCTTTCTTTTAGATTACCGCTTTCTACAAAATACATTTGTAAGGTAAAATAAATGTATTTTTAGATTCAGTCTGGGCATGAATACAAATTCCCAATACAAACTCTGTTACTTAGAAACACAGAGCTCAAAACATCTTATCTTAACAGTAAAACTAATGAATTATAACTTATGTATTTTTACAATGCTTAAAACGGTAGTTTGCAGTCAATGTCCTACGTTGAATTAGACTCAAAATATGTGGATGAATAGCCGGTAAGAAATAAAATCAGCTAATTGTCCTATAAATAAATATTTCAACGGTTCCAAATTTCAAGTGGTTAACTTAACACTGAGTGGGCGAAGTTCCCTTGTCAGAACATCTAATTGAATCCCAAACTGAATGAGCTTGAAGATGCTGAGAACTGCAAACTCGATCGATACCAACGCCATTGAAATGCTTTTCAAGAATAATATTTAACACTCCCACTCCCACTTGTCGATCAATCAAAGGGGCCAATGTGCCCCAAGGCTCCCAATTACAGACAATTAGTTGGCAAAATATTGAAATACAATTATCCCGCGAAAAGGTCCAGGCCATGACACTTAACTTTCCATCGATCAACGGATCGAGTGCCTTTATTGAAATGATCTGACCGATTCTCAGGAAACAATTGACTTAATTTGTGATATTTCTAACACCCAGGGCGCCGCCTGATCTCAGCGTGGATAATGCGATTGGAACAGAGCCCTGATTAATGTCCATTTTAATTGAATCCTGAGTCAAGAGGTTCTTTGTTCCTGTCACCAGTTCATTGCTCGAACTGGCCCGACCAGACGTAGTAAATTTTGCATATTATTTGGTAACAACACTTACATCAGACGGAGAATTCAAACGGGTCTACTTCAACTGGCCAAGTGGAAAATGAAGTACCAAATGCAATGTTCTCCATGGAATTTAAATGGAAATTCTATCTAGTTGTACAGTGAAAAATAAAAGTTAAGAAAAATATTATGGGCATTAAAAGTTATTAAAAAGTTGTAAATAAAAAAAAAGTTGGTAAAAGATGGTTTTAAATTTAGATTTAAATAAAATCTTACTGGTAATGTTTTTTATAAGAATTTGTTTATTTAGGTAATGTTATTAATCGATCTTAAAAAGAAACAATATTACAACCAGTAATAAATGATTAAAAAAAAATAATTATATCCTTTTCATATGTCTTATATCTAACTATTAAATATTTAATTTGAAATCCGTTTAAAATTGTTCCTTTATTTGCCATGCCAAAACCAAATGGATTTTATTTTAAATTCTTTTAAGTGCATAATAATAGCCAAGTGGGCCAGAATGAGAAGATGCAACCGCAGCTTGATTTTTCTTTTATTAGTAGTCGCACAACTTCCCGGCGGCTGATATGGAGTAGAGTAGAGTAGCCCGCCCTGTTCAGTCTGAGTTGGTGCGTGTTCCGGATCGGATTCGGGTTGGAATTGGTGGAAGACTCTATGCCTGCTGGCTGCCTGGTGGGCAAACGGAACGGAGGCGTTGCTGGAACTAGTTTAATAGCGGCCAGCATAGCGTGTGCATTAGAAGGCGGCCCAATAAGTTGGCCAAAAGTGATCCAGCGTACGAAACGCGTTCATAATTGACATTTCGGTTGCTCCGGCCGGCAACAACATTGCTGCCGGCGTCGCTGTCGCCGGCTCTGCTGCCGTCTTAGCCGTCGTCGTTTGGCAACGAAGCTGTTAACCAAAGCCCAGAACCTCTGTTGGCTCAGAAGCGATCGGACCTCCCAGCCCAACAGACGGTCCTGTCCGTCTAACGCAAATTATCAAGAATCGAGTCCCGAGAAGCGAGAATCGAGTATCGAGTACCGAAATCCAGAGCAAGTCCAAGTCCGAGAACTTCGCCTCTTCGCGTTCGTTGTCGTAGTGGTCAGGTGAATGCCATCGGGGCAACGTGCCTGGCATTCAAAGATATATTCGATATATTAATCCGCGATTCGTGTATAGCAGCCAATTTATATATGGTCGGTCTGCCCCGTTCAAAACGAAAACAAATTGGGAAGATATAACCGCAGCAAAAGCAACAAAAGTCAAAAATGTTTGCATTTTTGCCAGTTTTATTACTTTGTGTGCATTTGCTGCATTTTAAAATAATCTCTGGAGTAGATCTGCCATCCGTTTCGGTAGGGCTTGAAGCTCCAGTTCCTGTGTGGCAAAATGGTGAAATAAATGCGGCACCCCAGGCAGGATTGCTTAAAACGAATGCCACTGCTGAAGAAAACAATAATGGAGCTGTGGAGGGTAAGTTAATTGATTGGATTCAGGCAATGAAAATTTACATGTATTCTGTGAAAAATATATGTCTGATAAACTTTGGTTTGAAAGACTTAGGACACAAACTTTTTAAATATTTAGATGTAAATATAGTTCACCTAGGAATATTTGTATGTAATCATTATACTTTGGAATTATTTAAAAATAATTTTAGTAACTTTAAAAAACATTAAAAGGTTAGGACAATTATAAAAACAAATCAGTAAGTTTAGGTAACAATATATAGATTTTATCACAAAATAAATACATGTTTTTTTAAAAAACTTAAATAAATCGAACGAAAGGTTCTTTGCTGTTCGTAAGGACCAATACGACTTCGATAAAAATCGAAATAGAAAAAAAAAGAAAACAATATTCGTTAGAAAATGTCTTGAGAACATATACTTTATAAACTTTAAATACCACAACAAACAATTTAGCCTAAGAAAATACGTCTGAATAATAGATATATGAGCACTGCCAATTGCTCGTCTTCTATATACGTCACTATTATAAATTTAAGTTCAACGACATCGAAGTAACATTTTTCTGATTCGACAGTAGAATTCATGCATGGCACGCACCGAGCATTACTTGTTTGACCTTCACAAATCTATAAATCGTTTATAGGATTAGAGGGAAAATGCGAAATTCGGTTCTGCGAGTGTTCTCAACATTGTTTACCTTATAGTTCCGAATTCGATGGCTTGTTGTTAGGCCCGGCTCTTTAGGCCAGATATAGAAAGCGTTCTAGCGCAAATCAAATCGAGAACTCATGTGGGCGTGAACTTTCAGATCAACTTCATCGCTTGTCGATCGTGTTCTGTCGGCTGTCAATGTCCCCGCCAATCTATTCTCTCTTATTTATGGCCAAACAATTAGACAATTAGACAGCACTTTTGATGGAGAGGCGTGACCGATGGTGATGTCTTTTCGGGCCGACGACATAAGCCTATTAATTTGGGATGCCTCGCAGATTGGCCCATAAACATACACCATATATAAAACAATAAGCCGACACCTTTCACAGATTTAACAGGTCATATTCATTAAAAATTTATTTTTATTAGCATTTTGTCCACTTTGCTCGATCGCTGTTAACAACGTTTGCAATCGGAATCGTGATAAATATCATTTATATGGCTGTTGGTCATATAAAGTTTAAGAGGTGCCATAAAGTAGACCTCCTACCTACTTGAATTTTTTGTGATCCTGCGTTGGAATTCAGGTTTTCAGTAGCATTCAGGTTGTAACGGTCATGCAGACCTTGAACTTGTAACTTGCCCCTGATTCTGAATAAATGCTTTGCGAATCTTTAGAATCAAGTGTTTGCTCTGAGCAGAGAAAACCAGTTGCATCTTGGCATGGGTGTGATTCGAGGACCTTTAGAGTAATAAGAACTTCCAAGAAAAAAATATATTTTTTTTTTAACCAAGGCAACAAACTATAATAATATATTTTTTAAGTTTAAGTTTAAGTTTTTAAAATAATTAAAACATGCAAGACTTAAGAACATCATTTTTATTTGCAAATTTTTTTTAGTTTTGCAATAAAAAATTATACAATTTGTAATCTTTTAAGCTGTCAAGTGTTCGAATTCCAAGAAGGATCATCGATCAATCAAAGTAAATTTGTTGCGCTGATTTTCGGCTGACAGCTTGTCATAACAATTTAAAAAGAATCAAAGTTATGCCCAATAAGCCATAAACATTAAAGCACCAATTTAAGACATTATTTGGGGCAAATGAGTAATATTTCGATGACTTTCTTTTGGGATTCCACACAAACATAAATTTCGGCTAACAATTGAAGGCAGAGTGACTCACAAGTGGATTAACATTTTTTCGCTGGGTGTACGAGTTACTTTGTAAAATGAAAATTGAAGCCAAAAAATATGCATATTCATTACCCATTCGAAGCACGCCCTGAACATATTCTTCATTACGAGTTGTGTCAGTGAAGCAAAAGCCACGTGCAGATTTGTCAGTCTTCGCTGCTCTGCCTCTGAAAAATCACTTTAATATTCGATTTAGAATCAATAAAACTTACACCTCAGCGAAGGCATTAAAGTTTCAGGCTGTCAATAAGCTCTTTAAAAATTAATCGCCACAAAAGCAAATGGCTCGTTAAGAATAAAATTCCAAGATAAATGGCCAAATGGCTTATTTAGTCAAATTTTATGCGCTGCCGAACGATTCAACTGTATATGTGGGCCAAAAGCAGTCCAAAACATGGGTAATAAATTAAAAATATGGCAAATTCATGCTAAATAGCAACAACAACCGTCACACAACACACACAAAACAACAAAAAAAAATAACAAAACCAAACCAAAGGCGACCTAAACAAAAACCTAGACCAATTTTAAGAAGCCGCCAACGGACATGACAAATATATGACAATTGACAGTAGAAAGTTGCCGCAGTGGGGGGCAAGTCGCAGTCCAGCATCTTCGAAATGGCACAGCAATTGTCATTCCGTGTGGAAATGGCTTAAGTTTATTGTCAATATTCTGGGCAACGAAATATGTCAAAATATTGAGTAATCACTCTCGACTGGCGGAGAATCGTGGACCCGAAACTCGAAACGTGAGCGAATGTTAGGCAAATATTGGCTTGGTCTTTTCTCCGCTCATTTTTTTTCTTCATTGTTATTTGGGTGCTTTGTCAATAGCGCAACAGATTGCCAAAAAAAATGGGTTGTAAAGTACCACAGTTTTGGCTAGACCATTTCGTATGTAGCTCAAATCTTTCCAGAGGTCAACAAACCCTGATCTTAAGTGTGGTTCTCCAAAGTGCCATACAGATTTACACTTTTTATCTGTGGGCCATTATATGATAATTCGTTTTTATTATATCCAAATTTAAAAACAGTTAATTTTTAAATATTTCAAATTTGCAGTAATTATTTTTAAGATATATTCTTTTATTCATTTAATTATAATTTTTGAAAACATCAATTTGATTTTTTTATTTAATTTAAGTTGGATAATATCGATTAATCCTCTGTAAGAAATATATGTTAGTAACTTGTTTAATATTTTTCTTGAATTTTTGGAACACTCAAAAATTTTATGGTAGGTTTTTATATGAAAATATAATACTTACTTAATATTAAAGTAACTGTAATAATTGAGGGTATATAATATAATAATATAAAATGTTTTTATTTAAATCAACATTTATTTAATTAATATTATAAATAATTTTTTGCTATTTAAGATAAAAACTTAAGAGTAAAAACCTTATCTTTACAATCCGTAGATTCCTCTCCGCCAAATCTGAGCCGCCAGCGACGTCAGTTCTTCTTCGATCCGAGTATTTTGCTGTGGCAGGGAGGACTTGGTGGCTCTGGAATACCAGGTGGCTGGGGTCCTGGCGAGGGGTCCAAGTGCCTCACATCTCGTGGCCAGCCGGGAGTGTGTGTTCGCATCGATGGTTGTCGGCAGTATTACAGGCTGGCCCGCCAGCTATCCATCATCACCCTGCGCCAATGGCCACAGAATGGTCTTGGCCTAAATGGCAATATGTGTAACTTTTTCGATCTGCTGGGCAGAGTGAATAATGGAATTTGCTGCACGGACATTGATGCCAATACGTTCGGAGTGTTTCCACTGCCGGGCACAACACCCACAACAACGACAACGGAGAAGCCTGCGATGGCAGCCGATGAGGAGGATAGGGTGGATGTGAATCCTGAAGAGGAGGAAGTCCTAATGGAAGTTCCCCGACCGGAGGACCCCATTGATAATGTGAACAGTGTGGAGGACATGCCCGATTTCCAGGATGTCAACACTATCGAGGGTCATGCTCCAGACGTGGAGTCCCAACCCGAAGAGGAACCGATGGAGCAGCCGATGGAGCAGCCAATGGAGCAACCGCTGGAGCAACCCATTCCCGCCCAGCCAGCCTCTACCATTAACCCCTACCAGTGGCCATTTGGCTCCTTTGCTGGTGGTGTGGCCCAGTGGCCACCGGCTCTGCCCACGCATCCACCCACAACTGGTGGCTGGCCACCACCGCTACCCACCCATCCGCCGAATCACCATTATCCAACGCATCCCACAGCAGGTGGAGTGCCCAGTACAAAGCGCACCACTCTGAGACCCACTATTATTAGCAGACCGCCCACCACCACCAGGCGTCCCAGTTATCCTAGTTATCCCACGGCTACCACAACCAGCACGACCACCACGAGGCGACCCTCGAGCGGAAGCAGTCCCGAAGGACTGCCGCTGCAGTGCGGCAACAAGAATCCCGTGACGCCCGACCAGGAGCGGATTGTCGGGGGCATCAATGCCAGTCCGCATGAGTTTCCCTGGATAGCAGTGCTCTTCAAGTCGGGCAAGCAATTCTGCGGCGGCAGTCTCATCACCAACAGCCACATCCTGACCGCAGCTCACTGTGTGGCACGGTAAAATGGGTGGAACTACTGTACATTGATTTGTTTTAATATTTTTTAATTTTTAATTCCAGCATGACCTCGTGGGATGTGGCGGCCTTGACTGCCCATCTGGGTGACTACAATATCGGCACTGATTTTGAGGTCCAACATGTCTCTCGTAGGATTAAGCGACTGGTGCGCCACAAAGGTTTCGAATTTAGCACATTGGTAAGTAAATTTAAGGTTTACTGATTCAAGCAATACCAATATTAAAGTTAAGCTTCTTTTGGAATTTGTATTCTATTTAATATCTATTTATTTTAAGGAAATAAGGAAGGAAACTAAAATTGTATTCTATACAAATTTTTAAAAAATTAACAAAACTTAACCTGTAACATTTTTTTTTCTCTGGCTAACATTTGTTTTTATATGAGCTTTATAACAAAATTTAAGCACTCAATAGTATTAAATTACAAAGTGGACGTTCTATAATTCAAAGATATTACATTTGTATTTTTTATAAATGGTTTTAAACAAATTTTAAATATGTTGTACATTTGAAGTACTCTCTCAATTTTTTTTACATTTATTAAATGCGTTTAAATTATGTAAGGTCGTTGTAAGGGTTCTCCTTGAATTTAAAATTAAATAATCCCTATGGATTTATTCTTGTAATGCTTTTCCAGACCTAAAATTCTAAACAAAGCTGTGTGATTTACAAATTTAATTTAATGTTTTGTCTAGCACAACGACGTAGCCATACTCACGCTGAGTGAGCCGGTGCCCTTCACCCGGGAGATCCAGCCCATTTGCCTGCCCACCTCGCCCTCGCAACAATCCCGCTCGTACAGTGGTCAGGTGGCCACCGTGGCCGGATGGGGCAGTCTGCGGGAGAACGGACCCCAGCCCTCCATTCTCCAAAAGGTGGACATTCCTATCTGGGCGAATGCCGAGTGTGCCAGGAAATACGGACGAGCAGCACCCGGCGGCATCATTGAGTCCATGATCTGCGCTGGTCAGGCGGCCAAGGATTCCTGCAGTGTAAGCTAAAGCCCCTTAAATATATTTAGATTTATATTAAAGTCATATTATTTTGGTTTCATCTATAGGGCGATTCTGGTGGCCCCATGATCATCAACGAAGGCGGACGCTACACTCAGGTGGGAATCGTGTCCTGGGGCATTGGCTGCGGCAAGGGTCAATATCCTGGCGTGTATACGCGTGTCACTTCGCTGCTGCCCTGGATCTACAAGAATATCAAGTAAATATAGGATTCCGATTAGTCTAAGACGTGATATGCAGCAATATAAGAGCGAACGATTTAATAAAATGACAAAACCATTATCGGTTGATACTTTTTCAAATGCCTAAAAGTATACCTTTATTAACCAGAAAGTTTTGTTAGTTTTTTGGTTGCCATTCATTTGGGGGAATATTAAATGGGCATGTTTTGTCAAACCAATCTAATCTATTTAAAAAACATAAAAAAAATACAATTGTCATTAGAGTAGTAGAAATTTACTCAAGTTGGCGATCATATTTCTGCTGCCAAGCTAAAATTAAATAAAATAATGACTACCCCACGAGCTTTTGCTCTCAAAGATCTGTTTAAGTTTAATCACATTGTGTTGGATCCTTTGGTGGAAGTTTATTCCCTGTCATTTTTTCTACCAAAGATCTTGGAATATCCGGAACTGGTTCTTGCGATTGATGCGCCCGACGATCGTCTGATTGGTTTCATTTTGGGAACACGTATCGTGGAAGCCAAAGACAACATTGGTGATGGAAATAATATAAGTTGGAATAATGGGCACATCTCCGCTCTAGCTGTTGCTCAGGAATACCGAAAACTGGGACTGGCTACTCGTCTATTGACTACTCTTAGGGATATAATGGATCATAAAGGGGACTGGTATATTGATTTATTTGTGCGGGAGAAGAATGAAAATGCTATCAGGCTCTATAAATCCTTGGGATACGTAAAGTATCGCTGGATGCCACATTTCTACGCCAACGATCATGGTTATGATATGAGGCTGCCCCTAAACCGCGATGTGGACAAAAAATCACTGGATGGAATTTTGGTCAACAAGCTCTATAGCTTCGGAATTATGCTAGAGCACTATTTATTGGGACTTTTTTGATAGGTGGCAGTGACAAAGGGCTCGATTTATAAGATATATAAAATCCATCATATTGCTAGTCAATATCTACTCTTTAATCCATAAAACCACATGTTTTATTCGATTGCCAGGAAAAAATATAAATTATGCCATTTAGGAAACACCCAGAAAAAGTTCATTGCACTCGGCCAGCGAAATTCAACTAAAAGTTTGAGCAAATCACTCGAGGTAAAAAATGAAAACTAGAAAATTGATGTCAGAAAGCATATGGAAACAAGATTTGTTTATATGACAACATTGAACCAGAATTTTCAAATGCTCTGCGCTTCAAGTTGCGCAAATTGTGAAAATCATTGCGCGTGTGTTTTAGACACATGCCCCGACCAGACTACACTTTATATTTATATATATATTCTAATTTGTTTGCTTTGAAAAATGTAGCTAATAAAAAAGACAACAACGAAAGCCTTGACCATCTCGGAACGGAAATTTGCAATTGGATTTGTTTGGCAAAGGCGACGAACATCAATGCGTTTGGCGGAAAATATATGCACTGTGAAAATTAGGGTGGACATTATTCAAAGAATCATTACAATTAAAGCTCTCTTGAGGCTTAAGTTTTTGATAGATTTTAAACACCAATTTATAAATTTATGAATATTTATTAATGATTGAAAAGATACATTTTATAATTCCCAAAATGTTGTTTAAAAGATTTGTTTCATTTTCTTATATGTAAATACTATTAGAAACCTGTATCAAAAGTATTTTTGCAAAAGACAAAATGCCAACACTACGTATGAGTAATAATTGGCTCTAATCCCATTTTCATACTTTTGAGGTCCGCCCTATTAAACATTTTGTCTAATTTCGTACCAATAGTTAGCCTCTGTGCGTCAACGGAAACTGATCTTTCCTTAAAATTCACCTCAATTGAATTTCTTTAATTAGCTGTTTAGTTTGAAAGAAACTAAAATCTATATTGAAAACACATGGTGTTGGCACCGCGGAAGTTCTTCGTATTAAAGCTCCATGGAGCGGGGTATGTACTTTATCATCTCGTAGGCATTCTCTGGTTCCGGGCGATCCGCGTAGTAGTCCATTAAAGTTTTGCAATGAGCATAGCCCAAGGAACAGTACAGTCGATAGGCAGCATCATTGCCGGCTCGCATGAAGAGGTTGACAAATGATGCTCCTTTGAGATCGGACTTCAGAAAAAAGTAATCCATTAATGCGGTGGCCAGTCCAATGCGTCGATATTCCGCAGATACAGTCAATGAGGCCACATGGGTATATGGTTCTTTATTATGCTCAGCCAGGTACCCAAATATATAGCCCATTCGTCTGCCATTAGGAGCCTCAGCAATCTGTGTAAGTCCTGAAAATTTCAGCAAATGCTTGATAAAAAAGGTCAAGCTATACACCTCCGTTTGTGCATCGAAAACTAAAGAATTAATTTTGAATAAATCATCAAAACGCATCTCCCGAAAACAAGTCATTTTGAAAAAAAAATAAATGCTACCTGAATAATTGAAATTTAAGTAAAATTGTAAGCATTTGTCAAAATCCCTTTCGAACGCATACTTTATTGGCTTTTAAAGTGAATGAAAAATAATTTATTTCTTCGGTTCATTGTCAGGGTTTCTGGTTGCCATAGACCATACCCGATAAACATAATAAAACCGGACAGTGGAAAGCCTCCGCGCACAAGAATCGAAAATTATTTCTCGATCCTCTAATGAGGTTAATGTTCGAGGCACTCGTTGACTCAGCGCCCTGTGCGCTTTGCAAATATCTATTTATACAATTTAATGGCGCATTTTGCACAAAAATAAATAAAAGTACCAGCCGATATTTGTCTTTATATGTATATATACATTTATATGTAAGCGCACATTATATCGGTAAGGAGGCATAGAGATCTATTTATAATCGAGAGCATCAGCCAACTTTGTTATGTTTTTCCTTCTGCCTGGACAGGTGGTCCAGTCAAAATGATGGAGGACCTGTTAATGTAAAATACTAGAGCGAAATATGAAAATCGTCTAGCCGCCTGAAAGATAAATGATTTGTTAATTCCCCAGTATAGCTCTTTTTCCCTTGTTTAGGGTACATATATATTCCAAATTTACACATATACACTGGATGTTTGTTTAGCGGTCTTTTTCTATTATTTATTTTTCAAGCATGTGTGATTTATAATGATTTATCATCACATTTGCCCACAAGGCAGGGCTAGAACAACCAAATGGTATCATTCACGTCTTGTCTGTGATTTTTTTTTGTCTGCGATAACACTTTAATGGGGTACATATAACTCTCAGAATGCAGTTTTCAACTTTGGCACTTAATAAATTAATCACAACTGCTGCTCACAGCTTAAAATTGTCTGAGTATTAAAGACATTGGAGAACTATTTGCTTTTTTAGAAAATTTCCTACAATATATTTAATATCTACATTTGTTCAGTCTTAGTCTTTGTTACTAGATTAAATTTTAAGGTAACCTAAAATATTTTTAAAAATTGTAATTTTTATACCAAATTTATATATATCATTCATAATTCCATACAGTTCACGATTGGTTTGATGTTTTTAATGGAACAAAAGGAAAACTATGTAAATTTATAGATAACGATGTGCTGACGATCAAAATATAGGAGTATCAATAATTTAGTTAATGTTCTGATTGCGTTGCGCATTTGCCTTGCTGTAAATACATTAGAAGTGTTTCGGCTGATCGGAAAGAGGAAAACAATAAGTACACACGTCCGCGGGCTTTCTCAACATTTAGATTTCTTTTAAATAAACTCAAAATTCATAGAATTTTCCAAGCAGACGCACTTTACACATGCTCACCAGTACTACCACATACAAACCGATATAGACACGGACATGACCGATGGTCGAAAAGAATATGTACCGAACAAGAAGGAGAATATATTTCGAAATGTGAAATGTGCTTTTCGGCTTTTCGGCCGAGAAAATTTCGTGTGCGAATTCAGTGCGACTTGGGCTGCTAACTTGAACGCGTTGCAAACGAGAAAACCATCCGAAATAAAGAAATTTTCAACTAGAAACTAACACATAGATATATCTATACCATCTAGCTGGGCTGTCTATATATACGGATATATATATAGATATAGATACGAGTATTTCTCTGGCAAAAGTGAGCAATGCGTCGTGCCGCGTTTTATAAATAGCAAATTACAAAATTCTCAAAAGAACATTTGTGAAAAAGGGTTTTCTAGTTTTCTAGACAGTGCAAAACCCTTAAATATAATCTAGAGTAATCTCTTTTCAAATATAAGTATCACAACGATTCTGAACTTATAGTATATGTACTTGTGAAAATACTATTTCCAAATGGATTTCTAGTGCCTGTGCCGCAAATTATATAAGAACGCGTGATGTTCGGTGCAAAATAATTCTCGATATTATATTCATAATTTCCTTTTAATTTCCATAAATTTTTCAGTGCTTCTGTGTGCATAGGCGTCGTTTGCAAAATCTTTTCATAGAACTTGCGTGCGTTTGGCGAAAACCAACGCCTACGACAAAATCGAAAAAACGCGATTTCCTCCGACTGGTGACTGTGTGTAGGCGGTGTGTAAAAGTGTTTTGGAGTTGAACTTGAAATACATAGAAAGCGGCTAGAATGAGTTCTGGGTAAGTAAAAAATGAGAATGCATGTTCTAGTAACGAACATTAAATTAGTGTATACCTTTCAAACCTCAAGTCTTACTGAATTCAAAATAATAGTATAAGTTTTATTAAAACATTTAAGCTAAAATGTTTAAGAAAATAATTTTTGGCAAGTTTCAAAAATGGAACTCAATAAAATACTTGCCAGGGCATCTGCCTTTTTTTTTACTATTTATCAAAACTTTTCGAGTGTTATTCGAAAACTAATAAAAAACACATGCGAATCTTATGCCGGGAAAATTGTTAAAAGGAACAAGTATTTATTTATACTGTATGTATATACAGATGAGTTCAATTAAATAGTGATATTTGGATGTCCAATACATTGCAATCAAAAATAGTTTTATTCCAAACGAGAACACAGTTTTATTTTCAAAGAAATCTCTTTTTGCAAAGACCATTTTAATTATTTTTGTTTATTTCTTAAATTGTACACAATTTACGGATTATAAAAGGTTTGATTTTGTATTTAAAAGCATTGAAAAATTAAATAATTTTGAACACAAACAAATAACAACAATATAGATTCATATTATATCTTTTTTTTAGATAAAGATCTTAGTTTTTAAATTTTTGTTTATTTAATCTTAAAAATCATTTTCTTGGCTTGATTTCGTTAAAGAGTTTCTTTAAAATAATATGCCCACAGCTATTTTTTTGATCACAGCTGTGCTATATATGCCTATACATATACCCTGAACATCTTTATGATCTCTGCTACAATTAAGGCTCACTCATGAGCATTTTGAAGGCCATCGTTGGCCCACGCCCACGCCCACACCCAAATCTCTTTTGGCCCCATGCTGCACGCGCTTTTTGGCAGGCGACACTTTCGGTGTTTTTCCTTCCCTGCCCTGCCATTTCCTGGCCCCCACTGCGCAGCGAATTAATTAATTAAATTTCCTATTTTTCAACAACATTTCACTCGGCCTGTGGTGGTGCACAATTTTATGTCTTAGCCCCGGCCAGCAGCTGTCTCTTGGCTTTGTCTAGTGGCAATTGGCACACGTGTCGGGAATTTAGACGGCTGACGGCATTCACCGGAAGTTTCTCTCGAAGCCACCACGCACATCATAAAACAAATTCTCAAGAACCTTTCAAAACAAAAAGCCAAAAGAATTTGGCATAAAATGCATTTATTTCATTATTGAGTTTCTTTCTTCAAATCTCTTTCCTCAGACACTTGAATTTTTTTTTGCATTTCTTTGTTGACGTTGATGTGTGGCGCATAAATTTTAAGCACCCACGGAAATCTGCGATAATATATTGAGAAAATTGGGTCAAACTGCTAAAAAAGTATTTTCTTCGTTGAAGAAAACTAGCACCGCTTCGCAAATATTAAATTTCGAAGTGTCTTATTTTCTTTGTTTATATTTTCATAATTATCGAACTTGACATAATACTTTTAACGACAAAAATTCCTTTTTCACGACCTGCAAAAAGATTCGAGTATATATATGACTTATTTAGGAAATGCAATAAAAAACCTACACATAAAAAAGCCATTACACATAGAAAAACTAATCAATTTCCTGCTCTCTACAAACCAACGTTAAGTATACGCAACGTTTAGAATAAGCATTTCAAAACTATATTTTAAAACAATTTCATTGCTTTTATGTTCTTTATAAAAGAATAATAACAAAAACTTTCCATAATTTGCTATATATGTATACATTTAACTAAATGTACACAGTTTTAAAAATTATCTTGTGAGAAAGACATTCAAAAAACTACACGCACTTACAATTTTTACGTGTGAACTTGAAATCAATATTGACCATGTATACCGAAGTGTTAACGCTTATTTTAGCTTAAATTATTTTTCGCATTTTAATGTCTGGGCCTGTGATGCATTACCAGACATGACTCTGATTTTTGTCAACGACAATTATTTTCACACTTCTTTGTCGGTTTTTTCCTTTTGTTGATTGCGTAAATCAGGTGTGAGTTTATTTATTTAATACATTTTTGCATTTTTTAAATTCGTAAACAGATTTTTTTCCGAAGTTCAAGTCGGTCGCAGTTGACCGTGAAATTTGAATGTGAGAAAAGGAATTAAAATTAAAGGAAGATTCCCAATTGGATAAGACATAAGAAATAAAACCACACCCGTATGACAGTTCAACAGCATTGGGAATTGATTATTGGGCAGCCATGTGAATGGACTTAGATCATTCCCATGATAGTTGACTTAATGATTCACTTTGTTTCGCGCCTTTTCTCTTGTACACTCATAATATAAGCTAGAATTTTGGGAATTGTCTTATTTTTGCCGCCAAAATAAATAAATTTCTTTGCTTGGAAAATGTTTTCAAAAGTTATTGAATGAAATAATAGAAATTAACATATAATTTCATGGTAATGAAAACATTTTAAGTCATTTTTATAATTACTTTATTGAATTTTCCTTATTAATTTTTTTTTTCTTGGAAAATGGCTTATTTTTGTAACTTTCTCCATGCCAAAATCTCATTTTCCTGCCTCTGTATTTTTTGGTTTCCACAAATCAATACCCATGGCAATTTTTCAACCAGCACCAATTCGGACTGTAAAAAATATATAAAACATCGAAAAAAGGCGCTGGCGGGATTCGGTTGCCTATCTGGCCATAAACGATGAATGACGACATGTGGTCATGGTAGGAAAAATATACAGAAATTCACGTTTGTATGCGCATATATCCCGCAATCAGCTGAAGAAGAAATATTACCGCCATCGATTGTGCAACGGGCTTGGGGCAGAGCCTGCGTTTCGCTTTCACCTGGGATCGCGGGCCAGATTAATATAAATAATTACGAGTGCTAGTACGGGTACGTACCAAACCCAAACCCAAACCCAATCCCTGTCTGATGTGCTCATGTCATGCAATCAACGCAGCGGCGAAGCCAAATGACAAATGCAAAACGAGTTGCACTCTCAAGTAGTCGTAGAAAGTGATGAATGAGTTCCCTGATTGCGTCTTTTTTCCCTCTTTTATACGTAAAATGTTTTACCCCTGCCACTTCGATAGTTTTTCAAGGTCAGTTCCAACAAAAAATATCATAGTTTTTTACACACGCTTGTGTCTTTGGCCGTGGGTGTTGAGGGGAAAACGCTACTTTATTGGATTAGCTTTCTTTGTTTTTTGTTTTACTTTTTTCCCCGAAAGATAGCTTTGCTGTTGTTGTATCTAATGGGCTATAAATTTAGTTCGTTTTATGTTTGCAAAATTAAGTTTCGTATAAATAGGATCGTATCTTTGTATATGTATGTATTTATGTTTTTTGTTTGCCTCTCTTTGATGCCCGTATAGTTTTGGCTAATTTATGAGATTAATCGCCAGACCCACAGGCGTAAATTTCGGCATTTGGTGTGAGCAAAATATTATTTTGGCAAATAAAGGATAGTTTTATTTAAAATGAGTCTGTATTATAGAGGCATAAATTACGCAAACAATTTTTTAGTTTTAGCAATTAATGACCGTAATGACAAATTTCTGACATTGACCAAATGATTTACAAAGTAAATATAGTCTGTAATTGCTTAAAATTTAATAAAATTAAATAATATCCCACTGCAACAAAGTGGGTCAATGTATGAAACGCAAGGAAAAGAGCGACAGAGAAAATTAAATTTTGTTTTCAAAAAGAGCAGAGCCACATTTAACACATAATTAAAAATCCCATTCTTCACGTTTAGAAGAAATCATTCTAGTATTTCCCACAATAAGAGGCCTGTGGCTAACTAATTATTTGGCCCTGATGATTGATGTCTGCACAACACCGAATATCTATCGGTGTGACCCAGTTTCACGCCAGCCAAAACAAATTATTGAATGAATGGGGGAAGACAAATTTTCGGACATTTCTTTGAGGAAAAAATATTATTGACAGCCACTCGAATTTCAAGTGTGCGTCAATTGGCGGCGCAGCACTTAAGTGTTTATCGCAATGGGCCACATGAGTCACTTAGTCCGACACCTTTTGCTGGGCAGCCACATCGAAGAGGTCGGGTTCGCCATGGAGGATGATCTTGACGAAGATCCTCATCGGCGAGCCGGTCAGGCACAGTGTCCGGATATCGGTGGCCGTGTACATGAGGAAGTTCATGTTGCAGTATAGCATTTCATCGTTGTCGTCCAGAGGAGTGTCCAGGGAATTCCGCAGGAAGCGAAATCCACGCGTCTCGTGGCCATGTGATCCATCCAGAAGTGATATGTGGGCATTCACACGCCTGGAGGCCACCGGACTCACCAGATAGAAGATATAGACCTGGCCCATATTCAGCACAGGCAGACTCACATATAACATGAGGATGATGGGCAAATTGTGGACAATCTGCAGCTCTGGAGTAACCGCACGGCTGAGTCCCGTCTTGGGGGATCCGCCGTAGGCAATCACGCCCACCACATGGTTCCTTCCCGGCGTCAGCTTATCCAGCTCCACCTCAAACTGCAACGGCAACTCGGCTCCGATCTCGGTCATCGAATCCTGCGGCTTGTGGTGCATTAGCAGATGGGCCAGCATCTCGAGCGGCGAAATCTCCGACTCGCATTCTGCCACTGGACACATCAGGGGAATTCCAAAGAGCGCCTCCAGATCCAAATGGGCCAACCGGTTGTTCTAGAGGGGGCATTATGGAACGTTTAATGCTAAACCGCTTTTTCTCGATCTGTTTCTAACTTACCATAATTTCGGACTGGCCTTAATTGTTTTCTCTGATTATTGTAGCGGATATAGGATTGATATCGTCAGTTTTTCACTGAAAACTAAAGGAAATTTCCTAATAGAAAGCCAGTGAGTGACTTTGACTTTAAATTCAAAAAATCTGTCACTTAGACATTTAAGTAAAAGTATATAAAATTGTAAATATAGCACACAAAATCATAAAACAACTGAGAGCGTTTAAGAGGTTTATCTACAGGCCTTGTGATAAATGAAATATTTGACCAAACCATAAACTATTTTTGTAATTACCAATAATGGGATCAAACGAAAGTCTTTCTGATGACCAGAACCATCCATAATAACCGTTTGCCGATGAGCTTTTCGATGTTGTCTCTTAACTTTCCCCTTCTTTGTGCCTGTTTTTATGTTTTTTTTCTTGATTCGCACAAATTGTAGCTGTCAAACTGCAAAAGAAAATGATTTCAGCTCAGTCATTCTGCGTTTTAAATTCCTTAACGCTTTCTTGCCAATTATTATTTAACTGGGCACAAAGCAGTCGCCAAAAGCAGCAGTAAAGATAACAACTTATTTGTCTGTCAAGGCTAGTGGGCCACATTTCCGCAGATGTTCGGCTGAGTTAATTAGAGCAAAAACGAGTGCGGATTCGATAAAGAAATCCCCGCCAAAATAAGATAGTGGCTGCCATCATTTTCGGTTTAATTATGAAAAGCGACAAAACTAATAAGCAGGCGACATGACAGCAGAGCGAAAACAATTAGTCGCACGATAAGAGATGCAGATACAGCCAAAAGATACAGCCGAAAAAAGATACAGATAAACGAAAGCGTCCAGAGCGTCTGTTGTTTTTTTGCTTTTTGCGTTTGCTGGCTGGAAATTTGTCGCCATCATCGAACCGCATTGACAGACGTATAAATTGCTGCGCAGTCCGCGTGCCAGTCGACCGTTTGTCAAGAGCTCGCTTGGTTTTCCTTTTGCGGCACTGCTGAACGGCTGGAAATGTATCTGCAACAAGTTGCCGACCGATCAGCGCGACTCAGCTCCGCCGTCCAACCTCCAGCGAACCCGACTTCAATGCGCCTCGAGAGTCCGCTGCGTTCAGTCGCCCCAGTGCGCTCCTCAGATACAAACGAACCTACGAGATACTTTTCTCGCGCCGCGTGTGTTTTCAACTAGTGAGTGACCAAGATGTGATCAAAGCTCCCTGAAAAGTCCCAAATTGTTAGATATCTCTCGCCCCCCCGGGGAGGCCAAGCAAATGTTTGCCTAATTCGGAGCAACTCTTTAGCTCATTCCTAAAAATAATTATAATTAACGTGCGTGAGCGTATCTCTCTGCAGATGGAAAACAGCTGGTCCTCACACACTGATTCTGTATTCGATTCCCCTGAAAATTTGTTGTGAGTCATCAGCAACATGAGCATTTGCCGGCTGCCCTGTGTCCAAAAAGGTTAAATTGACTGCCCGCAATCGATCGATCGATCGTTGAGTCATTCCACAGCCTAGCTTCCAAGCCAGCACCTTTGTTTTCCAATATTTGTAAACCAATTGTACAACCCATTGTGGCTGGTTCTATTGACACTCTTTGTTTTGGGTTCGCTTATTCAGTGCACATTCACTGATAACGGCACTTGTAACCTGGCTAATGTGTTGTTAATATTTTTCTTTCAATTGTCTAACTCTTGAATCGATTTAACACTGATCTAGACAACAAAGAATGCAGGCAAATTCATATAATTTATTAATACGAATTACCTATGTAGACATTCTTAGAGGCTATCAGTAATTTTCTACGTAGTTTAGTAATCTATGGATAACTAAATGCTTTTGTTTCTATCAAATACAATTTTTGTCAATATTAAATTAAAAAATAAATTGAACAAAATATTGCTAGGATAGATAAGTTTTTCATTATTATATATTTTCAACAAAGAAAATTGTGGCACCCTTTAAAGGCAGATATTTAAAAGCCGTTCAAATTAAACAAATATCTTGACCTCAAAAAGAAAAGCCATTAAATTACTATCATTTAGTCCATTTACAAAGTCATTTGCTTGGCCCATCCGCAGATAGAGCAGAATACTAAAGAGACTTGACTCACATCTGTGCTATGCCAGTGTAAATGAAAACAAAATTAAGATAAAATAGTGCACTGCAATATAAAAAAAAGAAAAATATAAAATAAGAAATATATAAATAAATAAAATATAAGAAAAACCACAAGCAATGGCCACCTCCACGCTGCAATCTCCGTCGCCGTCGGCCAAGAATCCGCAGCTGAAGCGCGTCGTCTACTCCAAGTATCGGGAGCTGCTTGGGTCGTACAATGATAAGGCCAATGCCATCATCGACACGCTGCCCGTTTATATGGTTCGTCAGGATCGCGGATTTCAGCTGTCAGAGCTGGCCGCGAATGGGGATGCCAAGATGGCCCTGGAATCGTCGTAAGTCTCAGCCAAACCTAACAAAAAAAACACAAAACACAAAACACTTAACGCGCAATAGCCAGAGCAAAAGTAAAGAGCTGGAATGGCAGGGCAAAAGCCATTTCCAAGTAAATATTTATCGCTAGATTAGCTCAACTGTGGAATGTGGGCGGCTGGACGGAGCACCCTGTACGCCGTCTTCGGATCTGCGGATCTTCGCATCCCATCCAGCTATTTATAGCAGAGACGGGCGGACAATGACTATCATTATGTCATGTTGCATGTGGCAGCTTTCAAGTTCTTACTTCTGCTGCACTGCTGATGGTGCTGATGGTGCTGAAGTTGCTGGCCTGGCTGCCCTTGATCTTGAAATATGCGCGGCCAGCTGCAACTGCAGATGCTTCTAGGCAACAAGTTTGCTTTTCCTTTTGCTAGAGGGTAAACGGGGTTGTGATGGAACTGGGCCTGGAATAAATATTTATATAACATTTAAATTTAAATTTAATTTTAATTGGAATTTGATTTTTCAAAGGTTTTCAATTGATATATAACTGTCATAATATTGATTCACTTAAATGTATATTATCTTATAAAAAAAATTGTTATTTTAATAACTAGTTCATTTAATGTAAACGTTAACTGCCACAAATCTACCTTTTATAAAATTTATTAAATCTGCAAATGCAAGATTTCATAAAATTAATTTATATATGTATTTTTATAACTTTCATTAAATTATACATATTTAAAATTTATTAAAATGTTTTGAAAAATATAATTTCATTTTTATATTCCATAAAATAATTATATAAAATATATTGATAACAATATATAATAAGTAATAACAGCCACACAAATAAATGGGTATACAAAAAGTCGAAATTTACAATTCACAGATATCCGTATCTTGCGGATCCACCCGTTTCCAAGTTAGTGTCAGTTGCCTTAGCAGATACATTTCTGCACGCTCATTTGCATGCGAAAAGGCTAAATCAAAAACAAAAGCAAATAGGAAAAAGTGAAAATGCCAATTGCACAGATATTTATACCCTTGCAGAGGGTATTATAATTTCAGTCAGAAGTTTGCAACGCAGTGAAGGAGACATCTCCGACCCTATAAAGTATATATATTCTTGATCAGCATCACTAGGCGAGTCGATCTAGCCATGTCCGTCTGTCCGTCTGTCCGTCTGTCCGTCTGTCCGTCCGTTTATATGCAAACTAGTCTCTCAGTTTTAAAGCTATCTGCATGAAACTTTCCCAAAAGTTGTCTTTCCATTGCAGGTAGTATATAAGTCGGAACGAGCCGGATCGGACGACTATAGCATATAGCTCCCATAGGAACAATCGGAAAAATAAAGGAAAAAAAATTATAACTTTGCTGTTTTTTAATTTTTTGTTTAGTTCTTCGACATTTAGTAATGGTTAAATATTTCCGATTTACGGTTTAAATTTCATCAAAATCGGACGACTATAGCATATAGCTCCCATAGGAACAATCGGAAAAATAAATGAAAAAAAATTATAACTTTTCTGTTTTTTAATGTTTTGTTTAGTTCTTCGACATTTAGTAATGGTTAAATATTTCCGATTTACGGTTTAAATTTCATCAAAATCGGACGACTATAGCATATAGCTCCCATAGGAACAATCGGAGAAATAAATGAAAAAAAATTATAACTTTTCTGTTTTTTAATTTTTTGTTTAGTTCTTCGACATATGGCAATGTTTAATTATTTCAGAATTATGGTTTAAATTTTATCAAAATCGGACGTCTATATCATATAGCTCCCATAGAACTAATAAAAATATATAAAATAACTATCTAATAATTGAGCTGCAAATCATCATAGCTTCACTGTTTTTCAGTATATACTGAAGTAAATCATAATTTAAATGTTTTCAAAAGTATTTAATTCATGCAATAGCTGCAAGGGTATATGAACTTCGGCTTGCCGAAGTTTGCTTTCTTTCTTGTTTTCTATCATTTCATTTTTAAATTGAGCTTTTTTGTTACCGTTGCATGTTTTCGACTCACGCACGAGCAGTTTTGCAGTTTACTTTAAGTAAAATTCCTTAGATACAATAAATATATTTAGAAAAGTTTATTTATTTAAGGCGCAAAGTGCAATCGCGATTACAAGTGATTCACCAGCAATACATATGCAAAATGTGCCAGTTAATTAGTCATGTTGCATTACGATTAAAAGCGAACTATGTTGGTCCACTCTTCCTGGTTCCACGCAGTTTGGGGTCTGACATTTTAATTGCCAAATCTGTCAGAGGAGCAAACAGTTGGCGGTCTTGTCTTGTGGTCAATTACTGGCCAGCCGAATCCCCAAGTACCCCAAGTACTGACGCCATGTCCAGCCATTGACGTCATCAGGCGACATCTGTGCTTTTAGCGCGTGTATTTTTTAGTTTTTAATGTTTTTCGACCTGCGAATATTTTGGCAAAGAGTTTTTTAGTTCAACCATGCGTGGCGATCATTGGAATTGAGAACAGTGAATGGGATTAAACTAACATTGTTGCAGGAAATGTTGAATGCACAAAAGTGACATTTTTCCAGGCTTGTCACGGTGTGTTTTAATAACTTTCATAACCGAACCGAATAAGGCGAACAAAACAGTTAACAAAACGGTTGTGTAAATTGAATTTCCTACCCGACCATAAAACACTTCGATGGAGTCAATAAACGAGGGGTACATTGTACACCCGATCTGAACTGAACTGAACTGAACTGAACGACCTCACAATTTTGGGCTTGGCTCGACAATTATGGAAGCTGTGTTCAAGCCTTTAATTCGCACATAATCAATGGCAAGTTCAATACAAAAACCTGACCGGAGAATATTTAACCATAGTTTTCCCCTGCCATTTAAAAGGAGCTGGACGGCATTTCTTCGATCCCACCGAATATGGGGGGCAATCAGTGATTTGCTCTGAGTTGATTTGTTTTGCTTTTGCTTTACGATTTAAATGCGATTCTGTGAGCTAACCGCAGACTCGGCGACAGAGTTACGTCATTTGCATTTGACTTTGATGCACGCGCTCCAATTTGCATGTAAGCCAGTTGTGGGTGAGTTTCGCAACCGTTTTTCCCACATCACTTGGCCTTCGCATTTGCGGTTTGTGTCTCTGGACCAATATTGAATGGATTTGGCGAGACTGCAGACCGCAGATTGCAGATTGCAGATTGCAGCCTTTTGGCCGTGTCAACTTTATGGAACGACTGATCACTGGCAGACATCACCTGTTCCTGTTCGCCTGACCCACTTGGATGCGAATCATCCACGCGCACACACACGCACACACCAAACTCATCACAACAGGCCTGACAACTTTTTTCCCAGAACCCGATCCCGAACTCCATCACTTTCTTTCGACATAACAGGCTTTCAGGCTTTCGGGCTTTCGGGCTGAGCCAACATTAACGAGAACCGCATCTTCGATTTTCGCTTTTAATTAGCGAATTGTTAACGTTTAGCGCATTTAAAATAAGCAAATTATGCGGAGAAAAGTCGACACTAACTGGCAAGTGGGATGTACGTGTATGTTCATAAATACGTACTCAACGGTACTGAGAAAGTGCGAACAGGAAAGTTTTCCCAGCTAAAAACTACATGAAATAAATACAAGGCATAAAAACGTGACAGGCATTTTACTTTATATTTATTTCCATTTTTTATTTTTCAGAGATGTACCAGTAATCTAAAAAATGTTGTAGTTGTTTAACGACGGCGCTTGATTTTTTTAACTTTATTAATGATTTTTTATTTGCAATTTATTTAAAAAGTATTAAAACATCTTCAAGACCAAGCAATTAACTTTAAAAAATTTGTAATAGTCAAACATTAAAAAATAAGATTAAAAAAGATTTGGGCAACACTTAATTTCATAAATTTACATTTTGCGCATGAAAATGATTACTTAATTTCTCTATTGAGTTTATTTTAATCAAACTAATTCAGTCAATTTTTTCAATAGACCTTCATTTTTTGCCATGATACCATAACTTCTCACTTTCAACCTTTCAAATTTGGCACTTCATCGGTCGTCTCACCTTTTATGGCCGGTCGTCCGTAACAACTTCAACTCACTTTCCCCCTTGATCGTTAAAAAATCAAAACATTGGCTCATTGAACTATCGATGAGCGACTCATTAGTCAAGCAGCAGCAAAGAAAGGAAAATATAAACGCAAATGAGTGCTTTTGCCGGCGACCAAGAGCGAAACAATAAATTAGAAAAAGATTTAACAAAAATTATGATAAATAGCCGAAACAAAGTGGAGATGGAAGCCAGATTAGCATGACCCGGGGGCATTGCGAAAATCAAACTGTACACTAAAAGAAAACCTCTATACATTTTAGAGATCGCTACTGCAATGATTAATTATCATAATTCAACAACCACATACCATGATTAATCTAATCTAGCTTCATTTGTCATTATATCATGTATCTCATTAAAAAAAACTTGTATATACATGATGTGGGAAAAAAAGAAAAAATCTGTAAACTATAAAAATAAATATATACAAATTTTAAGCACAAACTTTTTAAAATCTGCAAATTGAAAACAATAAACCAATTTAAATTGTAAATTAAGATGCTTTAACATTAAATGCAGGCGAATATGAAGTTTTTCGTTACAATGACTTTTTTATACATACAAAACAGGATCGAAACATTTTTAAAGTTAAAACACTTTATAGCATTTTTTTTTAACTACAATATTTTGTTTTATTGTATTTTTTAAAAATTATAGAACTCTATTTTCTCAGTGTGATTCTAAAATGCTGTTTCTTATACGCCCATCTTTTTAGGTATGGACAGCGCGGAGGAGGCGGATCCGGAAACGGCGGCTACGAGGCGCCCGCCTGCGTGCAGAACGCGATGATGACAAAAGACAAGAAGCCCTTCACCTACACGCCCGGCGGCATCGATCTCTCCCAGATCCGGTCCGAGCGGATGGCCAAGCGGCTGGCGCGCAACGCCCAGTCGGAGGGGGCCACCGGAGCGGCCCAGCAGAACAGACCCGCCCAGCCGCTGTCGCCGGGCGGTGGCGGTGCCGGTGCCGCTGCACCGACGGCCACCAGTACGATGGGTGCCGCTGCCATGGGCATGCCGTTTCAGGTGCTGCCACCGCCACCGCCGCCACCGATGCAGTCGGGTAAGAATGGCAACCCCGGTGCTGCTAGTGCCACTAGTGCTGCACCCCCACCACCACCCCCACAACAACCACCCAGCTCGTTAGCGCCACCCGCCGCCGGCCGACTCAGTGCACCCGGTTCGCCGGCCACGGCCCGCAAATCGCCGACGCCACAGCGTTTTGAGCCACCGCCATTGGGATTCCGGCCGGAGATCAAGATACCGCCGAATCCCATGGCCGCACTCCGCAAGGTGGCGCCGCCCGTCGAGAAGAACACGTTCTGGAAGGACGAGTACCGCAAGGACCGCTCCAAGAGTCCGCTGCCCGCGGCGGAAGCTGGAGGCCAGAATGGAGCAGATGCCGTTGATGGTGAGCAGAGCCCCCAAGGATTTGGCTCGCTTTACTTTTGGGTGTTTTTTTTGGTTCCGCTACTGATCCCGATTCGATACAATACCGACTCTCATCACACATCGCCAGCTCTTACTAAGCGGTTGAGGTTGCTTCTTCTAAAACCCCCATTCGACTAACCCTGACATCCAAAGGCCCTACAAATGGGCCGGCAAACCTTCCACTAACTGCACTAAAATATATTTTTGGATATATAAAAAGAAATATTGTTAGTAAATAACATATTTTTTTTTAAATGTAGGTCCCAAACCATCGGTGGAAAGCAGTTATAGCCCCTATACACCCACTCAACCGGTGTCGGTGCCACAGCAACAGCCAACGCCGCCGGCAACACCGCCGCAACAGCAGCAACAGTCGGAGCAGCAATCTGCAACACAGTTCCGCAGTGTGGCCATGCCCACATCGCGGGCTGTAAGTGTATACACTCGTCAGACCGACAGTCCTAGATCGCCTTTCGAGCAGCAGCAGCAGCAACAGCAACAGCGATCCACAGAAAGCCCCTTCCGATTTGCTCAGCAGCAACAGCAACAGTCACCACAGCAACGTCCACCACTTGCGATATCGCCACTGGCTCAGGTGCAGCAACAGCAACAACTGCAGCAACAGCTACAGCAGCAACAATTGCAGCAGCAACAATTGCAGCAGCAACAATTGCAGCAGCAACAATTGCAGCAGCATCAGCTACAGCAGCAACAACAGCTTCAACAGCAACAGCTACAGCAACAGCAGCAATTGCAACAGCAACAACAGCAACAGACAGCTCAATCTGTGCCCTGGCGTACGCAACGCGCTCAGTCTGCAGCACAACAGCAACAGGAATTGCATCCGCAGCCCATCTACAACAATGTTCAGCAGCAGCAGCAGCAACAAAGATCTCGCGATGTCTTCAGTCCGGCAAGAACTGAAGCGCCAGCAGCAAACACGTTCAATTCACAGCAGCAACAGCAGAACTTTGGCACTCAACAAAACCAATTTGCAGGAGCAACAAAGCCGGTGAGTGACTTAGAAAATAAGAGTTGAAGTAAAGTAAAATATTATTTTTGTATTTAGTCCTAAAACCAACACCATCCATTTTATTTTATTTTATTTTTTTTTATTTAATTTAATTAATCGCTTAATGCAAATACCATATAAGTAAGTCCTGATGAATTTCGCAAAACGTACCAAAAATCTTAAACAAGTTACTCAAGATCAGCAATATTATTACGAATATTTTCATATGTGCATCACGCAAATTGGCCCACTAATTTTTGTGTTATTTCCATATCGAATTGACCTTTAACTTTATTACTCATTCGCCTCATTGAGCAAGCCCCTGAATGGCCAATGAGTAATACTCAAATAAACTGGTCACTGCTAATTGTTAAAACACCTATTTACCACGAGTAATATCCAAATTAATGGAATGCCTCAAATCAAGTCAACTGTCTGACAAGCTGTTTTCGCGCGGAAGTACATAAAGATATTTTTAAACCAAAATCTTTGAGCGAGAGTGTTCGATTCACACATTAAACCGAACATTGAATGCATTCACCAAGTGCAACGTCTAAAATTAGGCACTTGCAAAGGCCAAACACGAATTTTGAACTTGAGGCGATTGGCAAGCGAGAAAATTCATGGGAAAATATTGTACAAATTTAAATAAACATGTTGGGAAAACAATGATGACTAGCAAAATCTAAACTAAATATTTACATTTTGTTCCATACATTTTTGTGTACAGACCAACGTTGGCTCGCTCTACATAGCTCCTTTGGCCCAACCCACAGAGCCACAGGCTCAGCGAATCCTTCTGCAGCAGCAGCAGGCATCTGCCCGGGATTCCCCGATGCGCCAGTTGCCACAGCAGCAAGGATCGCCACAGCAGCAGCAGCAGCAGCCGCAGGCCAACCAGCCGATGCGATGGCTCAGTTCCCAGCCGGCCAGCAAGGAGCAGGCTCCCTGGGCTCGTCCCGAGGAGAACGGTAACGTCCTGCCCTCCACTCTGCGACAGACCACTCCGGCACCGCAGCCCCAAGTCGTACCTCAATCGCAGCCACAGCAGCAACAGCAACAACAGCAGCAGACATCCTTCTACCAGCCACAGTTGGTCCAAGGAAATGGCTTTGGACAAACTCCGATTTCGGTTGCTTCTATCAGTCAGCACAATTTTGGATCAAATCCCCAGCCAGGAGGACTGCGTTTGCAGATCAATTTGAACACCAATGGCAGCAGCAATAATGCAAATCAAAGTGCTCCAAGGGTAAGTTCTAGTTTTTGAAACTTATCTTAAGATTAGGAAATTTGCTTAGGAAAATTATAATTATAAAAATTATAAAAAAGTATTTTAAACACAATCAGGTTTTGGTTTACCTTTTTATAATTTTTGTAGAAGTATAGGTTTTATTTTGTATATGATAGGGCAACGTATTTAGCAGCTTACAAATTTAAAACTCAAATTATTATATAACTCCGTCTGTTCAAAAGTCTTGGTACTTGAATTGAGTATTTCAAATATAGTCAGCTTTGTAGCTTTACTTATTTTTATTCTTTAAATAATGTGTCCTATTTAAGTTACAAAATTTATGTATGAAGCAGAGATAATAATTAATTTTTATTTTATTATTTTAATTTTTAGGAGCGTATCATACCCATAACCTTAGAGCAGACGCCGACCTATGCCGCAGCCCAGCCCAACTTTGGTGGTAAGTCTTTAAGAGAGAGCCTCTTGCTTTTATGTGTTCTGTACGATATGTGTGGCGCTTTCCTAAAAACTCCTAAATGTTTGTGACTAAAACCCCACGTAGTTTGTTCCCACCCAAAACCCAAATATCCCCGTGCACTCTCCGCTCCAATGGAATGACTCTCCACCTGTGTATGATTTTTCCCAAAATCCCTGCTCTCGTCCAAAATGTGTGACTCTCCAATTTTCTACATTACCATGTATCTATGTATACTCTTTCTTTCCCACGAAAGCGCCTGCAGGTCACATAATACGCTCAGCTAATCAATTTGTCGATCAAGGTTACCAAAATTACCCAGCTCAAGGTCAGCGAGTCCTGTCGCCCACCCAGCAGCCACCCACCAGTGCCAACAACATGAACAACACCAATGGTAATGGAAATGGTAATGCCACCAGGATAATCCCCATTGCAATCGAAGGAGGACGCGGCGGACCAGTTTCCCAGTCGCCGGTGCTGCTGCAATAGTAAGTAGACTTTTGTTTGCAGTGGATTATTGGCTATCTTTGTGCTTTACCAAACACTAAACAATTGGCCCGCACTAATGCGTATTAATTTTGTGCTTTTCTACCAACTAAACCGACTATTTAGTGCCAATTACAATTTGTATGTGCACCAGTGTCCGCTCGAGGCGGAGATACTCTACCGAAAGAATCGTCTCAGGTAGTTCTAGATCACTGTGCTCTCAAACAACATCCATCGTTCATGCCATGCATTATTAAATGTTGTCATGAAACCAAGAGTATAGCAGAAAAACTAGTGGTTCCATTAAACGTCAGATAAAGCATTTTAAACCATATTCCAATCAACTAAATAAAAAAAGTATTTTCAAATAATTGTTTAAGCCTAAGGGAATCAGTAAAGACAAAGTAGTATATTTAGATGTTATTAATTCCGTATATGTATGTAAATTGTAACAAAATTTGATAAAATCTATGTTAGTTTAAATTCTCCCTTTAAAATGACGGACAAATGATTGTTATCAATAAAAATATTCTGTTTCAAGTTTATCTATTTATTAAAAATGTTTAGAGCATATTTTTCTTTTCCATATTAGAAATAAGTAAATATTGTATTTAACCTCTCATTCACTGCATTCGCATACTGGCTTGAAGTACAATTTCGTAAATTTTTGCAAAATTTGATTAGACTTGGCTTCGTTTAGTCATCACAAATCCAATCCAAATCGAGCCTAACCATTAATCCAAATGTTTCGTTATTGCACAAAACAAAATTGTTGTAATTTGGTTATAATTTCAATACATCTTCGACGGCAAGCTAACCAACAACCTAACCTAACACACGCCTATATCTACTTGCAGCGATCCACGCTCACCGCCCATCCAATCGAAATCGTTTAGAATATTGCAAAAGATAACCGACACCGTGGACGATGGCAGCGGGCAGCATGGTAATGGCGATTTGCGGCAGGACTCGCGGCAGGACCTGCAGCAGACGCCCCAGGAGGCGGAGTTGCAGCGGCCGCAGTTTGCCCGCCAGATGAGTGCCCAGCAGGCCAGGAATAGTCCGACCATCGAGCAGATGCGACGCCTCCAAATCGCCCAGGATCAGCAGAACAATCATCAGCAGTCGGGTACGCCACTAGCTTGGTCCCCGCAAGGTGAGATCCGATAGGTTGTCCTCATTGCCCCTGGTCCATCCTCAGATCCCTCATGTGCATATCACCGTATCCATCGGTGGGTAAGAGTCTGGTCGCGGTGAAAGTGCCTTATCCTTGGGTAAACTTGGGAATCTATACTAATAAAGCCGCTTTGAGCCACAAGAACACCTTTTGGTTGACAAAAACTAACAAGCTTCCTGTGTCAGTCCTGAATAGATTTACAAGTATTGGTGCCACTTAATTTTGCAGCACTACTAAGTAGAAAACTAATAATTAAAATTGTTAAAATGCCGATTTATCAATTTAACTTAATCTAATAAAAATAATGTTTTTTTTTCAGGTAATGGCGTCTCAGCTCAGAATCGATTCACACAACAACGATATGGTTAGTAAATGAATGTGTTTGTCTTTCGATCTACTTTAGAGAGAAGTACAAGAAAAAATACATTTGGTTTTGTTTGAAAATAAAAAAAAGCTCTTTTTTTTAAAACCAGAAATCAGCACATATTAAACAATACATTATTTTTCTATAGATACACCCCAACAACATCAACAGCAATATGTGCCGCCAAGTGAACAGCAAGCTCCGGAACCCAAAAAATACACCGGCAGCGCTATACCCAGTCGATCATTCAAAATTCTACAGGCAATGACAACACCTGAAAATGCCGGTAAGTAAAGCTGTGTCAGCAACTCAGTGTCCCGAAAAAAAACACTTTAAAGGAGCATTCGTTCTCGGAAATTTAATTAGTTACCAGTTTTGAATCCAATACATACATCAGACAGAAATCATGGCTGTATATATACACTCAGAATCCATTGAGCATTACTAACCCTAACGATCACACGCTCATCCAAGACACAAGCACATGGAGCATTGCATCAAGGATCGTAATTTTAATGAAAAACCCTTTTTGAGAGATTTCACCTTTTTTTGGCTGTATGGTGTCCAGACAATAGTTTGACTTAATCCCAATGGCATTTGATATTAACCTTGAGCATCCCACAGAGCCACCATTTTGCATTCCACATGCGCCACTTACTTGTACATAGCTTGCTTAACCATTTAATCAATCAATTAAATCAAACAATCAATCAGATCGGATTTGATTGGAGCAATTTGACAAAAAGGATCACATACAAATAACAACATTATGTTCGCACTCTCACCGTGTCTATTTCTCTTTTTCTTCTTTTATATTTGATAACCGTGTACCACAAAATCGACCTCAGACCATAAAATTCACACCGAGCTGGACTCGGATTTGGAAAATGTTGAACTGAACGAAACCCCAAATATTAATAATAACAACAACGGAAATACTGAAAATAATAATAATAATAATCATAATAAGATTAACAATAAAACCAATAAACGTCATAGCTACACATCAGCCACACCAACACCTACACCTACACCCCCACCACCACCACCATCCTGCACAGAACCCACCACCCACTCATCAAACTCATCCCTCAATTCGGATAGCTCTTCTACCCCGCAGACCCCTCGTTCGCAGTCGGTGCCCCCGCATTATCCCTATGCCTATGGCTACCCATATCCCTGGTACATGCCTCCTCCTCCTCCTCCTCCGTCAATGAATAGTGACGCTGTGCCTTGGCCATATCCCTATTCATATCCCCCGCCGCCACAATCGTTGGTGGATGGCAAACCGGCGGAGGGATTTCCCCCGTACCCATATTACTATCCCTATTATCCACCACCCATGCCACCCTATGGACAACAGCCGGGTGAATCCCCTGGCTATCCCCAGTACCATGCCATGCCACCCTATGGCCATCCGTATCCCTATCCAGTGGCACCCAGTTATAGCCAGAGTTCCACCGAGGAGAGCAGAGCCAGCAGTGTTCTGCCGGACATTATCATCACGCCCAGTACCGACGATATTCCCTCGCAGGTGATCATGCAGCATCACATCCGAGTGGAACCCCGAGAGCCGCCGAAACGGGCGCACTCCGTGGAGATCGAGGAGCTGGTCAGCAAGCCAAAGGCCCGGAATATCTGCACCAACAAGCACCAGGTCATCGATGTGCTGAGCCAACGTTTGGCGAGCATCAACAAAATTGCCAGTGGAAACACCCAGGCCAATCTCTCCAAGCAATTGCACAAAAACTATGCAGGCGAGCAGTCCAAGGAGCTGGGCGAGAGATCACCCAGCGAGAATGCCTCCAATTCCGACAGCGAATCGGAGGAGGAGAGCAGTGATGAGGACGAAGAGGATACCCCCAAGCTTGGTGCTCGTCCAGCTCCCTTGCAGTCCATCAAATCGGTGACCAATGTCCAAGTCTACAAGGGTAAGACCTTGGAGCAGCATCTGGATTCCGAGAGCAGTGAGGACGAAGATGATGTGACCACGGCGGATGAGATGTACGATGAAGAGGAACAGATCGAGGAAGAACAAGAGGAGGGCCTGGTCGAGGAAATGGAGGATGACTACATTGTAGAGGAGGATCTGAGTGTCATCTACGAGGAGGAGAGCGAACTGGAACGCAGCAGTGAATACGCCAAGACAGTCATCCGAAGGGATGACTCCAGATCCACCATAGTCGATGATATTGAAAAGCAAATCGAGGAAAATGATGATGATGACGATGAGGAGTCCAATTCGGTAACAGTTCGACTGCCACTTCGCTTCTCCTTCAGCCGCAGCTCCAATGATGAAAACATCGCCACCGTTGAAGTGGGCAATACCACTCAAATCGAGGAAAAGCAACCCAGCATTGTCAGCACGTTCAGTGTGGCCAAAGTGGAAAGTGAGGATGAAGACGATGACTGTGAGGTCAGTGTGACCATCAGTTTGTCAAACTCTTCGCGTTCAAACTCAGTGGAGAAGTCAACGCAGCCGTATAAGCCCTCCAATGCGTATCCCGTGGAGGAGATCAGCACACCCCTTAAAGCCAGTGAAGAAGATGTCTCTGCTTCATTCTCACTAGGCATGCGTAATAAATTCACAAGCGAAACAATAGCTAATGATCTTACCAATAATATTTCCCAAAATAAACCAAAGGAAAACACCGCAGAAGTAAAGGAAGTTGCCAGCTCCCCAAAAGAAGAATTCGATTTCTTTGCCACTTTAATGGCCACCAAAATGCAGGCTCAGAAAATGATGGAGCAGTCCAAGAATTTCTGGAAAACTCCTGAATCTAAGCCAGTGGAGGAAGCAGCTGGAACACCAAAACTTCGATCCAAGGAGAATATATCTGCGGCCAAGTCACCAAGACCCATGTCTGGTGATATGTCCAAGACTCAGGCTTCCCTGGAGGCGGCCAAAAATAGCTTCTGGTCTACCTTTGCCACGACCTCCAAAGAAAAAGAACCTGAAGTCGAGGAGGAGGAAACTGAGGAAGTTGACTTTTGGGCCAGCTTAGATAAAAAAGAATCCATCGATGCGGAGGATAAGCAGTGGACCAAGAAAAAGAAGACCGTAACCTATACTCCCCTGAAAAAAGAGTCAGTCACTAAAGTGGAGCACTGGACAACAACGCTCAGGGCTCAGATGGAATCACTTCCTGTTCCTCAAAAAGCTGAGGTGCACTTTGTAGTTGAGGAGAAACCTAAGGAAATTGAGCAACCCCAAGAGCAGGATCAGCGTGAAGAAGAGGATTTCTGGGCCTCGGTAAACCCAACCAAGGTGGAAAACACAGTAAGCTCAAGCTGGGCACCCACAACTTACAATTCAGAGCCGCAGAATGAACCGGAAATTGATATCTGGGCTGCTCAGGAAGTGACAGAGGAACCAACCCAAGAAGAACAAGATTTCTGGGCAGAGGCCGAAATTGAATCAACTACCAGCTACCAAGATGAAGAGAAACCCAACGGGTATACATACGATCCAACTAAATATCCCGAGGAACCTCGAGAAGTGGATACCGATGAAGAGATTGATTTCTGGGCCGAGATCGAAGCCAAGCGCAAGCCAGGCGAAGACGATGATGAGGATGTCACGTTCCATAAGTCAGCCACCTTTTGGGCCCGCAAAGAACGCCAGAATTCGGTGGAGGAGACACCTTACAAACCCGTCGAGATCAAGGCTTTTAGGGCCAAGTTACCCGACGAAGCAGCTGTGGAGATCGATGTATGGGCCACTTTGGAGGCAGCCAGGGGTCACGAACCCGAAATCGTGGATCCCGTGGTGGAGGAGGAAAAAGTTCTCGCCGAGCAATTCGAGGAACTCGAACACGAAAGTTCTGATGAGGAGGAGGAGGAGGAGGAGGAGCAAAATGAAGAGATTATGGAGAAACCCCAGGCAGAGATCCCCGACAGCAATCTAAGCCACATGGACACCATGTCCCTGGCTTCGATGCACGAGCCAGCCACCGTCTACACCTGGGCTCCTCCTCCGCAGGACACCAATGACAATGAGGAGGAAACCGATTTCTGGGCGGACATGGAACAGGAACGCTCCAAGAAGGAGCAGTTCGAGGAGGCCGAACAGAAACGTCAGAACTACCGCCAAGCCATGGCCTTCTTCAACACCTCAATCGATGGTCAGCAGACGCCGCCGCAACAGAACGCCAGTCCCAATCGCAGTATTGTGATCCTGGAAGTCGAGGAGCCACAAGAAGTGGACTTGGGACCACCTGGTGAGTACCAGTTAGTGGGCGAGGATGGCCTCATCGTGGAGGAACATAAGCAAGCAATAACCGAAACCGAAGAAGAGGAGCGAGGAGCTGCAACTCCCACAAACATGGAGCCACAACTACCAGAGGTCTATGTGGAACCCGAGCCGGAAGTTAAGCGCCTGCCCAATGGATTACCCGATCTGGAGGTGGAGAAGTTCAGTGACGCGCCCAAGATTTCGGTGCGTGATCGGATTAGTGCTTTTGAGGTCATACCCACGTCGGCAAGTGATGGCTCCAAGGGCTTGACCAAGCAATCCCTGTCCGTGGACAGTGCTTATGGCAAGGGAACTCTCTCCCGCAACAGCAGCACCCAGCGATCCGAGTCAGAGATCGAGGAGGATGACTCCGGGGTGACGGACATGAACCGTCAGCTATCCGAAACCGACACCGAGTCGGAGAGCTTCCCGGAGCTGCGCAAGATGACCAGCTACCAGCGGGCGGCCACACATTCCAGGCTCTTCAAGCTGCTGCAGGACGAGAACGATGTTCCCGAGGCGGGAGCCCAACCGGCCGATGAGTTCCAGTTGAAACCCAGCCGCAGGAAGATCGTGCACAATGTGTCCATCACAAGGAGGCAGAATCCTGGAGCCCTCAATGATGCGGAGACCATGACGCAGCGCAGGGAACGCCTTTCGCTGCCGCTTCGCAAGAACACCAGCATCGATGCGGACAATCCATCGACGCCAAATAGTCCGGCCTCACCCATTATGGGACCTTCGGCCAAGAACCAGCGCGTGGTGAGCGACAAGCTGGTCAACGAACTGGTCCAGAGTCTGCTCCTCAAGAGCGACAGCACGCACTTGAGGCATCTGCCCATGGAACGCCTGCAGGCGGCCGCCAAGAGAGCGCTGGTGGAGGAGATGGACTCGGCGCAGGAGAACAGCTCGCTGGACAGCACACCGGCGCCCACGCCCAAGCAGGACAAGGAGTACTCCGACTACTACAACAGCTGGTGCGAGGCCAGCGGGGATGAGGCGGTGCCCTCCAAAAGCTTCCGTTCGCTGCAGGATCCGCGTCGTAGTCCCTGGACAGTGCGTTGTCCGCGGGTGCTCAGCTCGAAGACAATCAACCGGGATTTGGCCCGGGTCACAGAGTCACCGGAAATCGCCAATGGTCGGGGCAGCAAGAGTCCGGAGTGCTTCCGCCAGAACTCACACTCACACTCACAGTCCCGGGAACGATCCGTGAGCAGTTGGCGCAGAGTCTAGGATAGGGCAAAGGATTGCCTATTGTACATAACAGGGCGGGTCTATAGTCTTTAGCTGGGATGTGGGACCGGTTCAAATGGGAGATCGAATCTCGCCAGGAGAAGCCCATAAATTCGAACGACATAAAAAGCGAACTCAAATCGACTTGGTAATACCCTACTTCTGGTTAAAGTATAGCCAGTATTAAGACGGTAAAGCTTGAAGCTAGTCCATTTCCGAACCGGATTTCACTCCCGAACTTTTGGTAACATTAAGCACCTTCTGCATTTGGCCATGATAATCACTGCCCCTGGGAATGGGTGATATAATAGAGCCAGTTATTGCATTTCTCATCACTATCATCCCCCATCATCCAGCATTGTACATTATGAATATCGAATACACTCAATACACTATTAAAACTAAATCTAATTAAACATGTAAATAAACCAATTGAAACCAATGAAAGGAAATCGTTCATTCGTTCGTTCGTTTGTTACCTCAGTAAAGCGCAAAACCAAAACAAAAAAACCAACCAAAATCATTTTCTAAAACTACATGAGTATTTCAAAATTTGTAAACAGTAACTCATGAAATCGAACCAAATAATAACAAGCATATAAAACTGAAAACAAAAAATCTATCAAACGCACCAATAAACAACAAAATAAAAACCAATTTCATCTCAACTCAATGATTTTGTAAAACTCGTTCAAAATCCTAAGGTACCTAAAAATTGCAATTTTATTAAAAAACAAAACAATAAACAAAAATTACCCAAAAACAAGTTTTAACTAATTGAATGTTTTCATTATATTCCAAAAATTGTCCTCTATCTATGTATTTACTTTTATTTTCGCTGCTATTTGACTTTAATTCTGTGTGCCGTATTTCTTTTTAATTTGTCCATAAAAATATTTGCGATAGAATTTAAAATAAATCCAACACAGGTTTGTATGCAAACAAATGATGAACAGTTTAAAGTCAAAATTAGTAATTTAAATGTTTAACATTTTCCACCCCACAATGTTAAATGAAAGCAAATATGTTTAGAGACTCTAATCATCGCAAATATTTTTATTGAATTATTGTAGTTCCTTTCCCAAATGCTTCCCCTATAAACTTGAGCTTGGAGAGCAAACTCCACCTTGCAAAGAACAACGAATGAAGATTACTTTTTTGTTGTTGTGACCATAAATAAATACAATAAAAATAATTGAGTGAAAAAGCATAAAATGGAAAATTGTACAATATAACTTGTCGAAAAGTCGTTCGTTACATTAACCATTCATGAGTTTACAAATGCATAATTAAATGTTTCTTTCTCTTATACTCAATTAACTTGTTTTATACACACAATAAGAAATATATACATATTTTTAACAAAAATTAATCGTTAACTTTAATAATGACAATGAATGGCTTTTACCCCAAAACTTAAATTGAATTGAACTGACTTGAATTGAATGAACAAAGCAAACAAAAGTTGAACAAAAAAGGTGAAGTTTTCTCTCAAAATTGATTTGGCTGCCTGGCATTTGCACTTTCTTAGTTGCTGCTTCAGTTTTTTATTTATTATATATTTATTTATTTATTGATTTACTTTTGACGTTTTCTTTATATGTAAGTCTGAACCTGGATCAGTGTTCATGGTCAAGTCAAGACTTGAAAGTTTCCACAATTTAGTGTTAGCTTTATCTGTTTGTTTCTGCTTGCCAAAGTCACTCCAAAGTAACACTCTTCTCGATTTGATCTTTTTCAGGACCTGGACAATCGGATCTATAATTATTTCTCAACGCCATAGAAATCAATTATAGCAACTCAACAGCAGCAAACAGAAAACGAAACTGAAAATCAATCAGATTGCTTGTTATAGTTATCTAGTTTAAGTACCAGACACTCTAAGGATCGCCACAATCAAATAACTTGGGAACGGGAACAAGTTTTTAGTAAAATTTCTTTACACTAACCAACACCATTGTAGCTGAAGAGGAAAGTTTGTTTGTTTAACGCGATTTGGTAGCAGCACTAAAACCAAACAAAACAATTCTAACACAATTACGAAGCAAATAGCGAAAGCGAATATTTACTAATCCTAAACGTTAAGATGAACAATGCAGGTGCAATGAGGTAACAACGAAACGAAACAAAATCTAAGAAACCGACTATGCTTGATATGTATCCGGATAACACGAAAGCGCACATCAAACACGACTAATAACATATTATACAATATTTTTGTTACTTGCGAACATTATAATTTCATTCTTGAAGATTCTTTTATGTTTTTCATCAATATTTATTCATTTACTCAATTCGTATGCATACGAATGTTCTTTAAATTTAAATATTTTTGATTATTATTATTTGGTATATATATAAAATATATTTTGTGTTGTATAATTTTTTATGCAATAAACATTTTTAGTAAATAAAGAGAAGTAGCGTTTGGAAGGTTTTGTATACAGTTTGAAGCTTTGGCATATTGGTAAGAAATTATACGTAAGAAGCTTATAGAAAATTCGTATAGGCAAAGAGAAGCCAAGTGTAGCAAAAACTTTTTATCCAGTATAGTTTAGGTTTAAATTCAGTGTAAATTCGACATACATGTTATAATATCTTTGTTTAAACCGAGGTACATGGAATAAGTATTTAAACCTCTCATATTACTTATTTCTAATCAAAAACACCCAGTAGTATATATGTATATATCAATAGTTCATTGTTCGGACTTGCTGATTGATGTAACGCCAACAAAACATTTGGAATCTCAGCTACAAGCGTTACAGTCAACAAACATTTACATCTAGGTTATATCGTTATATTGCATAGCCACATAATTCTAATAGTCTGACAAGCATTTTTAACATTAAATACATACCTATAAGTATGTTAATAGTTTACGTATTTTATATGTAAATACTTTTAACAGTACGATTCGGTAGTTAACTTTGAGATAATTTTCATTTGTACAACAAATCTCATTTGAGATCAGAAATATAAAAGGCTCCAAAACTAATAGAGATAGTATTTGGAAAACAAGGGCAACTAAAGTCAAATGTATGTTTGTATAGTTATTGTTTACAATATTGCTTGGCTAGGTAACTGTTTGCTAAATGTGTATGACATACCATTTAAGTAGTTGGACTGTCAGCCTGTACTTCCATAAGTTCTTGCACAATCCGATACTCATGACAGTCTGGACATAGCAAACGACCATTGGAACGATTTGAGCGCTGAACCTTCTCGTGGCAAACGATGTGAACAAGTTTGAGGTTCTTCAACGAGAATATTTCCAAGAAATACTCCAGCACAGAGATGTCGACCACTTGCTTCTTGTGAAGTGAGCACTTGCGCTGCGGATTGCTAACAAGGTCCTCCACATTGACCAACATGGCGGGCAGAATCGTGCGGCATAGTTCAATTTGGTGGTCCAGGTTCCAGACCTGGAACAAAATGAGATTCTCCCGCGAGGCATACGGATTGATGGTATGCTGCATGGAGCAACAGTTGCCATTCTCGGAGAAGGCGCCCTGGCAATAGAAATCACCCAGATCCGAGCACAACGACACTGACCACTCGTCGAGTATGCAGTTCTCCTTGGTGTACTCCTTGATCACCTGCCTCAGTCTCTTGCTGGGCAGACTGCCGGCGTCCGTTTCCTCCTCGCCCAGCTGCTGCTGCAGGAACTTGTGCTTTTGCTGGCACTTCCTGTCAAACATCATGGAGAAATAGTCGCAGCCGATGAGCAGGTATCGAAACTGCTCCAGCACCGAGTTAATCACCTGCCGTGCCTTGGCATTTTGACGGTACAGGGGATTGCGGGTCAGCTCCTCTTTGGCCTTATAGTAGTAGCCGCGCACCCGTGTCTGAGCCCGCATGGCCATGGCCTCCTCCTTCGAGTGAAAGCGTTCCTCTCCGCCCTCGAACCACTCCACGTGCTCGGCCTTTAGGCTGAGGTGGGCCTTGGTGTTGTCGAGGACGCGGCGGTGCTTCTGGTGCTCATACTCCGTGATCATGCGGCGGAACTTCTCCGGATGCTGTTCGATAAAATCGTAGAATATATCGGCCACCTTCAGCAGTGGCGATTGCTGCCTCATTTTCTCAAATTCAAAGTCCGCATCTAAGAATGATAACAGTGATAAGTAAGGGACTGAAATTGTAATCTCATTCGAACTCACCTGTTGTGATAACAGCATCCGGTCCAGCCGCAATGAAAAGAGTTTGGGCGGGCAGGCTATCCAAGTACTCGTCATCGGACACTTCAAAGCCATCGGACGCCAAATACAAATGCAATTCGAGCAGCTAGAAGAAACAAATTGAATTAGATGAACTGCCCTTTACATGGCCCAATTATAACGAGGCCAGGGTGACGGAGTCTCGCCCGAATTCCTGGTTCAGTGGCCTTCAGCATGTGTTTTTTTGACTGGGCAAGGACGGGTGGATGCAACAGGTTGTTAGCTCCTAGCACAGGACATGCGCAATGGTCGTACGTTGTGGCATTGAAAGAGAGCCAAACAAACGCGGAAGCCACTGCCAGGGACGTGGCCTTGAAACTGCCAGGGACAGGGACTTGCTGGCAAAATAAGAGTGGGTGGATGGCACTCTGCGCGCTTTTACGCAGGAGTTTTATCCCGTTTTTCTTACCGGAAACTTGCTGTTGGCCTTGGTTATTAGCATTTCCAGAGAATTGGCTCCAATGCCGTATTTTCTGGTCCGCTCGTTATCAGTAACCTTGTAGCCGCGCATTGGAGCACCTGCTGTTTGCCTGGATTCGGATGAGTTCACATCCTTGACAGCCACTCCTAGTTTCTGGCTGCTGCTGCTGTTGTTGTTCTTGGGACTGCTGCGTGTCGTCGGAGCCATGATTGCATCTCTAATGTAGTTGAGCATCGTGCTGGCTCATAGTAAAGTCAACTTTGGAGTGAAGTCCTTGCAGCAAGTTTCCTTTTGAGCGGACAAAGCAAAATAAATTAAGTGGCCAGTGTTGGGTAAGGGAAGATTATTTTTGTGTGCTGGACAGCTGCTTGTACGAATTCAAGCTGCGTGGAAATTCAAGCCTCAAATAGCCAAAGATTTAATGTATATATTTCAGTTTAAAAGATCTTCAAACGTTTGTAATCAACTCGTTACAGCACTATAGCTCCCATAGGCCCTAAAGTATAGTTTCAGGTTGACCGAAATCTGACTAAACGGCTGACTAACCTAAGCTAACAAAAGTTTCATTGATAAAATAGTTAAATTTAGCTAGAAAATAGCACGCACTTCAATCAACACTCGACTTGCCACCTCTATTGACGGTTTTTAGCGTTTTCCAACACCACTTTCTGCATTAGAAAACAGCTGTTCGGGCGAATAGTTTTTTTTTGTGAGAAGTTCTTAAGGAAAAACTTCAACAAACGTAGTGTTAGTGTACCATGAACTGAGCTGCGGGCTCCGCGTAATCCGTACGCCCCCCCGGCACCGCGAACCGAGATGAATCTGCGGCCGCGCTGCCGAAAGTGGCTGCCACTGGCCACCCAGCAGCTTCGACTGCGGAACCTGGCGCGAATTCAGGGATTCAATATTGTGTCCGGGCCGCAGGAACGTTCGTTGGAGCAGGTGGAACCGGACGATGTGCTCCTCTACTACACTCTGCACACGGACAAGGACAGCGAGGCATTCTACACCAGCGAAAAGCTGCCACTGCGGCACCAGCAGCAAAAGTGGGCGGAGATCTGTGCGGATGACGAGGCCTGGCGGAAAACCAATGCGCAGTGTGTGTGCGTCAAGGTCTGGAAGCATTTTTCGGCAGAGAGGAGAGATGGCCAACCGGCTGAGACTGACCACAGGACTAAAGAGATGTGCGGGTATCTACAAAGCCTGACTTACAACCTAAACCTCCCTAATACTTCGCCTGTTTGCAGAAGGTCCCAACTAACGCCCAGCAGGCTGCCACGCCCACCCGAGCTGCTCTTCAGCTGGGGCGTTTACTTCTCCGGCCTCATACCCCTGTCACCCCTCACCCTGGCTCAGTGTGGCCCAAACTGTCTGGTTTTCCAGTTAAATGGCGAGCAGTTTGCCTCGCCGTCGATGATAAGCGAACAGGGTTTGCAGTCGCAGCTGCATTTGCACTATCAAAACTATGCGGCTGATGAGGAGCGGGAGGAGCCGCAGGATGAGGGCATCAACTCCCCGGCCGTCAGTCGCAGTTCCAGTCCCGTGCTGCGGATGAGCACCATGCGTTATGCCCAGCTAAAGTGCCAACAGCAGGAGATCCGGCGCAGCATCAACCTGGAGAAACTGCTTATGCTACAACGTCTGCAGCGTTTGCAGCAGCAGAAACAACGTCAGATGACAGAAATCTGCAGGGAAATCGCCCGTCTTAGTGTGCACTGTGTGACTAAAAACGAACTGCGCCTGAAGCCCCGCACCACATCTCTTTCGGGGGACCACTCCGCCCACCATCACCATTCCATGGGTCGCGCCCTGAGCGTGCTGCTTGCCGAGCAGCAGCAGATCGCGCCCCTCACGCTTTACAAGGCCCAGCAGCTGACCAGAAGGATCGAAGCGCTAAGCAGCCAGAAACGACTGCTACAAGCGGAACGGGAGACGTTTCGCCAGCGCAACGAGCGGGCGCGTCAACGTCTGGAAGAGATGCGGGAACAACGCGAGGCCCTACAGCACCAGCTTCATTTTCAGCTACATAGCCTGGAGTCCGAGCGCCTGGAACTGCGCTCCTTGGCACCCCAACATATTGCACAGCGAGATCAAAGACGACAGATAGTTCGGCAGGTGAGGGAAAGAACGTCAACGCTTAACAAGTATAAATAATAACTACCAATAACTACTTTATAAAGGTGGAGCGACGAATGTCCACTCTGGTTCTGGAGCTACAGGAGATCTACAACATCAAGAACGTGGGCGGACAGCAGTTCAGCATCTGCGGCATCGCCTTCCCCCACATGGAACAATATACAAGCGAGTCCCGCCAGGCGGCCAACGCACAGCTGCTGGAAAACGTCTCGCCGCTGGCGGTGAGTGCGGCCCTAGGCTACGTGGCCCATTTGGTGCAGATGCTAGCCATCATCATGGATCGGCCGCTGAGGAACCGAATTGTATACGAGCCATCGCGGGCAAGGATTGTGGACGATATCAAGGAGCTGACCTACACCACCAGGGAGTAAGTGCAGCCATTTTCATGAACCTCCTAAATGAATTCTCTAAAACATATGAATCTCATTACAGGTTTCCCCTGTACACGCGCTCCATTTTGCCGTCGCAGCAGACCAAGTATGCCATTTATCTGCTGCGCCAGAACGTTTCCCAGCTGTGTTTCGACATCACCGGTCACTGCGATCTGCGCAATACCTTTGGCAATCTACTGGAGTTGTTCAGTACTCTTCGCTACATCGAACGAACGCAGAGGGATGAGAGCGACGAACGGGAAGGGGATAAAGTGGATGCTGGTGGTGGAGGAGCACGCCTGGCCAACGGCCTGACTGCACCGCACCTCTCGCAGTCGCATTCGTCGGTGGACATAAACCACGTGCCACTGCCGACCAGCGCCAATGCGGTCAAGGATGCGCTGCTCCAGCAGCTGCTGCCTCCGGGCGTGAGTCAAGCCCTGGCCATCGAGGGCTATGCGTCAACCCAACGGTAATATAGTTGTTATTATCATAAATATATATAGTTGTTGAAATGACTTAATTTATGAATCATTAGCTCAATTTTTTCTTATGTATAAATTGCATCAGGCAACGAAAAATTTTATATTCTTAAACTGGGAAATTTTAAAAAAAAAACTTTAAATTAACTATTTAATATCTTGCAGCATTTGTCGTTCGGTGGGCTCCTATTCGGACGGTGAGGACGAATTTCGGCCCCGGCTGGAGCACAATTATTCCAATTCGGACTCCAACATAACGCTGCAGACGGAGCGTAGCTGAGCTAGTGCAGCTTATCCAAATATCTAATATCCAAGAAATCAGCAGCCTGCTCTGGCGGCTGTCATTGTGGATTGGTCCCGTATTAGTTGGAAATAATTTGTATACTTTTAAATTATGAAAGTCAACGGTAAGGTCAAACTTCAAACGCGTCCACTGCGGGCATATTATTTTTAGTTGTTTAAGATCTCTGTGTAAATTCCCGTTCATTGTTTGTTTGCTATTGTAAGCTACGAATAAACAATTAATATTTTATATACGTAAAATTACCAATTACTTTTCTTTCTAAGATTTATTAATTAACTACATTAATAGTTTTAGTTGTTTATACAACATATGAACGTTCGAATGTGCCGCCAATTAGTGTTGAAAAGTTTGTAAAGCAATTGTTGCTTCATTACATAGGTGGTAATTTTTTTAATTGAATAATTCAGAAGTTGTACAGTGTCTTGTTATAACCTTTTTTATTTTTATGGTGTTATAGTATGAATTAGAGAGATTTTATTTATATCCAAAATCATAATTCAAACAGCCACGACTTGGCCAGTGTTGCACACCGCTGTGTTCCGTTAACAGTACCCTGTAAAGCCAGCTGATTATCGTTTGGCCAAAATTATTTCGCTGGCAACTTTCGTCCGGGATTTGGAAGTTTTTCGGGCGTCATCCTGGCTAATAATAAATAAAAAATGTGCTGGCAGAGGCCGAAAGCGGGGCCAGAAGTAGTGCAATAATCGTTTTGATGAGTGACAACGCGAAAAGCTTAAAATTCGAGTGGCTGATGAGGTGTGAGAGTGTGTGTGTGCTTGGCCCGGGCCTTGGCCTTATATTTATCGAATTCGTATCAATTAAAACGTTTAGCAATAAAAAGCACTTGGTGACGATTGAGTAGCCGGCAACTGTATTCGACTGATAAGCGGACTGACTGTTGGAATTCCACTACGGGGAATGCCTGTGATTTATGCCTTTATATTGTTTACCCTACCTGTTTAGAGCTCAAACAAAAAACTCAGGTGTGATAAGGTGATTTTTACACCATAATTGCTCAATGGAAACGTGGCAATAGAGTTGAAAAAACGTACTCAGCATTTACTTTTATTTTGGGTAATAAGAAGTAAATATTAGTGTGAAGATAAGTGCATTTCTAATTAAGTGTGAAATAAGTTCAATTCAGGCGCCAAAAGTCAACATCTGCCTACGCTCTCTTAGTTTGACTTAAGCTATCCGCTCTCTTAAACGCTCTCTTAACCTGACTTAAACTTAAGCTAACTACGCTTGCACTCTCTTTGCTCCGAGAAATGGCTGAGAACAATGTGCCGCTACGCGATTTCGACGAAGAGAGCGAAACAGACTCTGAGACGGAATTGCTCATACGCCGCGATGTCCCCAGCGTTAACAAAAACAACAGCAGTCACAGGGGCAGGCGGCGCAAAAGCTCAACGGGCTACAGCGGCGTCGACGCCGACGCCGGCATCGGCGCTGGCAGCTTTCTGGGCAATCTCTTCGGAGGCAACACTTTTGGCTCTGCCGCCGGCCAGATACGTTATAGAAATGAGCGGAGTCGCGAGCGCGCCAAAAACTCAAACGGCAGCTATAGCAGCATTTCGAAACTGGCGCAATTAACGCACACGTCAGCGGGCGTCGCGGGGGCCGGGACGGGAGCGGTCGGTGGGAGTGGCAGCGGTGGCAGTAATGGAATAACCACTGCAGAAAGTGCAGCTGCTGCGGCAGCTGCCGCCGCTTCTGGGGATCTCGGCAATGGCGGGACGCACAGCACGGTCGTCGATCCGGAAAACGGCTCCTCCACGGTTTTCTACCAGCACAATCGGCGGAAGAGCAAGAGCCGCAGCATTGGCAACGTCTGCAAGTTGTGCCTCTGCAGGTGAGTCCATTTTCGGAGCGATCCGTTACCCTCCGCCAACGCTGCGTATGCGCAACATTTCCATTTCACTACTGCAACAGTGGATGCGGGAGTTATGGGAAAGTAAATAACAAAACAACAGCTGTTCACTAGCCAACAAAACATTGCTAAAAATTTAGCCTTACACAGAGAAAACTAGCAAAAGTTGGAGGTATGAACTAAACCATATATTATTTAACCTTTTATTTTCCTGACCTACTAGCCCTGTCTTTTTTTGTAATACCTTAATTTTAAACACAGCTGTACACACATACAAATAGTTTTCATAATAATTCTATAAATAATTTTTAAATATTAAATATTTGCCAAAGAAATGGAGAGAAACATTGACCTCTGCCAGCCATTCTATCACATTCACATTTCAACAGAATTATAGCGAACAAGTTGTTGTTTCGCTTTTGGCACTTGGAATTTGTTTATTATTTTTTGGCCTGAGCAAAATCTTTTTGAGGCGCATATACATAATTGGTAGAGGTTTCTACGACGGAGTGAGCCAAATTTTGTTGTGTTGCAATTTTATGTTACTTTTAAATAGGATCTTTTACGAAACACATTTCCAAGAAAATGATTCTATTGAAGATGTATGGGCCACACATGACAAACACAATGAATGCATCTGTATACATATACGACGATTCCGAGATATATTTGTAATTTAGCTAATTAGAGAGGGAAACAGAAGAGAACTTTTGAGAAAGGCCGCACATGCGAGTCATGCGAACAAGCACACACGTCGTCTGTAAGTGGATCGGAGAAAGAAAATTAAAAACATTTCGGTTTCCGCGACGAGCTGCAAATCGATAAACGTGACGAGACCCCCACAGTCGTCTTTCAGGTCTGCGGGGAAGATTTGTACGAATGGAAAAAATAATAACAAAAACACGGCTATAAATAGTGGCCCAAGACAAGCGAGCGAGTCGGGTGACAAGGCAGAAAGCAAACTCAATAGTTGGACCCCCACATTTCTCTTCCAACACCCACTGAGCGTTATGGTGGAACTCTAATTGCCGCAAAACTTTGCCCAAAAACACACAACTCCACCCGTTACTTGTGCATTTTTAATCGATGTTTGCCGTGTGCCTTGAAACCAGATTGGTGGGCGAGAAAAAAAAAAAAAAATTCGGCCCAAGAAGTCACCAAGAAATGCTAAAAATTCCAAAACCAGTTCCCGACGGTAACTCGGCTGGTTTGGCTACACGTTTGTGTTTTCAAGGTTTCTAAAAAATACAAACGAGTTGCACAGAAGAAGTCGCTTTAGGGCTTTTTTTTCGGTCAGACTTCGCTTTTTGTGTCGAAAACTGAAAGTTTCTCTGCTATTTTGGTCGTGGCTTATCAGAATCGAGTGTCGATTGTCTACCAAACACAAACGAACCCACAAACTCCGCAATGCGTCATTAGATCGGCCTGCTGATATGAAGCTTAAACTTAAAAATTACATTTCGCTGAGTTCGGCATTTACTTTTAAATAGAAAAATTCTATAAGTGTTTACAAAATCGTAAAGCATAAAATGGTTTCAAGAGAATTTGCAATTGAGCAAAAAAAACTGTGACAAAGCAAAGCTTTTGAAAAAGACGAAATAGTCTTGTGTATACGGAAATCTTATTCTGACTTTATTGTGGGAAAAGTAAATATTGTTATCTTACTGGTCATGTAACAAATCTACTGTCTAAGTTAATATTGGTGTATGGAAATGAGCTCACAAATAATATAAACTTTGGAGTCTTAAATGTCATAGGTAAAATACTCTACTTAAAAAGCTGTATATTGAACATATATTACGTCTGTTAATTATTATATGCGCTGTGTGCTGCTTACACAAAAGACGGATTTTATTTTCAACATTAAATAATGTTTTTTTCCTAATCCGATGCCCCAATGTCATCTTTTTATTTCCAAGTGTGTATTTTATACTTCACAGACCACTTATCGCCCTCTGACCACAAACATAACTTGAGGTCTTTACAGACTCAGGCTCTCTTCAGTTTTTCGACACCCGGCTTGGGTTTTGTGAAGGTTTTCTTCAACAAGAGTCTTGCCTTCCGTCTGCTTGAAACTTTTCTCTGGTTTTTTGTTTCATTTTCGGCGCTCAACTCCGATTGCCGTTTCGGTTATATGAGGCTCAAAGATTTCGACAGGCCGATTAGAATTGCAAAGTGAGGCGCCATGCGGTACAGTTCGTTGGTGTGATTGTTGCTGCCACAGTGGCCAGTGGCTTGGAACCAACTCGGCGTTTATACTTCCCTATTTCCCCTCAAAACGATGTTAGCGGTCCTGGGTTTGTGAACTCGATTATTTTCCATTACTCTACCTAAGTGGAGAGCTACTGATAACGTTCCAGTTTTAGTGTCTTTTATAATAAAAAATATTTAGTTTATTGCTTGCCTTTATGTATAATTAAAATAATTATTTGTTTTTAATATTTTTTTTTATATGTTTAAAAGTAACACAATTAAACTCAAATTCATAAATTCACTGCTTCAAAGTTAAATAAAATATTTGAGTTTTAAACGATCCGAATCAATCATAATTGAGCTGATTGAAATTTCATTAAATATAGCCATTGGCCATTGACAACAGACTTTTCCCGAGCTTTTTTTCCACTTTACCGCATGCAAATTGGATCGCCACGCCCCCGCCCCCTTGGCCCACCCCTGAAACGCCACAAACTGTCAATGGTAACGCCTAATGTTATTATTTTCTAGTCGCCGTTAGCTGTTTATCTAGTTGCTGCTGTTGCGACTAAATGCAAATGGTTGGGAAAAGAAAAAAGAGTGGCGAAGGGAGCTGAGCGGTGAAATGCGACAGCGATTGCCGCCCGCAAGTTGGCCTGGCATTGTTTTCCACCCACCGGCAATGTGGGTTAATAACCAAAAGCCTGAAGGCAGCGCAAGTCACACTATTCATGGCTCACCTCTTTCCATTCCGGTTATCCATGAAAGGGTATATATTGTACACGTGTTCACACTCCCTAAGCAACCATATTTGTCTTTATCCGCAACAAGCATATGTGCATAAAATAAATATAAACATAAACTATTACGCTATTCTGTTATTTTCTATACAAAATTCGACTAAGTTTAGTCATTTATCTGTGACGCTTTTCATTGTATTCAGGTTTTAAATATTTAAATCATATTTTTTACAGCGCATTTAATGACGTAAAAATATCTAATAAATTTCAAGGGGAAACAATTAGTATGCCTCAAAAACAAACTTCTAGCTATAAGCTTCAAAAACAAATTACTTAACGCATGTCTTTGGCATAAAACTCTAAACTAGTTTATTTGAAGTGTGACACACAGTCGTTAAAAGAAATCGGTTGAGGGAGTTTGGAGGAGGTGTAATGA